TACAAAGTAATTCATGCACCGCTACCGCAATTTCAGTGATGTCACACCTTTTTTTAGTTTTCTTTAATACGTATAATAGTATTGTTCATAGTTACACTTTTTCATAAAAATATATATATTGATAAAACGTCACGCTTGCTGGTGACAACTCAATAAATAACCCATATCCTTAAACTTTAGTCCCATAAATATACTCCCATGAAATAAATTTATTAAAATACGCAAGATGAACCCGTATATTTCGCAATTTTTCATACATACGTTATTTTGTTCCTGATTTAATAATATGAAATGATTATAGACTGCATTGCATATGGCTTTAAGGGCGCAGAGAATACCTACCATAATCGCTATCTTTCAAACGTCAGTGAAAACCTTTCAAGTAGGATTATTTTCTATGCTATGGCTTCATTTACACTGGAATCGTGGAATATTTTGCCAATGTCTTCAAATAGGATTTCATTCAAGAAATTCCTTTACATTAATGTCAACGTCAGTTTCAATTATCTATTATACAATCTACTGGATGCGATCCAAATTAGGTTTACAATAGCTGGTATTGAAAAGAAGTAGGTTTTATATCTTTAAATTTACTTTTATGCTAGTGTTTTATTAAAAAAGAAATAAAGTCACAAAAAATTTCGGGTAAAATTTTATAATTAGTACATAAACTTGATTTTAATTAAATTTAATTCACAGTAAAATATTTCAAATATCAAAATATGAGTGTCATTCAATCAAACGAGTTAAAAAGGGTATTTTGTATGAATTAATAATTATTATAATATTAAAACTTAGTTATATAGTACTTTTAATTCATAATTATATTATAATGCATGTTTGCATTTGCTCACAATTTTATTATTTCATATGACAGCAATATAGAGAACCAAACTTTAAGTAACTTACATGATATTAAAGATAATATTTGAGTATAGCTTCTGCAATATACCAAGGTACATATATGTAAATAGTATGAAAGACAAATTCGTGTTATATAATAAATATTAGTGTCGTATTTAATGTTAACAAACGTCCGACAATATGAGAATACAATTAACAAAGACATTAATTATAGAACCAATAAACGAAACGTTATGGTTCAGTAAATAACATAAACATGACGATTACTCGAGCCCATATAGCACTTTCGCACCTTATTTAAACAAACTAGATCGTGGAATGTTCCCGATGTTAGTATTACACAACATCCATTGAATTTAACCTATTAACTAAGAAGTTTATTTTCAAATAATTTAGTCTTGGCATTGAATTTAACACAATTTATTCTGGAAATGTTAATATGTTCTAAAACAACTATAATTTTTATGTAAACATTATATTCGCACAAAGTGAAATCAATTTTATTTGTCTATTTTTATGATAAATTTACATGTATAAATATAATCAATGATATAACATAATAGATTTGTTTTGTTACTCGAATTATAATATCGGATTTTTTTAATTATATGATTTTATTTTGTACGCTTTTCCATGCATAATTAAGTTTTTGAGACGCAATTAAAGACTTCCTAATATCTTAAGTAATGATACTTAATAATAATCTTTAAGCTTTTTCTATTTGTTTCATTTCTTTTTAAATGCAAGTGCATCCAGATTATAAAAAAAGAAATGCTTTATTTACTTTATTTACGTCAAAAATTCTCTTTGTTCGTAAACAATTTAAAATATTGTACAAGTACAGAATATAAAGTTTCAAGAATCGAGCATCTCAATTATTCCGTTCTTAAAAATAAATAAGGCAGTGTCAAACTCCAGAGAATTGTTTAAACCCTCGTATAGTAGATGGGTTGAATCATCTTCATCTACATAATTAAAAAGGATTCGCATGTAATCTCGACTCGGTACTTTGGGTCCTGTGATAAATATAATATGCGCATGCCAGGATTTCAGCAATGATTCTACCTACATCTAAAACTCATGACGGTAAAGACAGTTTCACATTCGATGAATGAATTATCGGTAGCATGTAAACAGCTTTTCACTGTCTATTCCAATAAATTATTGAGAGCTGTTGATAAATATATTCGAAGATCATTTTCCAAGGGGTTTTAAATAAGTATCATTAAATATCCATAATTATCCTAGACATAATAAAATATTAATTTATTTGATCATTTCTTCATCGTTTTTTAAGATGCTAAGAAGTGGTTTTTTTACTAGGTACTGTAGTATGAAACGATTTCTTTTTAGTTATTTTGGTAAATGTAAAGAAATATTATTCTAATACTGATGTTGTCAACATCTTAGTCGCGCAAATATTTTCAAACAATGTTGTGTCCGAGCGAAGTCATTTTCTTCAACAAATACGGTTAAGAATGGAACAGAATTAAATTTTCTGGATAAAACCGCTGAAGGCGTAAGAAAATTAATAAGAAAGATTAAAAACAAACGCATTTTCTGAAGGGATTAGTTTGTGAGAGAATTTATTAAAACATCAAAGAACGTCGTTTTGAAGAAAACTTTTCTAGAAACTATATATTTGTGTCAGTCGTATTGGCTATCTGGACATCTGTTGGCATTCTGCAGTGTTTACATTTCATTTCTCGAAGCAACAAACGGCAAAGTCACAAGGATGCGCGCGCATAGATCGCAATTCTGATAGCTTTCAAAACTTGTAATCGAGATCTACCCAAGCTCGCCTTCCTGTAAAAAACTTCTCTGAACCACGCTCTTTGCATTGTTATGAGTTATTACAAACCAACTACGACTCTATTTTCAAAATCTCTTTATAATTTTGTGTAATTAAGAAATTTGTTGTTAGGAAAGAACATATTACTTTTATTACCAATTCTTTCAATTTTGGATAAATTTTACAGCCTTGCTATTTTTCTTAAGCCTACATGTACACATCTTATCAATGGGACGTGTATTGTGAAAATTATGCATTTTATTATTTTTTCCACATTCATGACAAATATTTAACTTTCGTTCAAGAAATTTTCTTTTTGTCTGCGTAACTTGTTCTCCTAAAAGTTCCTTTATAATTTCTTCTAAATAATCATCTCTAATACCTTCTTTCATAGCAACTTTGTAATTTTCCATACTCATAGCTTTATCCCCATTTTGTTCATCATTTTGAATTTCAAAGGTGCTTTGATTTATAATTTCATTTGTTGCAGCATAATGTTTCTTCCATAATTCATTTAAAAAGGAATGTGGAGAAATGTACGATATGCCTAATTTATTTTTATTGTTATTGTAAGCCTTATTATTTTTATACATTAATTCGAACGCGTTCTTTATATATGGTTTCTTAAATTTTTGCTTAATATAAACAAAAGATCTTTCCTGGATGTTGCCCTCTTTTACATCATTAATTTCATATAAATCTTTATCTAAGGTGTTATTGGAGCTTGAATCATTTTTATTATCAGTAATGGGTGTTGTATCTGTTGTTAAGTTAGGATAATCTGTAGGCGTTTTCCTTTTAATCAAGTTTCTCCTCTTGAATTCAATTTTGGTAATGAAACCTTTACTTTTGGAAGAACTTTGACTAACCTGTAAAAAATAAAATACATATATACAAAATGTAAAATCAATATATTATTTCAAATAAAAAAATATTTTTTTTATACGATGACAATACGCAATTCAGGTTATGACCAACTTAAATATTCGAATAGACATGTAGGTTAATTACTATTCAAATCTTTATACAATAATGTTGAAACCACCATCAGTCGATCCTAGTATTGGCTATCGCCTCCTCCTTACTCTGTTCGAGCTAGTTCTGTATTATTAGTAAATTCACACAGACAGTTTAAAATATTTTTTACAAGTATAAAACGAAAATCAATTTAATAATTACAAAGTAAAAAATGCATTTTTCAGAGATTATTATTAAAGACGCCTTTTGTGCAATATTGATATCAATAAAATTATAAATAGCTATATCCTATCTTCCTTCATTATTCGCACCTCAGCGAATTTTATTTTCAGTAGAAGTGAAACAAATTATAAAACGATGGTTCATAATTAATATAGAAACATTCTATACGAAGTGGTTACAGAACTATTTTAATCTTAATTTGTATAGCCAAGAAATAATTTTGGAATATTATTTTAGAAACAAAAAATAACCATTCTAAAAAGTATATATGTGTTTACCAAGTGTATGATTGTGTCAATGATAAATTTATCTCAGAGATATACTTATAATCAATATAGACGCATTGAAATCGAACCTTAAATATCACGTCTAGACAATATTTTTCAATAACCAAACAAATATAAACCATATATCTGGCGACTAAATGTTTTATATTCTTAGTATACTTGAAAAATTTTCTCATTTACATTCCCCAAAAGTTTTTAATTTAAATAGTATAAACTTCTTGAAGTTGAACAAAACTAAAAGTGTGTTCAAAGGTTTTGCTTCTTCTCTATTTGTTTACTTTATAACAAAAATATTTATTTTAAAATGCTCACCTCTCGAATGCCAGAGGGAACAATAAATCCGCAACTAAGTCCAATACACGAGAGAACTAAAACAACCAGAACATTTCTCATTTTCCACAATTGCGAAACAAATTGAAGTGTAAATACAAATATGTTCCTGTAGAATAAAATCACTTGTTCCTTCTATAACGACATCTCAACAATAATGGCCAGATTGTTCTAACAATGGCACATTGTATGGATGCAAACAATTGTTGTAAATATTTTGATTTCTGTTTATATACTGTTTTCTTTAAGACTTTTATACATTATTTATTTTAGTCTATGCTCTTTTGTTATTTTATTACAGTACAAAGATTTTAGTTTTATTAAATTAAATTTATTTCTCTTTAAAATTTTACCGATGGTACATTAGTACACGGTACGTTTGTTAAAACTATAAGATATACATACATATTTTAGTTGAAGGGAAAAATAACTAAGGTATGAATAAAAAATATGTAAGTTTAATTAAAACATTTATATTTTAAATCTTCGAAACAAAGAATACAACAAATATATATTATAACATTATGTTACTTAAAAATTCCCAGGATAGCGACAGCTTCATCCAGAAGAACAGCTATATCAATACCATACCCCAATAAAACTTCGACTTCTTGTTTAAAAACCTCATTTTCCCACAAAGCTGAGTAAATCTGATTCCATTCTTCCAGTTCAAAGCTCTCCATAGCTACTTTGAAGCTTTCGTCCTCAGCTTTCTTCTCTTCGAAAAGGGCCACCAACTTTTCCTTAGGAAACTTGGCAATGCAGTCCTTAACGAATGAACTCATGTCTTTGCCGCTTGCAACATTGCGAGTGCTCCTTCTTTGTATGCCATCTAAAATGTTTTTTAATGTTATTCTGCATGAAATAAAATATTACCCCAAAATATATAAATAAATGATAATTACCAACAAGATCGTTAATAACATTAACGAAGAAAACAATGTCAATGTTGTGGCCCTCCAAAAACTGCACAACCTGTGGATGTCGAAAGAAGTGTGGATGAAATGCTTACAAACGTAATATTACAAAATATATACATTCAAACAGAAAACCACCATTACAAATGAAGGAGATACTTTATTCATTTATTTTCATAACAACTTTAGAAGTGTCTTTAATAACTTTATATTAATTTCAAATTCCTCCACGAGTTTACGTAGATGTGTATTTAGATAATTTTAATTTGCATTTTCCTAATAAACAAAGTCTGAAGATGAATATAAAAAATAATAATGTTTAAAGAGACTTACGGCTTTGAATTCAGGTAAGTCTTCCATTTCGTACACCAAATTTTTGAAGTCAGAAGTCTGCATGTAATTCAAGCTTACTCTAAATTCTTCAAACTGAACATATTGTGCTGCTAGCTCTTGAATATCCTCTCCAGCTTCTTCCATAATAAGATATATAAAGTCTTCATAGTGTTCGTGGAACAGCTTCCTCGGTTGAGGTGCTGAGTAGGCCAGGGCCACTAAAGCCAGAAGAGTAATAGTGATCTTCATGTTCGATTGTTAGACACAACTTCAGAATAACTGTTGCGAAGCCATTTATACTCAGGACATCCCTGATAACGATAATTCTATCAGATGTAATCTTCGTTATTCTTAATCATATTTTTCTTATATCTTCTCTTTTTTTGAAAGTGAGCAATTTAAAAATGTTATAATTTAAAAACATTAACTATTTGTTTCGCGAAAAACTTAGTGAAATTATTTTGATAAAAGTCAATTTATATATGTAAATATATGTTACATTTAATCATAATAGCCAGATATGCGAGTAAAACCACAAATAAAACAAATCAAAGTACAAAACTATTTTTAGCAAAAGATTTTAGGAAAAAGATTGTGAGAAAAAAAGAATTCGAACAAACATTTTTCGATTATTACAGCTTTACTGCATCTAAGGAAGCAATCATTTTTACATTCCATATATACCTATAAGTTCGAAAATATTCGGCCACATTTTTGAAATAATATATTCAATTACATTATAATATGTATACAAAGTTACGGATTGATTAATTATTAATTAATGCCTTTGTGTAATACAACTCAATTAGAAGAAATTTAATTAATTATGTCTAAAATATTGCATACATATGTTCATTAAAGCTGCATAACTGAATCACTGTTAAAAAAAATCATGAATCATTTTTAAAACCTATCATTCAATTCTTTTATCAGTCATCGTCGATCATGTGACATATTATATATATCTCTAATGCTGCAAAGTAAATCTGACGGTTTTATCCAAATAATTATCGATATATTGCCAATAAATTTATTTAGTTATGTAAATCCTACATAAAATTTTAATCTAATTCTCATAAATCGTTAATGAATAACCGTAAAGAACAACACTAATTTAAGTGTCATTATGTCATAATAAGTGGGTAGTATATAAATTTATAGTATGAAACTTATTACTAGCATTGAAATGAGATCAGTCGACAAAGTTAAAAAGATGAATCCTAATCAAGAATTCAATGAGTCATCAAATATATCAACCAAAGATGATAGCAACAGTGAGTTTTTTATCGACGATTATTCACATTTACGGCTATCGTACTATCAATGGCGAGGGGACGAACCTAACTCCACATTGGACAGCACATCTGACCTGTCGTTATGTAATATAGAAGATCCAAAACCTATTGACAATGATAGTAGCGACGAAGGAAGAAAAAAACTTCGGCAATATCTTATATCACAAATACCAGATTTTCCGCATCCATCCTGCACAGTGGCATCCATTATAGCATCTGCTTCACAACGAATGAACTCTCGCAAGAGTAGTTTTATATATGACAAGAGAATTGAAGAGGGCGTTAAGAAGAAACGTGCTCCCGTGATATTTTCTCCAGAACGACGGTCGACATTAAAAACAATCAAACGAAATGCGTTCTAACACTATAAATTGTTATTGTTTTTGTTCAGAAATTGTTCTTTAATAGTTAGAATGTATTTATAAAAATCCAAATTATTTTTATTCTTTTTTGTAACGAGTATTATTTAAAAATGTAACCAGAATGATTTCCTGATAAAGTGTTTAAGATTTATATTGTCTTTTCTTTTCTAATAAATATTAAATAATGAATGTACAGATATGTGTTATGACTATTCAATATATTTGAACTATTTCTCTGACAATACCCACAGAATTTAATTATTACATCTATATTAATGATTTAAAAGTTTTTTTTTTATGTGTATGTATATAATTATGAAATATAAGTTTCAGTAAATCTCTTTTCTCATTTACAGATTATACTAGGTATATAAAACATGAAGAGAATATTTTTATCGAGGTTTCTTTAATAAATTAATTAAATAGAGCAAATTTATAACGAGTTCCATAGTTACTTCAAAATGTTGTTAGTGTGGTTATCAATTGACTTTTGATCATGAAGCATACAACATAAAGTTATGACTTTGGCACACATAAAACTATTTTTTCTTATTATCTTCCTTAGTGCTTTTCTTTGTTTTTAGTAAAATAAAACGTAATGTAATGGTTCTGTTTTGTAATAATTATCATCTGCTTTATTATGTGGGAAATTAACTTCTACAAAACAAGCTTTAAAGGCAAATAAATAAATGCAATATTACTTCCTACACACAATGTGTGATGCAGCCCAACTTGATACTAGTAGCTAGTTCTATAAGAATAAAATTTAACATTTCATTACTTTTTTTAACAAACAACATAAAATTAAAACCGAGTCGAGTTACATCGAGTTATAAGTGCAAAAAATACGTTGAGAGGAACTGGAACATTTTATTGTGATGACTGCGTCACGTCGCATCAGAAATAGTGCTGGGGAGACAAAACATATAATTACTGTAGCTAGTGATTTCCCTCGAGACGCCCGCAGTGCACCACAGAATATAACTCTTATCTTGCTAACTTTAAAAAAAAATATTAATTTCTGAACTTATACCGAGTCGCCATGATATATATTCCGTGCTTACGCTAAGCCATATAAATGACTTGCGGAACGAAATAGTGGGGATCCTCTTGCTCTTGTTGTGTTTTAAGTACACGAGCGGTCTAAAAGAAACAAGTTGGGTAATAAAATTTAATATTAAGACTTTTATTTTTATAAAGATTTAAACGGAAAAATTTATTGATGCTACAGCGACGCATCCCCAGTAGCAATGTTTTTTTTTTATTTCTGTGAAACCGACTTACCTAGAGTTCCATCATATCTTACTGTAAATATATACTCTGTTTACTGTTCTATCTCTTTATTACAAAATTGTCAAAAATTGTTGTTTGTGAAGGTCAAAATTTCTGTAAATAATTGTACATTCTTTTGTCTACAAAATCCCTGCAGGGTTTTTATAAATGTGAAAAACACTGTGTTCAATCCAGAAGATTCTGCCGGAGAGCACTGTTTATAAGGTTTTATATTGAAACAGACTGTCAAAGAAGTAACCTCCGGGAGAAAAGTTTCGGAATGTCCGTAAACTTTCTTAACGTGTCTTTATTTCTGATTGTTAGGGGACTTATAGCCGTAATCATTTCTTACAACTTTCTTTATTCTCTAAGAATTGAGTGTTATTACTACATTACAGTTATATTTCTCTTTATTAATTACTTTTTGAATTTCTATAGGAATATTTTTATTTATCAAAACATTTCATTTGAAGATTCTATAAAATTTAAGTACTTTCACATGAGTACGTCATATTAGTCTAGAATCAGTGAATAACTCCAAAACTACTACCTATTGTTAAATCTAATAATGATAAGATATAAGTCAGCAGAATGGATTGATAAATTCATAAAGTAAGCAACGGAGATTGTATATTAAACGATAAGTTTAAAATTATTAATATTTGGTGATGCTAAATTATATTCCCATAATAAAAAAAAATTGATACAAAAAGGAACAACCCAGAAAACCAACATTTGTTAAATATTGTCATTAATTCTGATATTGTATAATATGTATAATATGTAATATGAACTGGAAACATGATAATACACAGTTTTCTAAAAAAAATGGGTTGGATCGAAATTTTAATACTTGAATATGAGAAAATCCATTAAAGCCAGCAATATCAACGTCAATCTTGACATTCTTTGTGTTAAAAAAGATAAGCAGTGTGGTACAGTATCATATTGTATTCACTTCATAATCTGAATAACATACGACCATAATCAGAAACGTTTTACTCTAAAATAGATTGACATTTAATTACTATATCAGTAATTACGCGAGGGTTGAACAATGTTTCACCAATTTTACACAGCTATACACGAACCCATGAGCTTATTACTGAAAATCAATGGTAAACTTCAACTCAGATTATAAATTATGTTTTCACAAGCAACATTTTAATTATGTTCCTCTTAATTTGTATTTAATACAAGCATTACAGTTATTGAAATAAAAATCGACTTCTGATTTAAATAGAAATAAATGATTCCATCTGGCAGTTCTTGACATCAGTCCGCAAGTAATGATCGTTAAAAAAATTACACTAATATTGTAGACGAAGACTATAGGGGAAAGCTAGTTTATCATAAAATTTGATTATTATCTTTATTTATATAGCAAATAACACTTTACAATGTAAAATATTGGCGTTGTTAATAGAACTAAGCATCAAAAATTCTTAAGACTCGTTTACAACATCACACTACATACGAATTTAAGTATTCCATTTAATTTATTTTTTGTTGACATTACAATCTGTGGCTTCGCGAAGGTCATAGACCGTAGTTATATAAATCTTTATATATCTCTGAAAACTAAACTGTTTATCCTATAAAGTAACTTTTCCTTGGTCAAATCTTGAAAGCAAATATCAATTCAAACATATTTACAAGTTTAATCTGATAAGATTAAATATTGAAGTAGTATTCTACCCATGTTTTTGGTAGGTATTGTTTAATTCTTATCGCATGATCTTAAATCTTCAGACGGATTACTTGTCATGGATTTTCCTACTTAAATGACATTAGGTTTAAGTGTTTAAAATATTACATAATTACAATTCAAAAAGAACATTATATTATAATATTCGCTACGAAAACAACGATCCTTGTTATTTTCAAGGTTTATTTTTTTTATCTAGTCTAATGGGTCTTGTATTTCATTGTTAACATTTATCTCCTGTAACTAACGTTGGATCAATGGTTTACATTTGTGAAGCCAAACATTTTTAAATCTATTTTATTTGTTCTAAGTTAATGTGTACGAAACTTTGATAAATGCAGCTTAAATCTTATGAAAAAAGTTGTAATTTATTTTTTACTTCTTAATAGGTATTTTAGTCTTTGTTCTAAAGTAGCGGTCTTATTGTGAATATTGCTTACGAGTTATACATATCTGATCCAGTTAAAAGCAACAAAAAAGTTGTCGGATGAAACTATATTACATTATACCTATATATACACATATTGGGTTTTTTATTTCAATATTGGGTTTTTCATTCAAAAGATAAATGTCGGGATTGGCCGAATGCGATAGTAACTGAATTAAATATTCATAATATTTTCTATTAAAAGTGAAAACTAAGTATGTGAAAAAAAAATTACTTGATTTATCTAACACTGGGTAAGGATAAAGAAGTATATAACCAAAATTTTAAATTATTTTTACAAAACAGGAACGACCCGATAATTTACACTTTATATAAGTATGTAAAGAATGGCCAGTGGTCAAAAGAAAGAAAGGGAGACCTTATAACAGATGGGAGGACGTAATAAAACGTATAGCGGGTCCAAACTGGATGCAAATAGCGCAATCCAGAGAAAACTGGCTACTTTTGGAGGAGGCCTTTACCTGCAGAGGGGTTCCTACAGAATAATAAAACATAATATTAATTATTAATAACATGCATATAAAACCTGGAACTATTAACTTATTAAAAAAAAACATTTTTTCTTTTTTATTTTTATTTATTATAAGTATATAAACGTCTTCAGTTATATACATATTAAGTGACCTGATCATAATAAATAAAATGGCTTATTCTAAGCATTCATTACTATTCACTGAGAATCTAGAGTGACACTGGCGGCGACTGAAAATGTAGGTTCGGCGTCAAATAAGATTATCCTGGTTTTAGCTGATACTAAATTACATTAAAATCAGCTGCTTTTATAGTAAGTGGCCATGACTTAAGCAGCTAGCAGGGTATACATATGTATACATCTTATCAATCTTAAATGAATTATTGTATCCTTATTATATTAGTAATTATTGTCATGTTTCAATTTGCATTGTTTCAACAGATGGAATGAAAATGTCTACCTATTTGTAATTTAAAATTAACATCATTCATTAGCCTATTACTAAACGCGTCTCAAAGTATTCGGGATACCCTACTTCATCAAAATCATTTTTTGATATTGTAGTCTGTCCATCTCTTTGTTATGGTTGATTTCCGGATTTCACTCAATGGTAGGTAATGTCATAAGAAATAACTTAAGCTAATTTTAGACGAATTCAAAAAGGAGAAAGTTTTCAATTCGTTTATATTTTTGTTACGCAAATTCTTCTTTAATTAGAGGCTAATTTTGATTTCTTATATCGAAAGCGTGTCGTGTGATATTTCTAGTGTCACCAAGTGAGACTCTGATTAAGGAATCTTAGACAATCGAATGAATATTAATAAGGATAATGACGCCAAACACAAATGTCGTTTATTATGCGGGCAAAGTTACAATATCTAGTATACTATGTAGTGTTATCTAAAAGAGTATTTTTAGAGTGAGTTATATTTCGCAACAGGTTACATGAATTCTCTATAAAAGTATCGCAGCTGAGCTTCTTAAGTTAACCCAAAATTTGACATACTGCGAGGTCTATAGTTAAGTTAGGTACATAAAGTAACAAATCTTTATTTTTTAAGTAACAAAGGATTATAAATAAACTAAAAATCCATTACAATTGAATCTCGAATATTCACGAAATTTTTCTTTGTATAACTAACGGTGATTTCTAACAAGGTGCAAATTGGTTTAGCTTGTCTGTGCTACTTGTTTCATTGTCTACGCTCATAGATATTAACTGTCGGATTCCATAAGTCATTTGTCATACACTCTATGCCAAGACCTATCAAATAATAGCTATGTATAAAGTAAAAGGCATCTAGTAACTGTATATTGCACTTTAATTCATTATAAACCCAGTTTCGATTTATAGAAATACTAGTGAAAATCAAGCTCATTTTGCGTATTCTCAAGTTAATCATTGTTAACCAAAGTATACCTGTTCATTTTTGGTAAGTAAAAAGAGGTAAACAAAGTTTTGTGTGCAATATTTAGTGTTGAATAATTATCATGTTGATATGTTTTGTATTCATTAGAAAGTGGTTATGATATAAGTTAGTTGAAAGTTGAAATCGATTATAGCTCTTACTTAACCTTGCATCGATGTTGGAAAGTTCTAAACGATCTATTTCTTACATGTTTATTAGTCTCTAGTTTCTCCGTAGACGTCGACTTCGACGAATGTGTTTGATTAAATTTCTTTTGATTTAAACATAGTAAATATTTTATACCATGAGTTTATTACTAGAATCGTCTGTTTGTCTTTCTTTACCCCCACGTGAGTACAATTTTTTTAAAGAAACCATTAGGTGGTTTTATTTTGATTATGGTCAGAGTTTACTATCCCTTTGCACAATACTGATTACTGTCATTTACCAAACTTTTCCTGTCAATTTTTTTGTTTTAAATTATTATAGTTTGTAATAATAATTATCAATTTGTAAAATAGCAAAAATCATTATAAATTACATTGGCTTCAGATTTGAACCTAAAAGAAACATTTCACACACACTTAAAGACTAATCCTACATCTTTTAACATCTAGTTTTTAAAAACTAGAGGGATAATTATCTACACCTTTATACTCTTATAATTTGCAAATTTTAACATTAATGTTTTGGTTACAGCAACTGAGTTCCGTTATATACCTCGCAGTATGTCAAACTCTGGTTTAACTTCAGAAGCACAGCTGCGGTACATTCTAGAATGGTTCAGAGAATTTAGTGAACTGCAGAGAGAAGATTTTCTTCCCATCCTAGCTGCTGCTCATCTAGATAAAGCGGAACAGTTAGCTGCATCTGTAGCCTCACTGTCATGCGAAGACAAGCCAGTTAGTCTGTTTCAGTGTCGGGTAAATAATATTAATTGATTTCCAAATAATTATAATTTAAAATATATAATTAATAAGAGTACTATTGTATTTTAATTCACTTAAAAAAAAGTGAACCCAATTTTAAAAATTCATTACTATACATCTTTATTCATTAGTATAAATGATTATTTTTAAGCCATTTTTCTCTCACTCTTTCTCTCTCTATGGAGGTTTGTGATTAAATTTGTGCAATAAAACTTTTTAAGTATATATATTAACTTGGACAACAATAATCAATTCATATTTATTTCAAGTCAAAATGGGTTTTGTATATAATTTTTGTATTTTATATCTATACTGTTCCATTAAAAATTATCTAGTTGGTAAAATTTTTAACATTATTATTCCAGATCAAACTATTCAACAGCTGGTTCCCAAATTGGTCTGATGAAGAGAAAGATAGACTTGTTAGAGCGGTATCAGAAATAGATTCTGATTTTGGTAACAAATTGCAAGATATAATGGCTAATGGCTTGCAAGTGAATGGTGATACCGAAGAGAAATTTTTTCAAACTACTGCCCCTGAAGTTGATGAGAAAATCATTGAAAATGAACAATCAGAGATTAAAATCACATCGGAAACTGTCAATGTTGAGATTGCAGCAGCATCTTAAAATGCACAAACACATATTTTAATTTATATTTCCATATTTACTATGCTAGGATATATTGATGGGATCTATGTATAAGGGCCAATGTAGCAATTTAGCCATTTCCATTTTTTCTGCCTTAAACACTTCGTGATACTGTATTCTACAACATCCATTTAAAAAAATGTGTATATGTTGGTGGAAAGACTTAGTTTTTATTGATTCAGTTGTAGTAGGTTTCCAAAGAAACTTCTTTGTGAACCTACTAGTTTATCAAGCTTAAATAACAAACATGTCATGCATGTCAAATGCATGTCATAGTTGCTATGCAAAGTTTCAAAAACATCAGTTGTTACAAGTACAAGATACAATGAAATCAAACTTTAAACACCTCTACTGTTAAATTGTCATTTTGCACATTGGCCTTTATACATAGGAGCCATGGATATGTGGAACAAGTTTTTTCTTGTACCTTATATTTTGTAAACATTTCCTGGTACAATGTACCTGATTTATATCTTTTTTCTATTTTCATAAGGTTTATTAGATATTAATGAGATGATTTATTTTAAACATTCCATTTTTACATTTCAAGAGCTATAAATAAGAATCTCACAATTTTTTTGGCTCTATTTATGGATTAAAACATTTATATTTGTATTATGATTTATATAGAGGTTTCTAAAATAAAAATAATCATATATTTTTAGAAACAAATTTCAGGCATCAGTTTTTTATGTTTTTTTACACTTAAATCAAAATAAAATAGATGCCAATAAGCCCTGAAGAGGTTATTAAATTCCTTTTTTACTATTTTATTGATTGTTTATCAATAAAATCGGTGTTAATATAAAACACTTATTTGAAAATTTATAGATAGTATCATGCCCTTGCCCAAATCTATGTTAGGAATTTAAATATATATCTTTACTTGAATGTAATATGTATTTATACTATATTAAACTGTATTTATACATTTTTATATAAGCAATTGCATTCATATCCTAACTTATAATAAACAAATATTACTCATACTAAATTATAATCTCAAACTATCTCTCATATCTCCAAAGATGGCAATGTTATAAGTACAAATATATATTGTGCCAATATATTTTATTCCTCCTGTAGTTTGTTACTGAGCTATCAATTTAAATTATTACATAGGAGTGATAGAAAGGTGCTGGTGTTGAAAGTTGTGAATTAAAATGTATGTGGAAAGTGTCATGAAATTTAAATTCACTTAATAAAGATAGCTATTATATACATGTTTTATTAAGAACCACTAGATATATATTTAATTTTATTTCCTTATATACAATAATCGTCACTACATGATAGGCCTGTCATTAATTTTTTATGACTAAGTACTTATATTAAATATCGAAGTTATATTACAACAATGCTTAGGGTTATCTAGTTTATGATAAAGAAATAGATAAATTTTCAAGGTCGTATCTTAGATAATATCCAGGGTATGTAAGACGTCACTCTGGTGAACACACTAGGCCGTCCTTCTATACCACAAGTCGCAGGGCCAAAAGATGACACACCAACAGCCATCCAATTTATCTTACCCTGAATTTGGACCATGAGTGGACCACCAGAATCTCCATCACAGATATCCCTGCCTCCCTCTCCACCGGCACAGATTTGATTATCAGTTATAACGTGTTTACTGTAGTCATATATATTTTTGCACTTTTCTAACTTTACAACAGGAACCTTAGCCTTGAGTTTTTTTTCTGAAAATGTACCTAAAAACGCTTTAAGATTAGAACTGAGATACACAAATTGGAAGGAGTATTAAACAAACCCAACGCTCTTCTTAACATATTATTTGTTCCTATCATTTAGTTTAAATAGATTAAAAGATATATTATATATACATTTTTGCATTTTCACGAGACAACAACTAATCAATGACTTTTTTTCACATATGTACCAAACTGAATATAAGTTATGGCTATTCAGTAATGTTCCAAATTTTCTTCTCAGAGTCCTCTACAATACAGGTTCTAAACCATGTACAATGAGGTTCTAAAAAGACCACAGTAAGGTACGCCGTCTCGACTGACACAACTCTGGTATATTCAGTTGATAATAATTACTTTTGTATGTATGATTATCCCTCTCATTTATCAAATGTGTTATAAAATATTCAGCATGAGCAGTTGATACTCCTCAGACATATTAAAAAGATAAAAATTATTGTCAGCACTTACTATATTCATTTTGACCCCAACCCGCTATTTCCGACTGAAAAAAATGTTCAAAATTATTTTTCCTCAATTCCGTATCTATAGGAAGACAGATTGGTTTGATGAAATCTGAAACAATGTATTCATATACCAAGTTGATTATTTCGATTAAAATAAGACAACAAAATACTTTCCTATTATATTAGTACTAATTAGTACATCAGAAAGTTTGCTACCCAATAAATTGTACAATACAAAAAAACTGTGATTTCATATATCTTGGTAAATTTTGACTTACCTATGTATGTATCGAAATCATATATGCGTAGGTATACGGACCTACCTATAGGTGTTATTCAAATATTTCTTTTGTATAAGATATAAATCGCAACATACCGCTGAAAGGTACATCTTGAGCTAATCTCAAGAGTGCAATATCATGATGAAATGAGGGATCTCCGCTGATGTAGTTCTCGTGAATCACGGTTTCTTCTACAGCGATGTCTAGTACATCAGAACTGCAGTAATTCCTCGAGCAGTCCGTATTCCTTGACAAGTCCCACTCTCCAAGCCGCACCTGGGAACTATAAATAATTATCTTAATAAGTATGGCTCTTTTCACATTTTTTTCAATAAGATTTCCTAATAGCTTAATTAACAATATATAGTTCAAGTATATGTATATATAATCAAAGACAAGCATTGTGTGCCTACAGTCCAAAGAGTTGTGACTGACTGCCGTTTTGAAGGATACCTAATGAAATCAAAATTAATCTACACATACATATGTATATCTAGCCTTTCGACTTATCTTTTGGAAATCAATAAAATTTCGTTTATTAAAGTATATACTTATGCTACTTCTGAAAGGATAACAATGCAAAACATAAAGGACGCTCTCAATAACAGTTTGCCGGCCGAAACGTAATTAGAAGCGTATAATTTTTTATGGCTTAGACTTCGTCCTCCCAATTTCCTTAAATACTTCCTTGTTTAACATCACAAATAAAGATACTATTGTTGAAAATCCCTCGCGCCCAGACGTAGCCAAAACGAAGGCTGGTAAAAACAAAAATTAAGTAAGAGATCTCGGTGACAAAATGGTCCTGATCAGACAGCACAACCACCATATCTCAGATATGTGTCGGACAGAGTACAAAACGGCAATAACGGCTTTCAACAAAACCTTCGAATCACTGAATATTAGATTCAGTGTGTATAATTAACCCTTCCTATCTATACCGACTTACTTATACTTAAATTAAATAGAACAATAATATTACGTTATCCTACAAGTCACTGACTATAAAACGAGAAAAAAGACTTGTAACTTCCGTAACTCACAAATGACTATAAAAAGCGAATAAGTGAATATATTTAAAACTAGTTTTTGCCCGCGACTTCGTCCGCGTTAATTTCGTCATTAATATTATATGTATAGCTGACCGGGCGAACTCTATTCCGTCTTAAATAACCAGGTATTGGTTTTTATTAAATTTTTCCTGTTTGAATCGAACAGAATGATTGACATATTAGTTAGTTGTCAAATCTAATGTCAAAAAAAACGTTTGTATGGGAAATAGAAAAGGGCTGTTTTTAAGGTTTTCCCGGAAATGAATCAATTTTTTTCAGCTTTTAAACCCTCCCTGAACCTAAACGAACATTTCAAGACTAAGATAAGATAAATCCGTTCAGCCGTTCACAAGTTTTAGTGAGACTAACGAACAGCAATTCATTTATTTCTAACATTCATAAGTTGCATTTTAACTACAGATTTCATAATTATTTATACGTATTACTTATTAAAAACAAACAAACTTACACTGAGACATCTTCCAGAGGGCGCTTCACGCAGTGTGCAGCAGTCATGACATATCTTGATGATATCAGGACTCCACCACAATAAAAACTATTAGTCGACGCTGTAAATAAAAAAAACTGACTTTAACTTTTATTATAAGGAAAAAAAATTAAGGGTAAACCTTTCCTTAAATTGAGGGGAGGTAATATAAAAAAATATTAATACAAGTATAATTTTTGATATGATCGACATATTTTTAAACACCAATTTTTGTCAAGGGTATATTAGTTGTTGTTCCATTAATACTTACTATGAAACTCATAATTTTGGAATTCACGTATTTTTTCATTGAAATAACTTAGAGAAGAGTTAAATTTTTAAAAACTAACGATTTTAGAATAACATTATCTAATATTAGGAGAAAAAGATTAATAACTTACGTAGACCATAATTCAATAACGCCAACCAGGGATGTTCATCGATTTCAGTTTCCTCTCCCCCAAAAATCCTATTCATAAGTTTATTGCTAATACCACAAACAGTGTTATTAGGTAAGAGATTTAATTCATTTATTTGATTTATATTTGACGTATCGAAATCAGAGGCTGGAAAATCTGGTGGACAGCAAATCTAGAATTTAATGCAATCAATGTTAACCTCATTTTAAAGAAAATATATATTTTAAATATAACTAAATTTACCTTTGATTGGTTACCATCGAAACCGCATTGTAACTTTTTAAATAACTGAATAAATATATCGGAAGTTCTTTCATTAAATCTTTTGTATAGGACATCGCAATCTTCTAGAATCTTACATTTTGCTCCGGATTTGCACGTTTCCGGATTAAAGTTGATACCTAAGTTTATTTATTAAATAACAATTAATTTAAATTCATTAATATACATATATAGTAACCTCTATAAAAGCCTATGTATTTAGAAGGTCAATCAAGTTATTACGAATAAAGGGATTGTTTCAAAGGAGGCTTAGCCTTAACTAAACATTGTTCAACAGAAAATTTAAAAAAAGACTTACATAGATTTTCCACAACTTAAAAATTTCACATTATTTAACATTCTTTTAACTTTTTTCACATAACCTCAAAATTATTATAAAAGTTCAAACAGGTTACATTTATTTCAAATTATAATTAATTTAGATTATAAAAAAGAAATTTACCTGGAGTAACATAATTTATGGTGAGACTGAGTAACAAAAACAAACTTTTACCATTAAACATTTCTGACGTTTCTTACTTTTTCCAAACACTTATGAATTAGTTCAAGGGTAAGTATTTTCACAGATAAATTTAAGTAAAAATGTTTAATTATAAATGTTTTAATGTTAATATACTCTTAGAACCCCGTTCGTTCTTTTCAAAATCTTATTTGGGTTTGGCCATAATGTACTAGTAGAGGATATATACGTTCAAGCTTATCGTGAATGGGTTTTTTAGACTTCTCAAGGCGCATTGAGTAATAATATATTCTACGAAACAATTTTTGAGAGTACAATATTCTTATCCTAAGTTAATATACTTTCGCAGTATACGGAGCGTTAACAGTTTTTTATTAATAAGTCTGCACATTATAATATGTATATCTAAATTTCTGAATGGTAAATAATACATAGAATAATTATAAAAATATTTGAGATAAACAAATGTGTTATTACGAATTTAATTGACGAAATCTTCCGTTTATCTTTTACTGTTGAAGTCGTACCGATAAGAAACATTTTTATTTACATATCTACTTATTTTTAAAGAACTTTTAAAACAAATAAAGAAAAAACTACTTGTAGTGGAATTCTTTTATTGCAAATACTTCCATGAAAATAAATGTAAAAGGTTTTCTAAGAAATCTATCTAATGGGAAAATTGTTGTTACAAAATCCATACTGTATCAGTTACTTTTGAAGAAAATTAAAAACTCGCTACCAATTACTATACTGGTTGGAATATATGTCTAAGTCTCCGATGGAGCCTCATCTCCTTAAAAACAAGAGAGGTACAATAGATACCTACATATGTAAAATTTTTATTGAAATGTTTTGCTTCATACGATTCTCTAACATTTTTAATAATTAATGCTAAGCACAAACCGTATAATAGAAGATGGCGTCACTTATACCAAAATCAACAGCAAATAATCATAGGTTTCCGAACAGATAAGAGACGTTCGACAATAATTAAATTAACAACTATTATGAAACATTCAGCTAAAATATCTTTTTAATTCAAGTAACATACAGATCAAAAACAGTATTAAAATAAGACAGGATACTAGCAGTAATAATAACGTTTAATACTTATTATAAAAAGAAAAAAAAATCGAAGAATTAAATAATAATACAAATATATATATATATATATATATATATATATATATATATATATATATATATATATTACAGCTCTCATTTATTCTAAATTACACAATTAAGAAAAGACTTTTACATGGTAATTTGTCCTAGTTTGAATAAAATCACTTTATCTTATACTACAACTTAGCTTTAGAAAATGGGGTTATAGGTCGATTAAACAAAGCTGCCAAGCAAACAGTGTATTTATAATGAAAAACATAAAATAAAAAAAATAAGAATTTAAGTTTACAATTAATATCAATTTAAGTATTGTTTTTGAAACAAAGAAAAAGTGGTTTCATGTTTTAAAATTTCTTTATATAACATATGTTAACCCACAAAAAAAATATCTAAAAGTATACTTTCAAAAGACATAAAAACGAGCATAAGCATTAACTATAAAAATTGTATTAGAATATTCTTTACAGATATGAAATATAACAATAATTATGCACTAAAAATAGTCTCGACATTCATTTAAAATCGTATTTGTCAAAACCTTTAGTATATTGCTAACAGGTAAAAAAGGCACAAACTAGAAAAATAAAAAACGTTTAAATTGGAATGTTTTGTTTGTTTCTATTAAGAATCTTAAATAAATTTGATTGAACCATTGTTAGATATTTTATTTTAATTCCCAAATAACTTAGTTAACAATAAAAAGCGCCTGTAGCTAGAGTATAATTTAAAAAATCTGTTTTGTTAGCAGATAAACTGTAGCAATAACAATTTCTCTCATACTAAAAACTTTTTAGGCATGTGAGAGACGAAAACATTTCTCACAGCTTGCATACAGTACACCATGAGCCGACAGCTTATTTATAGACACTGTACTTCTATTTTAACGAGGGTAAATCTTTCAATGACTTCCGACCGTGGGGGCACGGCCTGTGCATGTGAAATTTCATCCACTAAAACTCCTTGATATTTTCTGCACGGTGCGCCAACTAGTGTAACGGAGATGGCAAGCCATACATCCGTTCACTATTCATTATTTAACCTGGAGGTCAAGGAACCGAGCCGTCGGTCAACTCCTTTGCCAAAAACTGGACTACCAAGTGCCAAGCAGGTGATCCAGCGAGCACGCAAGCCACCTTGTCGGAGACATTGTGGTATCCTCCAGACTCTCCGTGACCGGGGCCGACTAAACCGGCATATTATTCCGAGCACCGAGATACCGACCCACGGGTCACTCTTCAGAATTATAGATATTACATTAGCGAATGGTATTGAAGGTGCCAGTTCATGTTAACTGACCTATGATCAATTTTAAGAATTAGAAGGAAAGTTACTTGTAAATTTTTTGAGAATTTCTCTAAGACCAATTTTTGTAACCCTAATCAAAATATAAATAGATTCCTTTGAGTATTGTGATCCTAGAATGATATTTAGGTACTAATATCCCACTATCTCTATAAATACCTCTAGAAAGCTGCCAAATATTAGTTGCATCATATTTAAAACTTATTAAATTTAATGATACAACTCTCAAATAAAGTTTTATATGTAGATTATAAAAAAAATCTTAATTAGTGCATCTACAATTTAAAAAAAGTTTAATTAGGATTCTTGGAAGAACGAAACCTGGTTTTTATTTTATATCTACAAAATTATAATCTATTACTGAACTCAAATGAGTCAATCTTAAATCTACCAGGATACGAAACAATTTATTTAACAATAAGCTGGTAATGATTAATAGGAACATAAAAGTTCCAATGTTATTATAGTCTATAATTTTTCAAATCAAATCAAATCAAATCAAAAAATCAAGTATCAAGTAGACATACACAGTTAACATATAAAAAACAGTATAAAAAAAATAACAACGAGAAAGTGATGCCTAAATTGGTAGGCCACTCAGCTTATGTTGAAAATCATTATCATGACTTTCAACGCTGGTATTCTGTGGCTGCCAGTACCTACGCACGCCACGTCGCAGGTAGTGAGAAAAAAAAAAATAATAATAAAAAATAAAAATGTGTATAATAGCTAAGAACAAATAACCTAACAAAGAATATTATTGGAAACTAGAATAAATATACCTAAGACATAAAAGCTACAGTGGGTAAGTTACAAAATAATATTTCTTAATATCATCATAAAATGGTTTTGTGAATGACATTATTGTGTTATTCATATAGTGGCCACATTAATAAGGTAAGAATTTACACACGACCAACGCACGGCACACATAATGTATAATATGTTTAATTAAGACTGAGTTTATAAATTCATTAAATGCATTTTAAATTTGTTTCTAAATACATTTGTTGTTTTTAGGTTTCGAAAAGGTGGCGGCAGGTTATTCCAGCACTTTGTCGCCGTGTAAATAAAACTACCTCGAAAGGCTGCGGTCTTAAATAGTGGCATGATCAACGAGTATGGTGAGGCTCGTGTTTCGTGAGTTAGCCTCTGTTCGCAAGCCCATTTTAATTTGTGATAGAGGTATGGAGGCATTTTGTAATTCACTATCCCGAACAATAAAGTCGCGAAGTGTAATTGTCTGCGATAGTCCATCTTCAACATCTTAGCAGAGTTCAAAAATGGCGTAACATGTGAGCGTGGTGGAATGTTAAAGCAGTATCTAGCACAGGCATTTTGTACTTTTTGGATAAGATTCTTAGTACGCACAAGCAACCTGGGACCTGTTACTATGTCAGCATAGTTTAATTTTGATAATACAAGAGCCTCGCATAAATCTACTCTTAGTTTAGGTGTTATATATTTTCGTATTTGATATAAAAGTTTTAAACGATAAAAACAGTTACTAATAGAGAGCGTAATGTGTTTATCAAATCGTAGATTCTCATCCATTACTACTCCCAGATTGCGTGTTTCTGTGACACGTTCGACCTCAATGTTATTTAGTTTTATAGTTGGTGATAAGATTGCAATTTTCCGTATCTGAGTAGGCGTACCCAAAATCATGAATTTGGTTTTCTTCGGATTTAACATTAAACAATTTGAATTGGACCATGCAGTAATTCTTATTAAGTCTTCATTGAGCTTATTTAAAGCTATGTGTGTAAGTCTGTAGGTTTAAAAGATATGTATAATTGTACGCCATCGGCATAAATATGATAATTACAGTGTTTAATGGAATTTATGATATCGGCACAATAGAGAGAAAAGAGCACAGGCCCAAGGATCGAGCCTTGTGGCACCCCTCTTGTGGTAGCTCTACTACTGGAAACACATTTAGACCCATCCTCCCGAGTTACTTCTACGACCTGTGACCTATTATTGAGATAACTGTCAAACCATCTAATAGTGTCTGTGCTGAATCCGTAATAATGGAGCTTGGCTAATAATAATGTTAAATTTATAGTGTCAAATGCACGTGAAAAGTCGAGAAGTACCAATATGGTGCCTTCTCCGGAATCTTGTGCTCTTAATATATCGTCAACTACGTTAGCTAGAGCTGTAGAAGTACTTCTACCTTTTCTGAATCCTGACTGAACACATGGAAGAATGTCACAACTTTCTAAATATTGTGTAAGTTGAGAGCACACTACTTTTTCTAAAACTTTTGATAGGGTGGGTAGAATACTAATGGGCCGGAAGTCACTAATATTTTGGGGGTTATCAACTTTGGGAACGGGTTTTACAATTGCTTTTTGCCATAGTTCAGGAAAGGTGCTAGTCTGAATAGACGTATTTACAATATTTACAATGGTATCCGAAATATACGTCAAACCACATAAAATCATATCTATAGAAATACCATCAGCTCCTATCGCTTTAGATTTAATACTCCGTAGAGTTTTTAGAATTGTTATCTCGTCTACCTGTTTTAGAACGAAGCAATTGGAGAAATGTCTATTTTTCGTGTAGTAATGTATGTCACTGGATGCCACGTCACTATTTCCGGGCAAGGTTAGAAAAAATCTATTAAAATTATTCGGTTCTGACAAATGATCTGGTAGGCACGTGGCATCCCGTTTTTTCTTATAGGCTAAAATATTCTTTAAATGCTTCCACATGAACTTCGGTCTCTTAGCGTTATTATTTATGAATTGAGTAAAATATGCACCCTTCTCTCTATGAATTGCTAGTTCAACTTCTGATTTCAAATCCTTATAGTACGCTATGTGAGTATCTTTCTGAGTGTGTTTTTTAATTATAAAAATTTCTCGACTTCCTAATTTTTTAATACTTTTCGAGCATTCTGATTTGAACCTACCAAATATTACTTGATGTACAAAACTCTTTAAAGAAAATGATATGTGGTTAAGGAGACAGGAAATTTGGGATGATTTAAAAATAACTTTTTCAGTCCAGCTTTTTTGAAAGCAATGCCTGTGGGTTTGGCTGTTTCTCTATATTTAGAATTTAGTTATATTATATTTAGAATTAAGAATAGTTTCTCTATATTTCACAAAGGAGAAAAATCTTACTTTTCTACTGTGACAAAAATGTGATTATCGAGGGTTCTAAAACCTATTCTTTATCAATAAACAATATATACATACAAATATATAGGTCCTAAAAATTAGCCATTGTTATAAAAATATAATAAAAAAGTTGAGAATACATGAACTAGGGACCAAACAAAGTTTATTAATTTTAACATTCAATTTGCTTTTTTTTTTAAATGCGTGTCATTTATTACTTAATATATTTTTAAAAATTAAGGTCGAAGTTTGGACACTATCCAGTCAATATAAGCGGTGACTCTCGTGTACACGCCTGGCCATCCTGCTACGCCACAAGGTGTGGGTCCAAAGGAGACTACACCAATTGCCATCCAATTGTTATCAGCATCGACTCGCCCCATAAGTGCTCCTCCAGAATCTCCCTCACAAGAATCCTGACCGTTTATACCACCAGCACAAATGTGATTCTCACTGATCTTTTCATCTATTTGCCTGTAAATATCTTTACAAACCTTTGTATTCCTAACTCTTACTCTAAGCTTCATCTTAATTTCCGATGATGACTCTAAAACACATAAGTATAACATTAATATAGTCAACCAACAGATTGAATTCTGAATTCAAATGGAGTAAAAGTACATATGTATATACTTTTTTATATGACGAATGACAGATTGATATTTATCAATATATTTATATTAAAACTTACTTGTTTCTGTTTTTCCCCACCCTGCTACTTCCATATCATAACCTTCAAAGTTATTGTTTTTTAATGTAGGATCTATGGGAAGGCAGATAGGTTTCACAAAATCTAAAAAATATCAGAACAGATGCTTTAGATACTTCTCTAACAGAATCATCAAAAAATATTACATATTTTTTTCTTAACTTGTATATAAATGACAAATATTTTTAAATAGGTGTTACAAATGTTTCTTACCAATTCTAGACCACAATAAGGAAATAAGAATGTTGCTTACTCCTTTATGAAAATGTACAAAGATGGAAATTATATTCCTAATTAATATATATATATCGGTGTCAAGATGATAATATGCTCCTCCATGGTTATTGTAACATAAGTCAAATGTGTTACTGTTCATCAATGATTACATTTTTAAGTCTATATTAAGTATTAATTATACTAAAGTTGAAAGAAAAATTGGTACTCCTAATTATCAGTAACTTAAATAGAAATCTATTTACACAGTAAAATAAATTAATTGTATATTTAAAAAGAGCGTAGATATTTTTGTACCACGTGGTAAGGAATATGTATTGGATTCTGTGTACATACACCAAAATTAAAGATCTAACGTTAAAATAACTTTTGAAAATTCCTTTGGTTTTGTTAGGTACAACGTTTGTACTCCTATTGTTTAGTCAGATTTCAATGATACTTTACGGGATACAGAAAATTTCGTTGTAAAGATTTACTTAATTATAATTAATTAGAAAACTTCAATTGACAATAGAAAATCAATAATATCATACATATCAAAATGTAAATTTTGCTTACAATCTACGTATTTGAATTCATCATATTAAAATACGATTATTTACAATTATAAAAATAATGTACTCTTACTAAACGAAAGATGCAAACCTTATCAACTGCAGTGCAAATTTCATAAACGGAAAAAGTATTTGTAACACCGTTATATACATACCATTAAACGTTACTTCCTGAGCCAGTCTCAATAGGGCGATGTCATTTAGTTTTTCCCTGTCAGGTTTGAAGTCTTCATGAGGTATTATCTCTTCGATATTAATATCTAAAGGGTCCGGGCTGCAGTCATCTTGAACGCAATCCGTTTTGTTTACCAAATTAAACTCACCAACACGTACTTGGTATCTTAAAAAAATATTTTGACATTTTTATTTATTACAAATTTTACGATACTAAAAAAAATATGTTTTTTTGCATATAACTCGATTTATTAAATTTTGCAGTTACTTGAAAGAAAGCGTTAACAAGCAGACGAGATAAATTTGTCTCTGTCAAGACATTGGGTACAATATAGCTAATAGTTTTTAAACCTCAAAATCACAGTTTTATTTAAAATAAAAATTAGATATCATTGCAGTGTATTTTTCTTCAAATAGATACTACTGTTTTACCATTACATATATTTGAAAGTAAAAGTAAAGTTTATACATTCATATTTATGGTCATTTATATAATATTACTTACAATTGTAAATTTTGTACACAATGAGCTGCAGTAAGCACGTATCTCGATGATATTAACACTCCTCCACATTTAAAAGTGAATCCTCTGGCTATAATAATTTTGTTACAATTTATAAGAAGGAGATATTTATTTATTATTATACTAGCTGACCCAGCAAACGTTGTTATGTCATATAAAAAAATAGGGGTTGGTGATAAAAGGTTGAAAATTGTGGGTTGTATGTATTTTTAATGCTACATTATAAAAAAAGTTAAAAAAAAATTTCGTCCGAAAAAAAAAGTAAAGGGTGACCAACCCTTATGACTAAGGGGTATGAAAAATAGATGTTTGCCGCGTCTCAGACCTACTCAATATGATCACAAAATTTCATCAAAATCGGTCCAACCGTTTCGGAGAAGTTCTCTGTCTAACACCATGACACGAGAATTTTATATATAAGATAGTTATTGAAATATTGTATTTTATCTTCTATATATATAAAAATGGATTGCTGTTCCTTAGTCTCGCTAAAACTCGAGAACGGCTGATTCGATTTGGCTAATTTAAGTCTTGAAATACTTCTGGAAGTCCAGGAAAGGTTTAAAAGGTGAGAGAAATTGGAATAATTGCCGGGAAAACCCTAAAAAACAGCCCTTTTCTATTTCCCATACAAACGTTTTTTTTGACATTAGATTTGACAACTAACTAATATGTCAATCATTCTGTTTGATTGAAACAGGAAAAATCTTTAAAGGATTATATATGGCCTCTAAGACGGAATAGAGTTCGCCTGGTCAGCTAAACCTACATATATTACTCTTGACCAAACTAACGCGGACGAAGTCGCGGGCAAAAACTAGTATCTAATATTTTTGATCTCTCACACTAATTAATAATAATTAATTAACTTGAAAAGTCGATTTCTTGCGAAGTTATGTCAATAGTAAATCTAACCATGATCATTGGTTATGCATATTAAGGAGGTTTGTGTTTTTGGAAAATTCTGTTTAAACTTTAAATTGAATGATAAAAAATAGGACACTCTTACGATGGCTATATTTGAGAAGTACAGTCCAAGGATGTTCGTCAAGATCTGTTTGGTGTCCTCCAATTATTCTGTCGTCATTTTGAATACCGCAGACGTCTGTGTTTGGCAGTAAACTAAGACCACCTGTCTTCTCAAACCCAAATGGACAGCAAATCTAAATAGTAACAAAACTGTAGTTACAAATACAGGGATTATTTTACGCAATATGTAACATATTTAATATTTTTTTACCATAGGTCTATTCTTTCCGTCGAATCCACAAGCCAAACTTCTTAATAGAGGCATTATTGTAGCGCTATCCCTTTCGATAATTTTTAACATTACTTCGCATTCTTGTATAGGGATACATTTAACACCACCTAGACAGATATCTAAAAAACATATATGTATATTTTTAATTTTGAGTTGCAAGTAATATATTAATTAAAATAAGTCAATTTTACGTTTCACATATTTATGAAATATCATTAAATAACATATTTGTATAAATGTAAAATATGTAAATCGAATTATAAAATACAGAAGTATTACTATGCTGTGCCATTTTAGAACACGATAAATATAATTGTCAAATTTGAAACTAAAACCTGGTAAAATAATTTTCCATGCCATTATGGCTCCAACGATCATCTGATCTTAGCCACCCACTTCAACAGTAAGTTTGCTCGCGATATCCGTGTTTTTAGTTTTTTGACGAAAAATTTTATTTTTTGTTCAAAGTGATCAAATGAAACAAAGCGGGCCATAGTCTTTTTCTGCTTTTTATAAATATTCCGTAAAAGTTAACGTCTAAACTATGTATATAACATATACATATGTAAAATATTTACCTAAGAACATATTAAAATTTTATACGGTATCAACCATTTTATATTATTATATATAAGTTTGTAGTGACTTCCAAAAATATAAAAATATTTTTTAAATTTATTTCATGGGTTACTAACATAAGTTAAAACGATAAACGAGAATTCCTTAACAAAGTAATAATTAAAAATTCACTAAGTTAACCAGAACAGTTATTTATTTTAATTAGACGGTTCCCAAGACTATCAGTGAAAAATACACTGTACTTTAGAGACGTGTTCAGAAAAAACCTCACTACAATACGACACAGATCATTTGCTTATATTTAACTGCAATGTTTTATTAATTCCTATCAAAACATTAATGTACCAAACTTTTACAACGATAATATGGCTAAGTCAAATTTAATGTCATCTTAAAAGATATATAAAAGTCATGACCATATAAAAAACTATAGTGGTGTAGAGATTTAACAAAACACGGTCATGTTACTGAAACCACCAAACTCAAAATCTGATTCGCCAAGTTTCTTAAATGAATACATCTTTTGGCTCGTCGGTGTACTTGGAACAGTTGTCATTGGGTAAATACCGTTGTGATAGCAATTGACAATAAAATATTATTATGATTGTGTATGTCATTATATTCATCATTGGATAGCGTTCCAAGAAAACGTCTGAGATTCTCCACTGACCTTATCAATTCAAAACACATTTAATATCAAATTATGTGTTATTGATATTTTAAATGAGAAAACGCTTGTGTGGAAACATTTATTTACTTATTTATTAACTACATGAGTTATCAGTTTAATTTGCTATTTGTGCAACATTTCGTTTTAATCAAGTCACAACAATTTTAATGAATAATTTCCATGAAATACCATTGTTAAAATCGACTATTAAATTAGTGAGGTAAGCCTGTTTCATTAAAAACCAGTTACCTATTAATCAAAAAAATATATGTATACTTCTCAAGATTCTCATGATTTCAAATTATTCGTATGTGTCATCCCTACTAATCCCTACTAGTATTATAAAAGCGAAAGTAACTCTGTCTGTCTGTTACGCTTTCACGCTTAAACCACTGAATTAGTTTCAATGAAATTTGGTACAGAGATAGAGTTGACCTTGAGAAAGAATATAGGATAGTTTTTATCCCAGACTTTAGAAAAGTTCTCTTGGAAATGCGATATAACCGAACTCGACGCGGACGAAGCCGCAGACAGAAAGCTACTATTACATATAAACATATTAACATTTGCTAGACAGAGTAAATAACATTACGATGATATCGCTATCAGAATATTTTCTTCTCTTCACAATTTATATACAGTAATATTGCCTTAAATAAATTTATTTTACCTATAACTATGAATTTTTATATTTTAAAAAATATATCAATTAAATTACCTTCAGCAGTAGCAGTCAACGCCGTGATACTGAGAAATAAAATAATAATACTTTCTTTAATATACATTATTAAAAAAAGAACTGTAAATCCAGCCGACGTGCTTGTTCCACTAAGACTAACGATTGATACTGATACCTAGTATTTTTAATAATACATATATGTACACACATATAAAAGTGCTTAAACTTCGGAATGGGTTTTTTGGACGTTATGAGTTACGTTAAACCAAATTATTTATTATATTTTATATCACGACGATTGATATATGACACAACTATATAAGAATTCTTTTAGGATTAATTTTTTTTTTCATAAAATGGAATAATCTCAAAATATTGGAATCGCAAAAATAAAAAAAAAATTACAATAGAAAAGAACCACAAGTCTAGGAATATCATAAATGTCTTGAAATCGATAAATTTGAAAATATGGGACTAAAAATAAATAAATAAATAACAAATAAAAAAAGAACTATACACTTTTCATACAAAATTATTTTCCTTTGTCCCAAAAATTTAATCTACGAGTAAATATGGTGACGACGTTCTCAAGTTAAAACTTCTTTACGAATTGGATATTCCTTATTTGTTTGTTTTTGATAACTGTTTCGAATATTTTTTAGACAATTCTTACTTTAAAAAATTCAAATGATTGCTCAAAAACTTAGAAAATATAGGAAAACATAGAAAACTACTTATATAGTGTAATGATAACCCAATGATATATGTAGACTCAAAAAAATTGTTAATTGTTTCACTTCGTTATAGAAAAAGCCACAGTTGGAATTAGGAATAAACTATAACCATTATGCAGCTCTCCATTCCGACTGATGACAAAAAATATAACAGCACAAGAGACAAGAGACTAGTGATTATTTAATTAAGTATAAAATAACTATTTTAATATAAAAACACACCACAAATTTTAGTTCAACTCATTTCCAGCCATTTTGATTTTTATTACATTTCTCTACGTGTGTACAAAAACATCATATATGTTGATAAAATAGGTTTATTCGATGGGTAACCATACTTTCTGTCATTTACATTAAATAGCGTGTTTACTTTATCATCATCATCACTGGCCTTTTCATCTATTACAGATGATATATGAGAGTGTGTAATTACAATAGACACTTTCGTTGGTGGCTATGCAGACCGATTCTGGAACGGCAAGACCGGCCGCATCTGGAACAGGCGCATAACGCGACGGATGCGCCTGCTGGCATGTTTTACTTTATACAAACTTAGGAAAGTACCTCCAAAATTAAATAAAAAAAAGAGTAGCAAAAATACACCAATTATTAAATTATTGCAAAATTACTACAAAATAATACACATAACCCCCTATTATTTTTACCTAGCCGATAGCTTTTGAGCTTAGTTGCAATACAACATTTAATTTACAAATGTACTTGTATTATTGATTTACAACTGTATGTATACCTTTTTTGGAAAAACAATTATAATTGTCTTTGTATTCGTATCATTCATTACATTAACTGAAATTAGTCACACTCTTCTTTGTCATACCGTGCTTTTGGAACATTTTTAATAAAAATTGTAATCAATTGGATAATATACATGAAGGAATGTTTAAAAAACTGAAGGAGTAAGAAGAATCTCTGATTGGGTTTCACATTATATAGTCCAATCTTATTTTTTGAAAAATCCAATTTCCAATATTGACTACCTTACTGTTTGGGTAGAGGTAATCAAACTTCTAACCCCATACTTTCAAAATATGAACTAATTGGTCTGAGATTTTTCCGAACAGATACAACCTGATAACCTTCAAGAAAAATGGAACTCCTTCCTCAATTTCAATGATGAAATAAAGAAGTGATAAGGTTCCTGTGTTTTTCGACTGAAAATAACAAAAAAATATTTAAAATTATGTTATCACAATACCCTTTTTATTTTATTTTTCCTCAACATACAGCGTATAAGACAATATTGACTTCGAGGTAGCTCTAAAGATATGATGATGTTTCAAGGATGATGATCCCCAGAGATTTGAAACATTTGATGTGTCTGAAGAAGTCTCTCTGAATAGAAAATTCAAGGCTAAAACTGGATTAGATGGTATTTTGGGCTGAGTTTCTTCTTTACTCTTGACTGTATAAACATGTTATTTGGCTTTTTTTTCATATACATAATAACTTCCATACAATCGTAACTTATGATAGTTTATTTATTTTTAACGAACATCATGTAGATCTAAATTTATAATGCTTTTGACACTAACCTTAAAGTAATTTAACGTAAATAAGTGTAAAGCTATAAATATTAAATGTATGAAAAGGTATAAAAAAATTTAAAAATCTTTAAATACATATATTTAAATTATCTTGTATTAAAAGATATTTGATTTATAGGAAATTAAAACAGTACTATATTTGCAATGTTTGTATACATTATATATAGAAAGTGATATTGTGAGAAGAAATGACGAATCTGATACAAATAATTTTCGTGTTTAATAACTTTTATTGTGAAAAATTCGGAAGTTGACTATACATTCACATATTTATTTATTTTATTTAAGTCATTTAAGTCATTTATTCTCTCTTCACAAAATACTTGATACACATTATCTTCTATATATATAAAAATGGATTGCTGTTCCTTAGTCTCGCTAAAACTCGAGAACAGCTGAACGGATTTATCTTAACTTAGTCTTGAAATGTTTGTGGAGGTTCAGGGAAGGTATAAAAGTTGAAAAAATTTGATTCATTACTGGGAAAACCATTCAAACAGCCCTTTTCTATTTCCCATACAAACGTTTTTTTTTGACATTAGATTTGACAACTAACTAATATGTCAATCATTCTGTTCGATTGAAACAGGAGAAACCTGATTATTAATGGCCTCTAAAACGGAATAGAGTTCGCCCGGTCAGCTATACATATATTACTAATGACGAAACTAACGCGGACGAAGTCGCGGGCAAAAACTAGTCTTATATAAATATACTTTTTAATTTAATGTGTTTTTATAAGATTTGTTGAGAGTTGACGTGAGTTTTGAATTTTAATGAATCATATGAATTTTCGGGTATATTTTCAATCGGTAAGAAAAGAATAATAAATAAATTTTTTAGTAATAATATAAAAATAAGGAAAAGAAAAATACGTTTATGGAGATTCCAACCACAGTATCTCGGGGTTAAGGAACACTCAGATTATTGTAGTAGATAAGCTGCAAATGATAGTATATTACAAAAATATGTATAAGTAATGAAGATATAGAAACAAAATGCATATAAAGTTATGTAAAAACTGAGATTATTCCGTATAAAAACTTAAATGGAAAAGTAAATAATCAAATATAAAATATAAAACTATTCAAATAAAGTAAATGGAGGAAGTAAATATTATTGTAAATTTTTAAAAGATAACCAATTCGCTGCATTATATTTGTAATATTCATATAAACATATTTAATATTAATCTCATTTTAAAAAGCCTAATATATATAACAGGGATTCCCAAAGTTTACGCCTTTGTGGACCGTAGAAAATTAAAAGGGTCAAAGACACAAAGAAGCGAAAATATCTTGTATGATTTAAGCTATAAAGAGTTTGTTATGCTTTTATAGAAGCATATAATAGAATAGAAGTCAGTGGTGGTCTAGTGGTTAAAAGGCCCGCCTCTCATGCACGAGGCCGCGGGTTCGATCTTGGCCCGGGCAAGTACCAATGTGATTTTTTCGAGTCATATGTACTTTCTAAGAGTATTTATTTGGTGGTAGAGCCTAGCTGTGGTCAATTTACTTCAGTTCGTATATGGGCTGGCTCGACCGGGAAGTCCCACACTCTCACAGAAGATCGGCGTGAAGTAGTAGTCAATGGCTTTCGTCCGATAAGTGAGAGAGCCAGTTGCCCTTCCCCTTATCCCCATCCTTTCTCTTTTCTCATAATTTCCTCTCCCCTTTTCCCTAATCAAGGCAACGCATAGGCAAAATACTTTGGCGGATGTCTATGGGTGACGGTACTACCTCTGTCAAGTAGGCTGTCTGCTCGTTTGCCTCCCTTTTTCATAAAAAAACTACTGCAGAGCAACTTTTCTAAACATGTTGAATCTTGAGGAAGAAGAATTTATTGGAAAACTACTATAAATTATTATTTTCAAGGTATCCTCGTGTAACTATTCGGATAATCCTGACATACATATATGATAATGCTCTGCAAAGTAAAAACAGTGCTTCACTAACTTACTACTTACACTTACTGGTTGGTAACATTATTATTAAAAACCTTTAATTCTGCAAAAGTTCTTTTACAAGTACAAGCATTTATTCCTAAAAAAGAAAACACCAAATACTATGTAAATCATTTCTATCATCCATAGGCAAGTTCTGGTATCAATTTCAATGAGCATTGAATTAAAAAAAGTGCTATATAATAATTTATGCCGTAAACTACACTAAAGCAAGGCTACTTAAAGTAAGACTTTTTAAAGAACTTAACATTGATTTGAAAGCTAAACATACAGTTCTTCTATATTACAGCAATTAACAATCGCCTTTATTTGGAAATATTTTATTTCGTGTGTCCGAATTGCATAATGAAATTCACACTTTTGTTAAGCAAGAGTATCATGAAAACTTCAGTATGAACTGAACCAGGTTTTTTGCTTAAAATAGCAAATTAATTTATAATAATTATATCTGTCATTACAACAGACACATACTTAAAAGACAGTGGAGTTTAAATAAACAGCTTTTGTTTATAGAAAGATGAATATAGAATGCCGTTAAGATTGCTCTGGCCGTACTTAGGAACACATACGGCTCAAAGTTCGTTATGGCATAAGAAGTGAGAGTAACAATCTCAAGTATTATTTTCCGATTCGATAAACTATAAGGAGATCACTAAGATCATCTGGGAAAATTTATCATTGAGAAACGTATTTTCTTATAGTTTTCCTAAGTCACTCTTGACTGAATTCTAATTTTTTGTGAATATAAATTACTTACTTAATTTCAAATTTACGTACGTAATGGTACCTTTTTCTTTCAACATAATCTTTTTTACATAATCGAGATACCTAACGATCCGGGAAATGAGCGGGGTTTCAGTGCTTTCTTATAGTACTCAAAAGTTATGAAGACTCGGTTTCGTAGTTTGGCTCTAGTCAAAACTTTCGGAACAAATATAAAATAATTTTTCCACAAAATCTATTAAAACTCTAATATTCATAATGAATAAATAAACAAACCAAGGTAATAAAAAAAATAATAGAACATACAATATCTGCAGCCCATTTAAATTAATATAAATCAATTATATTACTCATAAACTTTGAATTCTTAATTTTTTGGAGAATTAGACCCAGTTTCACCAATCAATGTTAAATAAGTGACAGCTTGTTAAGGCGTTTCATGGTCTGTTAGAGGTATCGAGCGTCCCACCGCGTAAGAATATAAGCTTAAATGTATTAACAAGCCACTAATATTAATTCCTGCTCTGGAGCTCCGGCTAATGGCTAACAGTATGTTAATGCATTGTCAAAACTCAATCGTCCAATCACAGCCCTGATTTCTTGTAACCATAGTAACGTCATCTGTTTTGTCCGTTTTGACTATTTCCTTGTACTTGATAATAAAGTGAATTAAAATTTCATTTAGTTTGATGATTTTGTCTCCAGCTTTTCTTTGACGTTGCAAATTAAGTTTTCTTTTTATCTCTTATAATTTGAACACAATTTATGTCTATATTCATAACACAATAATATATAACACAATTTATTGAGAACACGATTTTGACAAGTTACACCTAGTAAATTGAAAAGAAAGCTTTTTGTGTGCCAAATGTATGCAACCAACGATATATAAAATTTGGTCGCATTATCTAACAAGTGACGTATCGAGGAATATACATATACGATCAAAGTACAAAGTGGTGCATCGTGGCAAACGTGTCGCGTTAATCGCTATAGTTTCAATTTGGTCGTTTTATAACAAGAACGAATAATTTTGTAGCTGGTCATGTAATATGACATTTAATAATGCGTTATTAATTTGTCATCGTGGAACGTAAATATTTTAACGGACATATTTTATAATTTTGAAGGTTTGTTAGTAAATGCCATATTTAGATTTAACAAACATTGATTGGTGAAACTGGGTCTTAATCATTTAAATACTCCACAGAGAAATATTTTTCAATAAGAAAGAACTTTTAATCATAACAAAAGTTTTAAGTATTCCCATTTTAATGCGTTACACATGACAATAATTGTATTAATATAAATACAATAAAATTTATAACAAGATAACGACCCCTAGTTTGAAGGTCACCTTATTGCATTAATAATAAATAAAATATTATTATCTATTCAATATAATTAATATAAACGATTTCATAAATTAATGTTATTAGTAAAGTATCATTATTCTTATAACTCCTTTTAAGAGCAATTTCGGTAGGTACGGGAAATATTTTTAGTTAAAATAAATCCGAACTGATTTTCTAGATACATTGTTGATAGATGTTCACTCGTCAGTTTATTAAAACAAAAAGGAAACAAAGAGATGATATTGTTACTTCATTCTTAATATAGAAACAATTTGCATTAAATATTTAGCATAAACGGCACATTTTTCCTCAATCTGTTTTTGCCTATCACGACTTGGAGTATTTACAATATATTTTGTATATTATGCGAAACTTCATAATACTATGTGATGTAAAAGTTTTTGTACTGTTACAAAGTTTTGAAAACTTTAGAAATGTATTATGACTACTACTTTTTTATATTAGTAATCAGTACTGAATGATAGAAACTTTATAACCTTCAAATGTAACTTTTCCTGATAGTTCAATGATATAAACATTATACTTTTACAATATATCAGTAACATTCCTAATTGTTCTTATGAATAAAATTATATAATCGGAAAATTAATAAAATTAAAAACCAAATATAATAAAAAACAAGATATTTATAGTTAAAGTCATGGCACCTCTCTGGAGTATTTCTATTTATATATTTCTTTTTAAGTTATTGATGTTTAATACATTTAACTTTGTAGAATATTTTGTGACACTTATTTAACATTTTGAATACGGTTAGGGCTGCAATTTTGATACAATCCAATCAGTGAAAGCGGTGACTCTCGTGTACACGCCTGGCCATCCTGCTGTACCACAAGGCGAGGGTCCATAGGAGACTACACCAATGGCCATCCAGTTCTTAGTAGCATCGACTCGTCCCATAAGTGCTCCTCCAGAATCTCCCCTACAAGAATCCTGACCTTCTATACCACCAGCACAAAGTTGCTTTTCAGTGACTAAGCGATTCGCCCGTTCGTAGATTTCTTTACAATCATTTGTATTTCTTACAGTTACTTTAACCTTCAATTTGATATCCGAAGATAGCTCTGAAAATATAAATTTTACATATAATACCCAGCTACTAATGAGTTTAATCCATATATATTAAAGTAGATAAGAATAGAGGAACGTATATCTTACTTGTTTCCGTTTTCCCCCATCCTGCTACTTCCATATCAATATTCTCAAATGTACTCCTCTTCAATGCTGAGTTTACAGGAAGACAAATAGGTCTCACAAAATCTAAGAAACAATAAGCATGTTATTTATTTTAATTCTTTTATAAATAAATAGACACTATTACAATCTTACACTACATCTTAATCACGGAACTATAAACATAAATAGAAGAAAATAAGACTATTTTACGAAGAGGTAAAAAAATGTATTTATATGTTCATGACATCTTATGTAGGTAACAATATTTGATTTAGCGTAATCGTGAAGTTGTTAAGCAAATAACTTGTTATTAAGACTCAGTAGGAGCATATTATACAAAAATAGAAAAAATCAAGAACAAACATAAACCCCTTAGAAAAATCATTACTTATAAGATTTAAAATTAATTATAAGAATATACCATTAAATGCAACATCCCGTGCCAGTCTCAATAGCGCGATATCGTTTTGCTGACCCTTATCAGGGTCATAGTCTTCGTGAGGTATTATCTCTTCGATATTAATATCTAAAGGCTCTGGGCTGCAGTCATCTCGTACGCAATCCATTTTGGTAGCCAAATTCCATTCACCAAGACGTACTTGCTTTCTTCAAAAAATAATGCAATTTGACGTTATTGAAAATTCTATCATGAAATATGTCTTTTTAATTCTAAAGTTATTTTTCTACATTATAATTTATTAAGCTAAGTAAACTTATTAAAAAAATAAAATGCAGAAATTTTCTTACAATCGCCAGTTCATTGGAAGATCTGAGCCTTTGACGCAATGGGCTGCCGTCAAGACATATCTTGATGATATTAAAACTCCCCCACAAGCAAAAGTACTTCCTTTAGCTGTAATAATTAGAGTTTTTTGTTTTATATCATCTAAAACAGTATGACATAGTGTAAAGGTATGTATTTTGTATTTTAACAAAAGATATGGCTTTTGCTATAAAAGAATAAGGTCTACAATATTCGTACTTCAAATGTCAGCAACAATGTGAACAAAATAACTTACCAAGCACTGCAGCGTTTGTTACGGCAAATACTTTTCATTAAATTTTGAAATACTACGATGTTTTATATTTAGGAAACTGAACTAATTACTTTTGAAATAAATAATACGAAAACGCTTACGTATTTCATATTTAATAAGTACCATCCAAGGATGTTCATCAAGGTCTGCTTGTTGTCCTCCAACAATTCTGTCATTGGTTTGAATTCCACAGACAGTCGTGTTTGGCAGCAAATCAAGACCGCCTCTCATCTCTAACTGTGATGGACAGCAAATCTAAACAAGAACAAATATGTATTAATAAAAAGCATGTTTTTACCTCATCGGTTTGCGTCAATATATTTTTACCTTAGGATTATTATTTCTGTCGAAGCCGCAGTGCAGTCTTCTCAATAGAGACATTAATACATCTGAACCATTTTGAAGGCTATCATAAATCCATGAGCAGTTTTCTAATGTCACACATTTCGCCCCGTTTTTACATAGTGCTGTAAAAAATGGTACATTTTGTAAGCATTGACTTGAAACAAATTATTTATTTTCTATTTAGAGGTCACTTTTCGCTAATGCATATATATAAATATGTTCATAACAATGTAAAACATAAATGTTATCCTTATATGACTAAATTATAGTAAGTATAATTTTTTCGAACGAAAATTTCAGATTACGGCTACTATTTTTTCATTTCTATCAGTAGTTAGCCTTACTGTAATAAACATTAACATTTCATCTTGTGCTTTTTGGAACAGGACATGGATGCTTCGGTAGATACCTACAGAAGATTGCTATAAAGGAGGCTACTTCGGGTTGCCAGCACTATGATGAGCTGATGGTCACGGCGTTTCCCAACCTGGTTTGTGTTTTTCCCAACCTTCAAGGGTTTACCGGCGCACAGAGTTAGCAAACTCAATGAGTGGGAACCTTTCTCTTCCGTGAGTCATGATCGCCAGATAAAGATAGCTCACAATGACCTTCTTCTGTGAGAAAAGGAGGCCGCTGTCGGGACAGGGATTCAGCTGCTGCTGATATCCCACTATAGCGACAAGTGTCCTCATTTAGACCTTTGATTGTTTTAATGGGTAAATATGTATGATCGACCGCATGCTTTTCTGAAACCTAACATAAGCAACAGAATCTTCGCGCCTAGCCGTGATGGTGATATACAATAACGGATTTTTTGGAACGTTAAAAAAATTAAAAAAGAATACGGTTGCTATCTATGAGTATTTTATTCTTCATTTTCTAATTCCGCGTGTTAAGTGTATGTTTAATATTATTATTATTTATTGTCCATTAATATTAATGGAATCCCTCTAAAACATGTTTTATGATGATCATATTTATAAAGAATGCACATAAGTCGACAGAAATACCATTCTAGAAAAGCTTAAGTGAAGTCAATTTACTTGAATCTTAACATTTGAAACTAAAATATTAAGTCTGTCATTTTCTAAACTATAATATTAAGACTACTACTTCTACCTGGCAATTTCCCAGCTATAGCCAGGGTCTGCCTTACATGTTGTGTATAGTTTTTGGCTATTTGTTTTTACGATCGGCCGCCTGCCTGACATCAACCCTTTTTTTGGGAATCAACATTAATCAGTGATGTCTTAATATTAAACTATAATATTAAGACTGTGTCTACATATTACTTTAATTTTTAAAACGATTTAATTCCCTACAATAATGACTGATTTTGAGTTCAGCTCAACATCCTCGGGTCAACTAAATACACATTTCAAACTATTTCTGTCTCCTACTGATTAAATATTCGCCAATCTCAAAGTGTACCAACAGTTTTTTGGGTAACCTTCTTCTAACTGGTAATAATCTTTTCAAATCATCGCTTCATCGTTCTTTAGGTCATCCCTTATACCAAGACATTGTCTCACATTATGATGTGGTTATGATTAGCCAATGGAGAAAAGAGTAAATTGTTATTCTGATGACTGGTAAAAAAAATCATACCAAATACATACTCACCACTATAAAACGCCAATTTTAATTCTATTGAAATGTTTAGACATGAAAGACAAGTCTTAGATAATTATAACTCAATAAGAACCTACAATAGACGGTCAATGACGCCTAAGCCGCAGCCGTATCTTTAAAAACAGAAACACTCAGAACCACAAACTTTTTTAAATAGCAATAACTTGTTTGACTCGTCAATACCAAACTTGTTTTTTATTTATTATATGTAACGACCACTGACAACAAAATTTTATAATTGTGTACATTATTAAAATTATTTATAATAATATCTTGGTTATATTATTGGATAGTGTTCCAAGAAATCGTCTGACACTCCATTAACCTTATCAATTCAACACAAATATAATGTCATAAAATCCTGTTCTATTGATATTTTAAATTTTCATATACGTATAAGGAAATACAAAATCTTTAAGTAAACTCTCAAGAGTCACGTTAATTGTGAAATGTATATGTACATATTCGCTTCATCATCTTTCTTAATAAACTAAAATAACAAATAAAAACTTTATTGCGATAAAACAAATTTATTTTCTTTATTTTTTTGGCTATATAATTTTGCGTATAATCTTAAGAGGTTAAGGATAATTATGGACTAAATTAATAACGTCGACTAAATTTGTGAGAAAAAAGCATATTTATAATGAGATGTGTACCCTGATATAGAATGCATATTTTATAGATAAATCTTGAGGCAATATTTTAAAGCATATAAAATTTTATAAATATATGTTTTAAAAGGTTTGATTTGAGTTTTATTAAAAATCTTCGTAAGCACAAGAAAAAATGTACATAAAACCGGCTCAAATTGATGCGCAAACAAACATCTATTTACATATTATATATGTATTTACATAAATTGTTAGAATGAAAATTCGTCTGTGTTAATTCATTGCATATTTATATAAGTCACGTTTATTAAATAAAAAATTCGATGTAACGACAAAAATATATATTTTGAACAAATTTGATTCATTTAGTTTGTCATCCTTACTTTTGGTTTAACTTTTGCCGCCTATTATCAAATCAAATTACCACAAATAAATAAATATTTCAATTTTCCGCAAACGCTTACTACTATTACTTGCCATGATTCCATAACGATAAAACTTATTGTACATTTAAAAAACTAAACTACCTACTTTATCGACACTTCCAATGGAAAACAGAATATTTTACACAACAAAAACAAACCATACACATACACATTTAGGACCAAAGGCATGTAATTAATTATTAGTATTTACCACAATACTTGATGAGTTCTAGTAAACATCGTTACAGATTACATGCTATCACCCAACACATTGACACAATCATATAGTATACATAATCACATCGCAATGATACATAACGACACATAATAATCAAGTAATTTACCTTCAGCGGTAGTCGACAACACGATACTGAGTAACACAATAACTCCAGTTTTTTTAATATACATTGCGAATTAGTTCATGAGAAAAAATAACAAAATGCAGTCGCCTTCCCTGCGCCACTGATACTGATTGTAAGCCCTGACACTGGTTATCAATATAAAAATATAAACATATTAAACAAAGGTTAAACGTCGTAAGGCGTCGTTCGACGGACACGAGCTAAGCTCATCTGAAGTCACATTGGTTGTAATATCTACGTCACTACGATTATCATATAAGAGTTGAGGCTGAGTTGTTTTTGTCTGTGATATACTTATAAAGTATTGCTAATAATCATCAAAATATAGCATTGTTTTTAAACCGACAGCTAAGAAAGTCATTGCACTGTAGGAAAATTAACATGAGTTCTCTTTAAAAATTAAAAGTTTTTTAAATCATTATTACTTAAGCTTATACTGACAAAAATAAAATTCTTAAATCCTTTATTTAAATTCTTTGAACTATTTGGCTTTAAATATTTTTCCTACTGTTTACAATTACAATTATATACAAGGATATATTTATATAATTTTAATACAAAGAAATACAACAAAATATCGTATTTCTAAATCCAAGTTATCAAAAATATCTTAAAAATTATCCTGTATATACATTTACATGTTATATAAAATATTAAATGAACTTTTTGAGGTTAATTCTTATAATAAAATAGATATTTTCTCAATTTTAATATGTATTCAATGAATTAAACAGTTCTATAAAGCAAGTTAAAAAAAAATCTAATTTATTCATTTCAACGGACTAAAATGACTTTGTTGAGAATTGAATGCTAAAAATTATGGACCACTTACGTCTCGCTTCAAAAGTGGTTATTAATTTGAAATATTCGTTTATTTATTACTTAAGCTATATAATTTCATCAAAAGTTGCCAAATTAATATGATTATCTTTGTACAGTTATTTATTTCAAGTTTTTTGTATTCCTGTAAATTATATACTATCATGTCCTTTCTTTAATGTTAATAAAATTATTACGCAATTTTAATCGTTCACTTTGTATAAAACATGAGGAAACAAAATTTAAATCCCACAATCTGTACACGTGTATACTTTATTAACTAATAACAAGACCTAGAACCTTTCGCCATATGCTTGTAGAGGTCATCGAAAAGTTTAAGGCCCAATATAAACATGGTGACGCTTTTTAACAGCGACCAGTTATAGGGATCATCAGTTTTTTTCCACAGTTCCTTGATGTAATTCAAAATAGCCTTAGCTCTCGCTTTAGCTGAATTTTTAGGCTGAAAATGATAAACATTTTTTTAATAATAAATACTTAATCTATTTCACTATGACACTGGTATAAAATATTTCAAAATAATGTTTACTTCGGGACAACTTTCAGGACATGTTGGTGCACCACAAGGATTTCGAACATTTGAAGCAGTTGGAGCAGTCGCTTCTGTTGAGGCGCCAGGAATTGGAGCTGGAACAGGATTGGACGACCTTTTGGATTGACATTCTTCACTGACATCTGAATCTGTTGCTGGTCTATTCTGCTTCTTTATACAGGACAATTTGCATGAATTCATACCTCATGTTACAAGTCTGTGTATTTTAATAGTCACCTTGTAAATTTAGTTTCATGTAAATATTGTGACATGAACACTTGACATTGTGACATCAAAATAATTAGCGTCATCTACGTCGAAAAAAAGGTTGAACAAAAGGCCGTTATATTTAAAGCATAAGTATTATTATTAAATATCTAAATTATATTTAAGTGTAAAATATAATAAGATAAATAAATAAATATAGATAATTTATTTTTAATCAGGTTTCTGAGAGAACAAGTATGGTTGTAATAAATATTTATCAGAGCAAGAGGAGATTAATTATGTTTATAGTATTATGTATTTTTGTGAAACACAAATTCACAGCTATATGCAAGGTGAAAGGCACAATATGTAAGAATGTAGGGAACATAATTCTGTTATAGAGCGTAATGGAAATTTTTACGGTAACAGAACATTCACACTGCTTCAGCCTGTACCTATCAGTTTTGACACTATTAAAGCAAAAAATACAACACATAAATACACTTAGTGCGTCTGCAGTGGACAGAAATAAAAAATAATTACTTAAAATATATTACAGAATTGAAAATAAAATGTTTGATAATTATAACTTGTTTTAGTAAACTATACTTATTTTAATTTTATCCTCTAGGAACTTTTTGATACACTAAATTAATGAATAATATAAGCCATTATATGCGTACCTATCAATAACGAGAATAAGATTTGATAAAAACGATTGATGATTTTAATGACAGCTTGTTAAAATCCTCGAGCTTAAACAAGAGATCAAATAAATTTTTTAAATGTAAAAGAAACTTGGGATCATTTAGAGTCCACAATACAGGAGAAAGATAATAATTACTAAGTTATGGTACAATTATTTTTACATGTAGCTTGCGTTAAAAATCAAAATTAAGAGCAATGATAACGTAATTACAGTAATCGGTGTTGGTTGTACATATAGAAAAAGCGAAGTGTCGGACGAAATATTAACATATTATGACCCTTCACACAGAAGGGTACATCAAGTTAAAGTTGTATTTTGGAAACAATCCAAATTTTGTCGGATAAATACCGAAATATGTTTCACCTTTGCACTATAATATATCAACAACACCTTAATTGAAATTATTGCTTAAATCTAGCAAAGTCGAAAGATTTTAATATTCCCTAAAAAGACAAAAGCTTTTGTTAAGGCATAACTATTCTAATATTACTGTTCTATAAAGTAAAGTAAAGTTCATTATTTTACAATTAAAACTGTTTGTCTGTCTATATAACAGCCTAACAAGAAGACAATTAATATGACGCTAAGGGATTCACCCATACAAGTTCAACAAATGAGAATTATCGGCATATATGTACCTTCTAGGAGTTTGAATGTCAAATTCTGTTGAAGCTAACAAAAACATATCAGGTTTTCGAAACTATGAAAGAAAAATGGAACCGGCTTGAATAAGTTTTTAATGCAATACTTTATTTTCACAGCTTTTATATTGCCTCCAGGTATATAAATTACAGATTATAGCTCCAGGTAGAATTTAGAATCAAATGCACTGATACGAAAAAAAGATTAAATAAGATAAAAAAGATAATAGAAGATAAGTAAGATTATTGTTAATGCTAAACTAAATGAAAGCCTTGCTCTCTTTATTATTTATTCTTTTAAGAAATATTCCAGAGGTACTAATCGACAGTAAACTAAAAACTTCCAAAACAAACAAAAATTTGTTTCTCTCGCCCCCCTGAAAATTATTCCTTGTAGCACATAAAATTGGATCCTTAAATCCATATTGAAGAAAGACTAAACAAAAAATACAAAGAGGAAAAGAGGTACTTACAATTCATAACTACAAATATCTTGCCATTTAAACAGCAGTATATTAATACATTACCTAAGATTCTGATAAAACCTAAACCTTGAACACGTAGCCGACGAGTTTAAAAATATATTCACAGATAGCTATTTAAAAAAAAGAAACAAAGTACAAAAAGTTTTTAATGTCCTTATCCAATATAGGTAGCCTTAGCTTTATTAATATCTTAAAATACTCTAAAGACGATATTTTTGTCAAATATACATACCTACATATATCTATTCTTATTGTTTTCGTTTCAACAAATTATTAATTATAAAATTGTTTATTTATTTATTTATTAGATTTCCATTAATAAAATAACGGATCACTAGAAAGATAATTGATCGTCTACTTAAATAATTTGTCCTTAAAAATTACTCAGTAGTAGTAAGACTCATACAACTTTAGGTTTCTTGCTACTATTAGGTTAATATGCTGTTCATTAGAATCTGAAAGGTCGCTAAAATAAGATGATCCTTACATCAATAATTACCCGGAAAGCTATCTAAATCTTTTAAATATAACCAATACTTTCCGATGTGCTACGCGTTTTTGAGTGAAATGCGATTTATGACAAAGTTTTATCTTGCCTGCCCGTAACCACGGTTGGTGCAAAGTAGCCGAATCGTCGGGAATATGTAGTTTAATATAATAAAAAAAAAACAAGGAGTTCATCCGAAAATAATAATTTTGTTTAAATAAATACTAGCGAAAGTTTTAGATATCACTGTTTAATTCATGCCAATTTTATTAATACTACTCGCATTTTCAAAATGAATAAAAAACAAACACATATTCGTTATTAAATCACAGTATGAAATAAATTTATTGTATTCTAATACGGCTTCTGTACAGTTTTCATATTTGAATTTCTTATAATACTTGGTACAATAATTTAAGGAAGTAAATACGTTTTAAGTTTTATTAGTTACAAATAAATATCTTAAACTATTGGGATTGATAAATAGAAAATGCCATTTGGTTAAACGCCTACACACAACTTTGTGTGATTTTGTTTTGAAATTAGAAAGGCACTGTGTTTAATTTAAGTTTGCGAATTATACAAATTTAAAAGGTAGCTTAATAGATTATACCAGTATATAATAAATATTCGAATTATTAGGATTGAAAGTATCGTTTATCAATCGATTTGTTTGTTAACCTTTATTAAATGTTTTAAGACGATTTTCTTTACTTTTTATTGGACAATTTGCAACAGGTATCTACAAATGTTAATATTATTATATAAATTACATGTACAAGAATACAACATCATTTATATGAATTCTTTTTTGATCAACCTGCATGGTTATCACATCCATCGACATATTTTTTCAGTAAATAACATGCTTGTTGTGCCTCTTTTAACTTTATTTAAAATTACTATTACTAAAAAAAATTGCTAAATTTTTAACAACAAGGTAGGAAATAAATATAGAATAAGCTAATAAATAACGCAGACTAGGTATTCCCATGTCTTATTTTTACATTAGATGATAATTTTACAGTACGAAATAATTTTCTTTACTTAAATATCTTGTAAAAAGATTTTGTGAAACAATTACAAATATTAAGATTCATGAAACATTATTTTAAGGCTAATTAAAGCTATGGAGCTGATTGACACTTGTCATTTTATTTTACATTGTATACAGCCTTTTCATAAGTCTCTAGTCTCTAATATTATCTAAAATCCATTTCATGTAATATGGTACTCTAGTGTATACTCCAGGAAATCCTCCGATCCCACAACGTTTGGAGCCATAAGACACTATGCCCCGTTGAACGTATCTGACTCCAACGGATTGTGTTCTTCCAGGGTACATCAATGGTCCTCCTGAATCACCACCACAGGAATCCTTATCCACAACTCCGCCTGCGCATAGTTGAGTATCGTAAATTTGAAGCGATCTGCGAAAAATATGAACCACAATTATAAAATTATGAAAACACTAAAATAAAATTTATTAAACACAAAAGCAAATCTAGAATTAAAAAACATGAGGACGTCTCATAAAAAATTATTTCACAATGTGTAAAATGCTAAATTGAAAAGAAGGAATAAAAGAAAAAAATACCTCTCAACCACATCAATGAGAATTGTAACATATTGAATAAGTCATTTCCAAATTTTTATGCAAATTCTAGATATTTATTAATTTTACACACCCGTGATAAACCGACTGGCACTGAGAATTGGTGAGTATTGGTAGATCAACGCTGAGTAGACAGGTGACTGAAGCCCATCTTCGGTGGTTCCCCATCCTGCCACTACACCTTGCAAACCTTCCAACTGCTCTGATAACAATGTTGGAGATGTCGGCAAGCAGATTGGCTTTATGCTATCTGTAGAATAGACACGTTGGACGATTTCAATTATAAATGGTTAGTTTTACTTTTGAGTTAAAATGTTAAAAGAAGAGTGACTTCTACGGTGCTGAATTGGTACGAGAGCTAGCAACGTCAAAAAAACAAGAATTTCAGGTAGGCTAGTTTTTAGGTATGCTATCTCTCACACTCCCCTGGACGTCATACGGGCTATCTGGCTGCCGGTAGTGGTTGCGTTCATCAGTGCGCATCGTACTTGTGCAGGTAAACAAATTATTATTTCAAATAATTTTAAGAAGGTTTTTTTTATTATTATTATTTTTATTGGACTATTCAGAACATAAATTTATTATTGCCAAATATTTTTATTGTTGTTTAAACGGTGCCAAACGGCAATGTTGAATTAAAAAAAAAAATTTTTCAAAATATTTTAGTATAGCTGAAATTTTATTAGCATGTTATTTAACTATCTAAAAGCTCAGAATTAATTTGCCAGACAAAAAATCGGTTGTTAAACCTTTTGCCAGAACGAAATAAAGTGTAAAGAGATGTAGTATCATTTAGCTTGGTCTAGAAAATTAATCGTCTAATAAATGATGGAAGAAGGATTAAAAACTATTGAATTTATTTATAGATGAAAACGGTATTATTATTATTATTATTATTAGATAAAAAAAAAATTAAATGAAATTAAATCGCGGTTGAAAATCGCGGTTGAAAATCGCGGTTGAAAATCGCGGTTGAAAATCGCGGTTGAAAATCGCGGATGAAAATCGCGGATGAAAATCGCGGATGAAAATCGCGGTTGAAAATCGCGGTTGAAAATCGCGGTTGAAAATCGCGGTTGAAAATCGCGGTTGAAAATCGCGGTTGAAAATCGCGGTTGAAAATCGCGGTTGAAAATCGCGGTTGAAAATCGCGGTTGAAAATCGCGGATGAAAATCGCGGTTGAAAATCGCGGTTGAAAATCGCGGTTGAAAATCGCGGATGAAAATCGCGGATGAAAATCGCGGATGAAAATCGCGGTTGAAAATCGCGGTTGAAAATCGCGGTTGAAAATCGCGGTTGAAAATCGCGGTTGAAAATCGCGGTTGAAAATCGCGGTTGAAAATCGCGGATGAAAATCGCGGTTGAAAATCGCGGATGAAAATCGCGGATGAAAATCGCGGTTGAAAATCGCGGTTGAAAATCGCGGATGAAAATCGCGGTTGAAAATCGCGGATGAAAATCGCGGATGAAAATCGCGGTTGAAAATCGCGGATGAAAATCGCGGATGAAAATCGCGGTTGAAAATCGCGGATGAAAATCGCGGCTGAAAATCGCGGTTGAAAATCGCGGTTGAAAATCGCTTTCTCATTTTTTTGGAAAATTTTATTTGTAATATTGCTTCACCTATTTATTTGTTTAATCATTTTTTTAAAGGTGATATAAATTTGAGATCTACTTTTTTTATTTAACCTTAGATACTATGTATAATTAATTAAGTGGATTTTAATTTTATCAATGAACCATTAATAAACATATTTATGATAAGGGGAACCTAGCATTCATAAGGCTAAAGTAGTACTAGAGATAGGTATAATATACGAGTTTGATAACAAAATAACAGATAAACATGACCAGCTCGGTTTTATGTTCTCCTAGTAAGATGTTATGAGTTGGTGTTATGCAACCACTTCCTTTTCTTTCAACGAGAGGAATTATTATTATTTTCACATTTCTTTCTTCTCATAATTGCGTTCGTTTAAGTTGTTTTAAGATTATTTTAGTTATAAATTACCCAAAACAATTCAACAACGAGCACACATTTGCTGCAGCTACGAAAACAAAGAGAATGAATGGATCCTGTGATATAGCATCTTCTTCTAACTGGAAATTCCCAGCTTTAGCCAGGGTCTGGTCCTTACATGTTGTGAATAGTTTTGGCTAATTGTTCTTACGACCGGCCGCCTGCCTGACGTCAACCCTCTTTGGAAATGCATTAATCAGTGATGTCTAAGGCCTCGGCCTCGAATTTAGCGGGCAGCGGAGCGGCAGCGGGAGCAGCAGGATCTTACGCGTATAATCAAATGGACCGACCCTTGAATACAGCGGTGCCCGCTGCCCGCTAGTTTGGAGAATAGTATGCGTTTCCGTGCCGCCGCCGCCGCCGCTCCGCTGCCCGCAAAATTCGAGGCCGAGGCCTAACTCTTAGAAAGTACATATGACTCGGAAAAATCACATTGGCCCGGGCCAGGATCGAACCCGCGGCCTCGTGCATGAGAGACGGGCCTTTTAACCAATCGATCCTGGCCTGGACCGGGTTCGATCCTGGATCCAGGATCGAATATAATGTCATGCTTTCACTTTAAATGCATTTGAAATTAAGTTGTACTACTGTCATTTACGTCAGTTACAGTGATTTTTAACATCAACTAAAAACATAAATCTTTCTTTACATGGCTAATATTGTGAGCGGGGATTCATTCAACATAATGAAACACTTAAAATTCGAATATAAATCTTTTACTGTAAAGTGTATGTTACTATAATAAAAAAAAATCATAAAAGATTAATAATAAAAGTACTCCTAAGCGCGTTACTTCAACATACATAATATATAACACTGACACTGCGGCCTTCTGCTGTGTTTAAACAATGAACGTTTCAAAATTACATTATATTACAACATGTACATATGTTTAAATCTCCGCAGAAAAAAAGTGTTTTTGATATAATTAAGCAAGTTTGTGTTAATCATATAATTGTTATGATGCGATAATCACAACTAACTTGTTTTTTACATACGGGAGACCAAAAATTTATAAGTCAATTTAAGGCGAGATTTTACGAAATTGCTTGGAAGAGCATATTTCCCTTTTATTTTATTATTTTAAATAAAAATATGTATATTTTTCTATTTCTATTTTGATTCGTTTTTACAAAAAAAACACAGACGAACTGATGTACCGAGCATTCAGTGTACCAAATGGTACGAGAGCTAGCAACGTCAAAAAAACTATTTTAGATATGCTATCTCTCACATCATTTATTAGACGATTAATTTTCTAGACCAAGCAAAATGATACTACATCTCTTTACACTTTATTTCGTTCTGGCAAAAGGTTTAACAACCGATTTTTTGTCTGGCACATTAATTCTGAGCTTTTAGATAGTTAAATAACATGCTAATAAAATTTCAGCTATACTAAAATATTTTGAAAATTTTTTTTTTTTAGTTCAACATTGCCGTTTAGCACCGTTTAAACAACAATAAAAATATCTGGCAATAATAAATTTATGTTGTGAATAGTTCAATATAAATAATAATAAAAAAAACCTTCTTAAAATGATTTGATATAATAATCTGTTTACCTGCACAAGTACGATGCGCACTGATGAACGCAACCACTACCGGCTGCCAGATAGCCCGTATGACGTCCAGGGGAGTGTGAGAGATAGCATATGTAAAAACTAGCCTACCTGAAATTCTTGTTCAAAAACGTTGCTAGCTCTTAGAATAAATATTCGGGTTTAAAAACAATTTTCTTTTAAAGAACAAATTCGGTAGAACAATAGTAGTAATGGTTTTTTTTAAGAAACAGTATTCCTAAATGGATACAAATACAAGATACGTATGTACATTGTTAATTACAACATTAATGTACAACTACATCGTTATACACATCGACATGTAGGTCTGATATGAAAAAAGTGTAATTTTTTATTCCAATTAAATGAGTATAAACAGTAAAGTAGGTATAAAGAAATACCACCGAGCTTCTACCTGAATGGTCTTGATCAAAATATACCCACTTAAGGTACTACGAAGTAATGCTCTCATTGAAATTATGTCATGTGATTTCGAATGAAACAATTTCAATGTTGAACGTTTTTTTTTTTCGGGTAAACATGACATACGTTTTAAGAGGTCGCGGGTGTACATTACATTTTAAGAAATAATTTTTTTAATGACTTTAAAATGGTAACTTATTTTTGACTAAATTGCCTTGCTGAACTGACTTTAAATTTTAAAATGTTATATTTATTAACCAGCGAATAGAATTAAACCTAATTATTTAAAATTTTATCTGTTTATCCCTAATTCCTACGTCATTCGACAAAAGATACTCAATTACAACACTAATTTAGAAATCTTTGGAATGGGTTACTAACTTTAAATTTATATCTGAAAGTGTTCATTTTTTACATTCAATTGAACTGACACACAAAATAATTGTTTTTCGAACGAACGAACAACGAGTTTTCACATTTTTTTTCGTTTTGAAGGCTAATTTTCACTATTTTTTCGTTTTGCAAAATTTAAGGCTGGATGGTTTAAACTGGCTTGAAATTCGTATCAGAAAAAAAATATTCCAATAGACAAGTGACATCCGAAATACAAACAATTAATTATTATTTATGTGAACCGGTGTTATTGAAAAAAAAATATGATTTTCTGCAAACGATACTAAAAAGAGATTAGAAAAAATCGTCTATTGACAAGTACTTTGTAACGAAATATGCTTTTACACTTGAGGTTTATTTCAGATATTTGCTTTCACCGAATCAACATCTTTCTGTGTCTTATGAACATTTACTATCTAAAGTTAAGGTACTTAATAACAAAATTATATTTCTCAATAATAAAGACACACATTAGCAGAAACCAAAAGTTTTCCTTAGCTGAGTTTCTATAACAACGATTGTAATTTAAATTTGTATTCGTGTTTCCAATTTTATTTTTTTTATTTATTATTGCTTGTAATAATTACCTAATAAATTACCTAGCAGAATATAAATAATAATTATAATTTAAATACAAAGCTAATTACACAATACTAACCCAAGGAGAAATCTGCTGGTTCTGAGAGCCTTATTAACGCAATATCATCTCTTAGCCTCGTGGGAGAATACCCTGGATGAGGTATAGTCTCGTCTATAGATACATTCTGAAAATACAGAAAATTTATTTATTAGTGAAACCAAAAAAGTTACAAAAAAAGTTCATTTAAAACTATTATTGTATAGAAGAAATATATTTCCCTAAAAAAACGACATGGACATTGGACAGCAATAATATTAACGTAAAACATACACTAAATGATATGAAGAGCATTATTAACTTTATTTTAACTAATGTAAATAAAGACAAAAATGTACATGTACAATCGTACATGTACATTTAGAAATTAAAAGTGCAGTTGAGCTTAGCTTAGTAACGGTCATTGCCTACCCTAACTTTTGGTGCACAAAAGATTTCTCCTTCAACTCTCTCACAATCCGGGTCAGTTCTTATGTCGTACTCTCCAAGGATGACGTCACACAATATCAGTCTTGATCCCAGGAAAGACACACAGTGTGCTGCTGTTAAGATGTACCGTCTGGTTATAATTGTACCACCGCAACTTAATTTTGTACCTCGAGCTGAAAAGTGTACAATTAGGTATATGAATAAACAATTCTATTACCATAGAAAATTTGGCGATGGACTATAATTTTTTTTTGACGTGTTATAATCTGTAATTACTTCTCAAGGGTTAGGGAATTTTTGTAAACCCAATCTTAACTTGTGCCTACACCAATGAAAAAACCCATTGACGCATTTCTACTTCAGAATTAAGTTTGCATAAGTGAATCAGCCAGTGTGACAAATATATCTTGTTGTGGTTAAAATGATTAATTTGAAATTATAAAAAACGTAGTAAATTAAAGTTCACTCATAATATACATTTTTTGTTCATTGTATAATATAAAATTCACGTGTTCCAAACGAGAATTATACTTTTAATAGATTAAATAGATTTTAATTAAAAGTTGTTTTTTATGCTGTACATTAATATTGTAATCGGGTAGAACATAAACAATTACACTTATCTCACTAAGACGGTTTTATAAAGAGATATATAAAAAAAAGAAAACGATAAAAGGTTAGATAAAGGACCACAACATTATTATCAAAATCGATCCCAAAAACTACTAAAATGCAAAAAATGTTGTGAATAACGTACGGGAGTCATATGAAAGTAGCACCATCCACGGCATTTCAAATAGTCTTGTTCTGTTTCCTCCGAAAATCCTGTCATTTTCAATGACACCACAATTCGTTGGAAGCAAATTTAGTTTTGGGTGATACCGAATATCTGGTATGGAGTCTATTGTGTTTTCACCACTTTTATCACCGCCTCTATTTTTTCCTGTATCAATATCGTCATTATTATAAGGTTTAAGTAACCCATTATTATTTGGATCCCCCGTATCCGTGGCATAGGGGTTAGAAATACAGCAAACCTGAAAATAGGGTTAGGTATTGATAATTTACAGGACTTCCATTAGAAAGCTACAAGTTCCAGACAACCAAGTATGTTCGATTTATAGTTAAATAAGATATATCTAAGTTATTTGATTTAAACACCTCATTGTAAAACAATTGAGATAATATCTGAATTTACATATAAGTTAAAAAGAAAGTTATATCTTACAATTTCATACATATCCATATTCGGTAATGCCATGATATCTAATGATTTTATATACTAACCATAGGCTGATCATCATCGAAGCCACATGAGAGACTTTGTAGTTTTCTTCTCAGATACAACGGCATCGGTGTTCCAGCCTCTTGGATCTCATTAACTAAATGAGAACATTGTGAGAGCAACCTACAAATCCCAGGTCGATCGTTGACCGTGCAGCTTTCACCAGAATATACTGCAATGTAATAACATTATCTTAATATTTTCAAACCATATTTATGATCAACCAAAAAACCTTCAAGAGAGACTCTTTTCGATTCCTTTTTTATTGGCATATAAATTATAATAAATTCAGTCTTATTTTATTCGATTTTCGTTCATTTCATTAATACCTAACACTTCAATTACACTTTTATGAATACACTACTACCATAATCATATTCTGTTTTTTAATGTTTCTAAAGATATATTTGATAGGTCATAACGTTAACTTGTTCATATTTTATATATTATTTCCTAATAAATTGAATTATTTATAAACAATATATTATATAGTATTTAATATTAATTTTATTTCTTTAACCACAATTGTGAGATTAAACAAAATTTTTATTAATTAATAATATTACACATATTTTCATTTATTATTAAATTTAATAATGGCTAATTCTGTTACAAATTTTATTGCAAACACTTTGCTACCAATCCATCATACCAGTACCTCTACTTAAAGTAATTGCCAATATTTTTTGATATTAAATCACGTTTATTTTGCTGTAGAAAAATATCTTAAAAAATATTTGCTATGGTATATACCTATAGAAATCACGCAAAACTGTTCGATATTCTTCGAATAATTGAATAGTAAATATTTTATGAATCAGGTATTTTTCTAACGTTACAAAAAATATAAATAATTTATGAACACGTGTTATTGACTCCAACTAAATGTGATGTTTTGTTATCTTTGTGGTTTCCTGTATGCGGGATAACCTTAAGTTATTTACTTATGTAGTTCTAAATAATAATCACAGAATAATAAATAAATAATAATTAAAGGAAAAGCTTATGTAACTTCATTCTCAGTTATAATTGAACGCAGTTAAAGAATAAGTAATTTTATTTATAAAATCACTATCATTATTATATATAACCATATAATAAAACAATTCAATGATTGCTTATCTTCGTTTCGTATTCTTTTACTGTAAATTAAAAAATATATCTATAAAACTAAACAATAAAAATCGAACTAATTTACTAAGCCAATAACGATTTTTAAACATAATGTCAGAAATAATACAAAGAGCCCGAGAAAGTTCATTCGCCAAGCGATAAAAATTTAATTTTGTGCAATGAACGGTTATCCGAGTAATAAATACATTATTCAAGTCTCATTTTATCCAAGTAACGGAAGTTATGATGACCTTATACCGGTATTAATAAACAGAACAAAAATTACCGATTTAAAGATTCGTTCTAAATAACGTAAACGATAAGCAATTAATGTGAAATTAATTTGATTAATCTACTAATGAGATTTAATTACGATCTATTGGTCACAGCATATCTTTGCATTCTAATTACTTTCCAGGCGACCTAAACAATAATAGGTTGATACTCACAACAGTCGGCGGGCACAAAGATCAAGATCACTACACACACAAACCAAACAGACAACATATTCACACAACGATATATAGATAACTCATGAACCCGTCAGTCACTGACTACACGAAAAGCATATCTAAAATTAATTTTATTAATTAAAACAATTAATGAAAACACCAATGACATCATTAGGAATCACCACAGATGTGAGACGTATTATAGCGAGTCAATTTATCAGAAGTGATAAAACTAGGCAGATGTCGTTTCTGTGTTCCGACTGGTTTTCTTTGTTCGTTATTTATTTTGTACAAGACGAGTTCAACGATGTGAGAACGTAAGAATAACTAAACAGTTGAGAAACAGTGCACAAATACAGGTTGTGCGGGTAAAAACATGGGGGGACATCGCTGATCTTTGATTCACTTGGGTACGTGCACAGCGTATGAATCCGCAGTTAAATTTTAACGACAACAAAGAACTGAACGTCATACGGCGCGGCGTCACTGTATCATAAGTTATTGGGTACACGATTCGACCTGCTTACAATATGCTTCGTAAATAATACATTATAAAACACCGTTGTTGTTATGTATCGTAAATTTTCCTGGTATATAAATAAAATAAATTATATTTTAGAGTTATGAAATAACATAAAATATTACCAAAAAATTCTCATATCCTTCCTTAGTATTATTTACTTTTAGCTTAATCAATTTATGCGTATAATTATTATTAAATAAATAAAAAAAATTACCCTCATGCGCCTAAAGAAAAAAAATCTGCTCAGAAATAAAATAATAACACTTAAATTTGTTTTTATTTTTTCTAATAGAAAAGAAATACATATTTACAGAAATAATACTCGAGAGAAAATAATAGCGAGTTACAATCAGAAGATCCGAGATAGATAAGGTTACTAATTTTTATTCTATATATTACATACTATTGTAACTACATATTAACAGTTTTATTCAGTCTTGTAATATAAACGTTAAAATGTAAATATGTATGATATGCATTCCTATCAGGGACTTCTGTTCTGATATTCATTAAATTTCACTATAACGTTCACAGGTCGCATAGAATTTTGTTGAAATTATTATTTTATTTAATGACTAATCACACTGAAGTGCCAAATGCCAAAAAAACAAACCATTTAAACTATGAACCATTAGAGCTCACGATAAAAAATATTTAAAATGTGATACTCAAAATTGGTAAATCTTAAAAACATTTATTATAAATGATAAAATGTTTTCCACCATATCGTTATTTGAAAATTCAATCTAATTATGTATTACATTCAAGTTACTATGTATAATTTCGTTAAATATATTTTATTTAAGAATTCAAGGTGGATCAGTTGCGAGCAACTAACAGCATATTCAATATTTAACGATTGCTTAATTACTTTGACACATCCGTACGATATGAACAGTAATTATAAGGAACTTTTCCGATTATTAGGTTGGTATTCGCATTAATAATACGATAACAATATAACTTAAAGATTTAGACGAATACTTTATATTATTTTTCCAAGAAAACAAACGTAGGTACAGCACCCATAAACTTAAAAAAAAAAACTAAAGTTAACATTCTATTCATGAATTAGCTGGTCCATAGATTAGATGACTTAAACGTCGTCGTACTAATATCTTACCAAGGTCATACCTAAAACACCCAGTACAACGGCACTCATTTTATTAATTACTCAAAATACAAAATTGCTTTACAAAATTTCCACTCGTCGAATTTATGACAAAAAAAAATATAAAAATTCCGCTAACTGCATCCTAATTGGACACATTATAAAATATTTTCAGTAAGACACCAGGACAGTTAGTTTTGTTATTTATCATCGACCGCGAACGATTCTCTTTTTTTTTTGTGAGCTGTTTTGGATATAAGCAGAAGGTAAAACTGTATCTTGAGGTCTGGCAGTGTCGTCACGGAAAAGAGATTTTTAATTTGATGAGGATATTCCAGGTATTAGGTTTTTTTTATGTGATGATGGTGGCAAACGAGCAGAAGGTCTACCTGATGGAGGTAGTACCGTCGCTCATGGAGATCCGCAAAATAGTTTTGCGGATGCGTTGCCACCCTTATTTGGGGAAGAGGGAGAGGAAAAGTTGGGAAAAGGGAAAAGGGCAGGAAAGGTTGGTATAAAGGAAAGAGCAACTGGCTCTCTCACTCATCGGACGAAAATATGATCTATGAGAGGGTGGCACTTCCCCGGTCGAGCCAGCTCATGTTCGAGAAGCTGTAATTTGACCACAGCTGGACTGTGCCACCTACTGAAATATGATGACATGATAATTTCCAGTTCACACTCAATTCAAATTAGAATGTTTTATACAGAAATTAGAAACAATTATATGTTTATTTTAATTTCATCACATTGCACAAAAAATCTAATTTCAATCATTCAAATCAGCTTTTACTATACGAGGTCTTTATTTATTCGCAACGATAAATTACGTTAAATATTTACTTGATGAAAATAACTTATTATTCTAAACCTCTGAAGTACCAAGGTAAAATATCATTCTAATGGAAATTTATACTACATATTTATATACATAAATATGGATATAATAGCGATTATATAACGTTTTCAATGTCATGAATATTTCATAACATATTGAGATAATCTCATTTCATTTTAATAGAATCACTGTGTTTTTATCACGAATAAGTTTATAAAGTATAAGAAAAATATATAAGTACATAAAAGTTGTAGCCACACGAAACCACAAGATTATAAGTAAACAAGGAAACTTGGTTTATTTTCATAGAAAACTTTGGTACTGTAAGTAAGATATTTTACGATCGTATTTTTTAATAATTCTAAGAATATTATTTTGGAATATTTTGTTGTGATTCATAATACTACAAATTTGGTGTACCTACTTATTTATTTCTCAAAACTGAATTAAAAGTGACGTTCAACGTTTGGGCAATTCGTAATTATTGTTGAAATTAAATAAACCTAAGAAATCTTCTCTTTTTTGTGATTAAAGTTAAAAATTATGAAATTCATGTTTCGGTAATCACAGGAATGAAATGGCAAACACATTGAACTAATGGCCTATGATAAATTAATAGTCTATATTTTGCATCGCACCTGACTCGGTCTGAGTTGTGTGTGCAACAGAATTATGTCAAAAAGGTATAAAATTCCTAGTCCTTTGTTCTTTCACATTCCTCTACATTTATAATGATCCCTTAATAAATTAAATCATAATTACAAGTACAAATGTACATTCATGTATATTATTAGTCCAGTATATATTAGAGTTCAAATTAAAAATAATGAGTTGACTGAAAGAAATAATTCAAGTATTAATTTTAATCAATATCCCATTTTAATAGCATTAATATATAAATATATGCACATTAGTAGCCATTTCTCATCATAATTTTCAATACTAGGTGAAATGTGTTGCGGAACAAATCAGTTCTCAATGCATTCGGCTGCATTGCCAAAGGACCGTCGCATGCGTAAAAAATATTTATTTGCTCATTTAGTCTATAATGAACTGTAAATGGATATATGTATTTATTTTATTCATACGCATCGGTGATACTGGTAAGCACATTATATTAAAAAATTTAGAGTTATGGTTATAAAACATATTTGTTTTGAGTTATTTAAACAATACTTTCATATTCATTAAATGTGAAGAAAAATATCATTTCATTATGTATATTATGGTATGAATACACATAATAGTACATATTTAATAATTTTGTAACACAAATATAATGATATTTATTTTGATATAATTATCCGAAAATAAAATAAAAGACAATGCATTGACTTTCAATTATAGAATTGGTGTAAATAAAAAAAAAAAAAAAATATAATTAATTAGCCGCTTTTGAAATATTTGGTAATACATATTGCGATAAATTAGAACCATTTCCTAACAAGATTCAATTTTAAATTATGATCGATCATTTTTAGCTTGATGTACAATAGAAAATAATAAGATATTGAATCAGAAAAACAAACATTTCGTATTAATCATTTCGCATAAAGCATCCGAAGATTTTTTTACAACTCATGTATCGTAAACCGGTTCATAATATTATAACTGTTTATCAAATATCAACTTGCATCTATATTAACAAATATATAAATTAAAACAAATATGTTAAATAAAGTTAGTCACTATAATGTCGTGTCGAGCTTGTTCGTCATAAATCGAATGACGTAAAATCACGGTTTTCTTTACGAATTATTTTACAATAAATTATTTTAATTTTAAACATTTTTACTATCACTAAACTGTAATATACTATACTATACTATTATTAAACTATATTTTTTTTCTATTCAGCCGACGATGAAGGAAATGAAATTGCAAATCACAAAGCTTGGGAATTTTTGGATACCTTCGATTGTGGATTTAATTTCGCCGATCGTATTATTGGGGGATTAAATGCAGCACCAAAACAATTTCCTTGGATCACAAGACTGGGTTTTTCCAGTAAGTTATTTACGTAACCATAATTTTCTATAGGTAATGTCATGTTCGTGCAGAAGGCAAGGGGAAACCACTGCACTATATTCCCAAGAAAGTCATCATCAAGTTAAACGAGTGGCGACGTGTTGTGAAGCGTGCCACCGCACATCATGATGACCACGACCGTTCTGCCAAGAACGTATCGACTTAGAAGAAGAAATGTCATGTTCAAACCTGTTAGATTAAACCAATTTTTAGATATTAACCAGATTTCCTGCATATTTAATGAGCGCTAAACTATCATTCAATAATTCGTGATTTCAATCGGATTTTAGATAATTATACTACATAATTTTGTTTATCGGTCAACTTTGTAATTCTGGGGTCAGAATAGTTTAGTGCTTTTTTTATTATATTAAGATTAAAACATATAACACAAAAGTTCTTTAAAAAGAATTTTTAAGTTTCATACAAAATATTAATTTATAGCCACTATCTAGAACACTTAATTTTTTTTTCTACCGCCCGCCTGTATTAAACGGCCACAGTAGCCTTGGATGCCGGAAATACCAATAATATTAGAATCAGTTTACTGACCCTTATAATTACTGTTACCTTTTAAAATACCTGTACCTAGCAGAAACCACTACTGTATTCTCTTTGGAAAACCATAGTAAGTTAATTCCAAATAATGAGACTTCTCGATAGGAAACTCCTCAGAGATTGTGTCTCTTGCCCTCCTCTTCGTCGTCTTGTAATTCTTGCCAATATTTAGCATTGATCATCATTGGTGATATAAATTCAGACTGAATTTACATCATATAAATGAAACTAACCTTTTATATTTACAATGATACAAAACAAAATGTTATTTATTGGCATCTTTATAACCTGAATTCATGATACAAGTTTGAATAGTCAAATTAGTGTGAATCCGTTTATTAAAAAAGATAATAAACAACCTATTATATGTATATTATTTCATAATAAAATACTTCACCGTATAAAATATAAAATTATAACACTGTAACCCTGTTTAGGGAGTGCTATTGTTTTATAGTTTGAGAGTACATTAAAGTAAATTATTTTATTCTGTTTTTTGAAGCCCGAGAAGAAAAAGAACTAGATTGGATGTGTGGTGGTGCGCTCCTATCTGACCGTCATGTCATCACAGCAGCTCATTGCGTTGTGACCTCAATTGAAGCTAAACTGTAAGTTATTTTAAAACCCATATTGCATATAAAGTGGATGATGAAATAATTTGTTGTAATTCATTGGAATTCCTCAATGATGTCGTGGCTTCCAATTATCCAGGTTTTTATTAGAGAGTAATAATTTTACCTTTTATTTAAAAGTTCGTGATGTCAATCTACAAATGTTAGTTCTACTTAAGGTATGTCTGCTTGGCTGGGACTATCAAAAAATTCTACAAAGTTTTGAAATCTATTGTTTATCCTGTTAGAAAGACAATCTACTATGACTTTTGAGTTTTCCTTTTATCTGCTTGAACCTTGCTTGAATAAGTTGGCTGGCACTTATTGTATTACAGGGTAACAATTCGTATGGGAGAGTACGACACTAGAACAAACCCGGATTGTCAACTTAATAAATGTGCCCCTCCAGTTCAAGATCGCGGTATAAAAACTATAATAAGTCACCCAAATTTTAACAAGCCAGCTTTTCACAATGATATAGCAGTCATCGTTCTAGATGAACCGGTAGAAATGAATGGTAAGTATGGAATATGTTTTTTAATACAAAGCCTTGAAAGTACATAATCCTAAATCTATAGCTAGATATTGAGTGGCCTTAAAAACACGAAGGAATTTTCTTTGTAAATGAATGTTTTCTTATTAGTAAGAACTATTGTATTACTCAACAGAATTCCTATTCATATATTCTAGACATGTCAATGACATGACATAGACAATGTCCACAAAATACAGTTAACATAATAACCTTTCTGAGTCCTTAAAATACAATCAACATACTTGCCTCCATATTATATTCATCCCTACTATTTTATGTCATTATAATAATTTAACTATCTAGCTACGTGATTTATGTTTGCATCTATAATAAACATTTCAGAATATTGTGTATTATTACTATTATTGTTATTACATTTATTTTATCTTTGTTTATGTTTTAAGACTATGTTATACCAATTTGCTTGCCACGAGAGGAGCAATTACGTCAATACCTAGAACTAGGCGAAAAATTAATGGTAGCTGGCTGGGGCAAAATGAATATGACTACAGACGAAAGAGCTAAAATACTACAATATGTAACTGTAAGTTAAATGAAGTTACATAATTTTATATCTTTAATGCATAAAATTTTATGTTAATTTATTTGCAGGTACCTGTCCTAAAGCTGGAAATGTGCAATACGTTTGGAAAGCGATTCACTTTAGCCGAATCGGAAATTTGCGCGGGAGCACAAGAAAACAAGGACGCATGTGGGGGAGATTCAGGGGGTCCTCTTATGAAGGCACGTACTTTGGTAGCTAATTTATACAATAGAAATTTAAAATGTTACACTTCAGTTAACATTACATGTTTCTCATACAAAAACATAAGTTAAATACTCTAAAGTCCGGAGTTTTATGAATCAACATCTGTTAACATTCCATATATAAAATTATGATGTAAACTTTGAGTAAGCATACTGAACTCCTACAACGATTTTCGTGAAGCTAAGACACCTTTCAGTTTTACAGTCTTTAGTTTTCGCAAATACTAGAATTGTCTGAATTTGATTTGACCAAATAACTCGTACTAAGGGTACGGAAAGAAGAACATTACATACGAAAGATTACTATATGGAACTTTTAAATAAATTTAATATAATATGCAACTCACCGTCACTGTGGGTACATAAAAATTATTGAACTATTTTTATTATGTTTTCATATTAACACTATGAAAATTTCCAATACTACTTTTCATCATCGTTACAATTATGACTATTTACGGTCCCATGTGTTGTTAATTTATAACATGACTGAGTTATTTGTGCTGTAATCTGCTTTTTATTTTCTATTTATTATTACTTCTTTTTCCTAAATTTACCACGAATGTAATAAGAAAACATTAAAAAATAACTTCCAAGATATCTATATCTACACAAATTTACACTAATATAGAAATGATTGAATTTCTATCGCAGGTTTTCGACACACCAGATGGACCTAAAAGCTTCCTAGTTGGAGTCGTATCATTTGGTCCAACAATTTGCGGCATAAGAAAACCAGGGGTGTACACATCGATCAAGTTTTTTCTCATCTGGATTCTTGATAATTTGATATAATTTATAAATATACGAGTGCGATCCTTTAACAAAATATTGGGCCTCTATTTCGTTACAAAACATTGTTTGAAATATAAGTTTTATTTTCGTCAATGATAGTAGTATTATTACTATGGTATTTAGTTCATTCAAATTTAATGTTCATATACAAAACTACTTTAAATAGTCTTCTCCGGCAAAATAATTTGAGAGTAATTTTAATTAAATTCTGATAAGATATATGTATATATAATTGAATAAGCGTATGTAAAAAAAGACAACTGTTTTAAAGACGATTTTATTTATTTAAGAAATTTTATACCATCTAATTATAGATGTTCGCAAAATCAAGACTAGTAAAGTGAATAACTAGGACCATACTACATACTAGATATTTATATGTACCTAGGCGAAGAAAATATCACTGACGTCTTAAAATATTAGTGAACCAATTAAAATTCTTAATATATTACTAAAAAACAATAGATAATCTATTTCGTTTTGCAGTTATTCATTATCAAATCTTGAAACTTAATAGACTTGACTTAATTTTTAAACTCATTTTCCTAATCTACTTCTCCGACTGAGATCAGCATTTAGACCTTTAATGACAAAATACATATAAGATACTGAAAGAAGCACAATGCTCAATTTATTTATGAAAATAAATGAAAATCATGCTTTAACCCTAGCATTTTTAAATCCGACAAAGTCTTCTTCTTTCTATCTATTATTTTTTAACCCCAACATAAAAAGAAAGGTATTATAAATTTTGACTTCAATATATGTGTATTTGTGTGTGTATCTGTCTTATTGACGCGATAACTGTCAAATGGATCGACCAATTTTGAAACTCCTTTTTTTTTCATTTGAAAGCCCCTCTCCCTACTCCCGTCATTTGCTACGTTTAGTTAATATATGTAATCTGCAATTACAAAGAAAATTAAGTGTCACATGTTTGCCAATATACGTTCAATAACAACGCGTTGAGATCGAATAGCATATAAGCCACAAAATGCTATTTGGTCTTTCTAAGAGCAGCCAGAACGCCGCCTGCACTTTTTTATTAGAGCCGTGATATGAATTTAATTCTTCTACTATATTTATAATATATCAAAGAGATAAAAAATAAACAATAAAATTTCTTGCTAGAGCTGTTTTATTTTTCTGGGTTTTGTAAAAGAATACTCAAAAATACTACAGTAGTATTTTGGCTCCAACATTTTTGCTTGTTTTCTTTGTTTGTTTGTTTGTTTGTTTGTACGTTTAACTAAAGATACAAGTAATAAAGTATATTCGATAAGTCCTTATAAATAACATAAATTAGTAATATGATCAATTTAACAAAGCAAACATTCTCTTTTACTCTTTTTATAGAGGAAATATGTAGTTTCGATATCTCATCCTTTTTTTTCGAATATGTAAGCTTTCTATACAAAGAATTCTTTGTGGGATGTAATTGATTTTTTTTTGTCGTCAACGAAATTTTTTTCTCCTTTTCATTTCAAGAAACATTTAAGTGCAAAAATTCGAGAAACAAATACTACGTGTGACTCTAAATTATAGACTATATCGTATTTTTCACAAAAAAAAATTTGGTGTATCATGACAAATTTTTATTACAATACACAAAAGATATATACATATAAACAAATTGCAGAAATATTGCCGACCTAAATTGTGGGAGAGGGAGAGAAAAGTATGAAAAGGGAAACAAAAAGGCAGGAAAGAGAGGAACCTCACGCCGATCTTCTGTGAAAGTATTACTTCCCCGGTCAGCTCATTTTCGGGCTGTAGTTACTTGACTTGTCTTTACTTGGTAGGTTAAACCACCTCACACAAATGTAATGCGGATTTTTTTATTAATTCTGTAAAATACCCTTTTGAACAGGCATTGGATTACATTCTTTTTTAAGGCATATTTGATGTGACTTATCACTAATATTGAAATTGCATATTAAATTAATAAATTTGTATCATATACAAATATTATATTGACAACATATTAACTCATATATATACGTACATATAAAATACACAATTTAGTAATATACCTTATCTGACTGTAATCATTTTGACTTACGTTAAGGTCAGGATGAGGTCTCAGGAATCAATTACAGTCGAATATTAAGATATTTATTTAAATAAAACTCCATTTAATACTATCGCGGCAAGTACAAAATAATATAACAATATCACTAATACTTGGATAAAGTTTTTAGAAATAAAACCACCGCGTTCATTTGGACTTGATTAGGTAATATTATTTTTTTACACAAAGACTGTAATCCATCTATTAACAAAGAGAATTTCTGTAGGCACTCTCAAAAATATATACTAACCACATTTAAAAATACATACTGGAAGAAATAAGGATAATAATTTAAAAGTTTGCTGTCTGTGTTGTCATATTGAAAATAGAGGCGAACAACATTATGTGTGTGATAAGAATTCAATTTACCGTGAAGATATTATAGGAAGATCTGTTGGATAAGAAATGACGTCTTTATCATAAAAAAACCATCAAAATAAAAATCAAACTCACGTATAACTCCAACTTTCCCATCACGTAATGCAATTCAAGCTAATAATATTTATTTTATATACATATATTATAGCTTAACGGTACGTCCTGTCAGTTTGCACACAGCGCGGTCTCGGTTCGGTATTGTGTTAAATTTTAAAACGAAAATATAATAAAAATAATGGATAAGACAATTTTAGTCATTCCACTGACTATCTTTATAATTGCCACTATTTATTGCGGTAAGTTATACGAAATCTTATTATAAATTGTATGTTTTGAATCTTCCTTTTGTTTTGTTTTTTATATTTTGACGATATCACATTTAACAAGACCAAAACTAGAAGATTATAAATCATTAAAACCTTTCAGACCTTCAAGAACCTGTTATAATTTTTAGCAAAATCACTGTTGTTGTTTAAATTCTACTATATCATAGCAAAATTTATATGACAACATTTTGTCGTCAGACTGTATTCATAAGGAAAAATACTGTATATTTACTGACACATGACTCATGATTGCCTATTATAAAACCTAACCTTACTGCAAGAAGTTGTCTTACAAGACACAACAAGCAAGCTTTATACTAAAATTTACTATTAATTTGCTGTGTCTGTAGTTTTGTTATTCTATTGGAGTGCTTTCTTGTTAAACAAGATGAACTTATACTACGGGGTTAAAAAACATAATTTATATATTCAATTGAATAAAGTTGTAGATAAGCAAAATAACCTAGCGTGAGAGGAATTCCCGTGACAATACCGCTTATTATGATAGACATTTTTTTAATTGGCAATATGACCGAAGGACTTCGACGTAGTTTGTTTTGTTGAGCATGATCTCAATGTACAATAAGATAAACTTGATATTTTGTACACGCGTACAATTTCGTAACTAAGTTTTACACTTCTTAACTCGACTGACGTCAACAAAAGTTCATGGGAAGAAATATTTTTTTTAATGTAGGTATTTTACGTTGATTCTTTATGTTATTTGTAAAAATCCCTTAATACTTTGTAATCATATCTACCATTGAGATGCTTTAATTGTAATAAGATATTATTCAAATAAAATTATTCAATTTAAAAAAATGATATATCTATTATAAACTAATTATGAATTGATTATGCATTTTTTTTTACTTTTAAAATATTTACGCTTTGGGTCTTGATAATTGGGAGAAATTAAAGGAAATACCTACACATATGTATTTATATTTATTTAAACTAAGTTCTATGTTATATATAGGGGCTTTATAACAAAACATATAACTTCTACAATCAATGTGCATCTTGAAACAGTTCGAACACACGTATTAATACAATTTTAATCAACCTTGACATTTTGAAATCTGTATACCAGTCATTTCACACCATTTTTTCGTGTAAATAATAATTATCTTTTATTTTTTAGATATTATAGAATCGTCAAACGAAGACTGTATATCAAAATTTACAAATGGTACCTGTGTGAATGTAAGCGATTGCCCGTATGCGTTGACGTTGATATATAAACGTGATGTTGACAAACTATCAAATCTCACTTGTGGATTCAATAAGAACCAACCTATGGTGAAATTTTTGCATTTTTTTTTTTTGTGTAATACCTACTTTGAAACAACTGAAATAATTATTATTTATCAGGTGTGTTGTCCCCAACAAGACTTACCTATATTGTACGATACAAAAGAGGAACCGGCTACAAATAGACCAAAACCAATGAATTTGAAACCGGTAGCAACAACCACTTTTAGTCCTCACATAGAAACAAAGAACGATAGCTCTAATGTATTACCAAACAAAACAATTTGTGGTAAAGTAAATAATAAGGGCGTCACTGACAGAATCGTTGGTGGATCAGTTGTTGAAATTGATGAACATCCCTGGTTAGCTCGTGTGCAACATAAATTAGGTATTAATTCATGTTTATTTATCACAAGCGATGCGATGATATCACTTCAATAAGTACTTTTGTTTTCAGGTGACGATATAATTTTTGGTTGTGCAGCTGCACTTATCTCGAATATATATCTTCTTACGGCAGCACATTGCGTACAAAATCCCAAGCTTATTCCGTAAGTCAAAAAATAATATCGTTTTTTTCTTCTATCAAGTAACAATGGCACACACGTAATATTACTTTTTATTCAGTACATTTTTATCCAAAACTTCGATTTCGAAAAGTATATTTTTCATACAATGCATACACCCAAACTATTACTTTTATAACAAATACTATAGATATACATGCTAAAATCTTTTAAATTATATAACAAAAACATTTTAGATTGAATATTCGTTTGGGAGAGTGGAATACAAAAACAGACATTGACTGTTATCATAACATTTGTAATAATAATACAATTGACATAAACATTAGCAAAATAATTGTCCATCCAAGTTATAATGGAAAAATTAATCCTAATAATGACATCGCCCTGATTCGTTTAAGAGAACCAGTGACTTTTACAGGTAAATTATAATAATTATAACTATACGTAACTTTATATTACATTTAAATGAAATAAAAATTATTTACTCTCCTTAGAGTTCATACAGCCCATATGTTTACCTGCTTCTAAATACATTGCCATGCAAGGCTATGTCATCAATAATGCTTATTGGACAGCCGGCTGGGGAAAAACAGAATATGGTAGGGCCCTGGATTTACATAAATACATATGTATAATCAATAAGATACATCTTCAATTTAAAGTTACAATAATATTCATTTGACATTTTAGAGGAGGAATCTGTTTTAAAACGCAAAGTAGAACTGAATGCTGTGCCCATAGAAATTTGTCGAAATTATCTAGACGTGGCACCGGAAGCTGAGCCAAATATAATTTGCGTTGGAGGTAAAAAAGGAAAAGATACATGCAGTGGAGATTCAGGGGGACCATTGGTAAAAATAGAATCAGAAAATTATGAAGAAAATTGGTATATGTTTGGAATAACCAGCTTGGGCTTTAGGGAATGTGGCCTTGAAGGTATACCAGGAATTTATACAAGAGTCTCCTCGTACATGGATTGGATTCTTGATAACGTCAAAGAATGAATTGCTGTAATTCTTTGAAACATTGGTGACTTTTCAGTATTCGTTTCCTATTAGAGATATATAACAATTGTGATAGTTTTACAGTTTTTATGAAATGCCAAAGATAATTATAAAAAGTGAGTGGTAATTACATATGTATAAGATTGACAATCGGTAGAACATCACTTTACGATAATATACAAAACCTTGTGCTATCAATATTTTCATTACTCTTATTAATCTAAAAATGTTTTCAACATAAACTGATAAATCTCTAGTGATTACACCAAATGTCCTTATTAATAAAACGTATTCTCGGTTTTATTTTGAGTCAATAAATCGATTCCTTAATAGGAAGCGTATATCATGTAATAAGTGAAATTTGTTAATTTATTTTCTAAAGTTACTAAATTCAAAAACGAAAAACAAATATTTGATTGTGCGAAGCTATATTGCATACGATTATATTAGTGTGGAATGTTATTATTTTGTAAATATTGTAATATATTATAAAGTCCCTTGGTCTTCAAACGACAAACAAGGGCTGGTCAATAACTGTGATCCACTTTTTCTAGGACCATGTTTTTTCTTAATAGTTCTTCTTGGTGACAATTTTCCAAAATCTATTGTGGAGGCTCCAGACCTAGGTGCATAGTATCGTTCAAATAACATTGGTTGTTGTTGGACTCGTCCGTACATTAGTTCCATTTCATGTAGAAATTCTTCCCTTCTTAATCTCTCTTCATCCCGTCGAGTTTGTAGCCTCATAGCAATATCCTCTTCGTAACTAAAATAAAAGACGAAAATATTCACACATAGTGTTTTTGTAATGATTTCCAAATATATTACCTTCCTTTATTTTAGTACTAATTAAAAATTTCCGAATATGTTATGAAAATAGAACGTTATTCAAAAACTACATATAACAAGACAAAAAAATTGAAAACTCAAAGTTTACATTTGAAACAAAATGATAAAATGTATTTAACGTTACTTATTCTTAACAAGATGCCAGGCTGGCTTGGAACGAAGTAATCTGTCTCTGTGTCTGTTTTCCACTCTTCTTCGTTGTTCTGCTAGTCGTTGGGCAGATTCAAGTTCGAATTTCTGTCTCACAGCTTCTGCTCTTAACAAAGCAGCTAAATTAGATCTTCCTCCAACAATGGCCTTTAAATCCAACGCCGAGTAAGCAGTAGTTTTATCAAACGGTGTTTCATTTCTTTCAATACTATCGCAACTTTTACTATCTTGACATATTTTCTTAGATATATCATTAATCTGTAATAAATTAAGGTTAAACTACATTAACATTATGATAAGATAATTCTTTTTTAATATCCAATCGTTGCTAACCTTTTTAGAAGCTCTATCCGCAGTGCTAAAACGAAATGGCCGAGGACTAGTTGTAATAAAGTCTTCTTTAGTACGCCTTGGTCTTCTTAATTCTTTTGTTCGGCTGGATGACCTATTAGGCTCAGAAGAAGATATAGATGGAACAACTGGAGAAGGGTCTGTAGGTAAGTCGCTATGTACAGCCGGAGTAGACAATCGGCTACGTTCTCTGACGCCTATGCTGCCCGGGAAACTGGAATGTCTTAACATTTCCTCTGCACGAATTCTTTTATTTAATGACCTGAAGATATTAACAAATGTATCTTTAATTTAAAATTAAGGATAATGAAATTAAACTGAAACTACTTCGAATAACCTTACCGAAAAAAGTTTTCATCTTTTACTTTATCATAAAAATAATTTGAAAAGAGATTCTTAGGGACGGGTCGAGCTTTAAATCGTTTTTTCTTTTTGCTTTTAGGTAAAACATTTAATGCACGATCACATGTTGCACTTATTCCATTCTCTTCCCTTTTAGTGAAACTGAAGGGTTTCATTTGGGCCCTGAGTTCTGCTTCACTGTTTATTTTTGTAATTGCTCGTCTAAAATATAACCAATAAAATATGTTATACGTAAATATTAAAGTAAATTTCGAAAAATAAACGAATGAACACAATTCTTCACCTTTTTATGTTCCTTATCAACTTATTCATGTTTTTGGACGAATATACTTATAATACGAATTTAATATAATTAAAACTTACTTATTGCAGAAATATAAAAAAGTCAAAAAACCGGTACATATTCATGTAAGGCGGATTTCCCGCAAAATATTAATAAAGATAATTGATACAAGTACAACTAAGATCAGCAACATCATCGTTACGAATTGAAAACAATTACTACAAAATGTATTGCTAACTATGTATAATAACCTCATTGCCTGATCCTGAAGAATCTTGTCATACAATGGAATACGAGATTCAATTGGAACTGGCTTCGCACGAAACCGTTTTCTCTCCCGTTTTTGATGTAACATCTCTTCTGAAAATGATTTTTGGATATTTCTAAAATCATTAATTATACGGCGTTCCTCGTCTCTGTAAAAGTAAAAAAATATATATCTTAATCTTGTTTGCATTTTCTTCATCTTATATATTTTATTTAATGGATAATATGTAATTGGGTTTTACCAAGTTATATAATATGCAAAAATAATAATATGAATAGCATTATCATTCTACCTCTGCGTCATTTTAAACGGCTGGGGTACAGTAACATTTTTTATAGGTCGTAAACATGATCCTGTTTGTCTTGTTCTTAGGGGGCTTGAGGGCATACTTTGGGTTTTATAAATACCATCATCATTAACAATTGGACTATGGTCATTATCATGAAAAAAATTTTTGAACTTTTCATCAACTTCACTTTTTGGCTCGATTTTATCATCATGCCAAGAAATTGAACACGCAGAATGATTCCGTTTCGGTCTATCCGACTTAGGGCCTCCTTTAACTGTTAATAGACTACTTTTAGTTGTATCAATTTGTAAATTTTTATCTACTTCCGTGGTATTGACATCGAGAGTAGGATTTTTGTTACATAATGTTGTTCTTTTACAAGCATCTCTTTGAGTTTTGAAGACACCCTCCTCATTACAATTCGATGTTTTATTTACATGAGAGACTGAGTTTTTTCTTCTATGAATTGGATTATTTTTGGTATTACAAGAAAGTGATATATTAATTTCTCTATCTATATCTTCAAATAGTTTATCACTATCCACTTTGCAATGATCTATATGTTCTACGGCAAGACCAAGCATTAACTTCTTCTTTTCTCTAAGGATTTTCAAAGTGGAATAAAATTCACTTTCTGACAGATGGTTGATGTCATTATAATCAGGAATGCTGCGATAAAAGTCTTTTAGTTTGTTGGCATCCACATCGGCAGCCGAAACTGAACAAGACGATGATTCAATAGAGCACTGTTCAGTTAAACCTTCCTTTTCACTACGTTCATAGGCCGTTTTCGGCATCTTACTAATAGGATCAATCGGTACATTAACACAGGAATTTTTAAAAACACTATGACGATGCATAGCTTTTGAATATCATTTTAGAACACTACAACGCTATTTCAGTAAAATAAAGGTTAGAGGTTATTTTATATACGGTAACCATGGAGATTGTACTGCCCAAACAAACCGCGACCTATTAAGAATATTTATATTTATGTGAAGCTATTTTATGTATGATTGCTAGGAATGCTAATTATTATCAATACCTAATAATACTTGATAATTTTTTTAACTTCGTACATTGTTGCGGGTGCCGGAATATTTATTTTATAACAATATGAGAAAGGAAATAAAGCGAATATTCTTTCACAGTATTATGTACAAGGTTTTTCATAATAAAAAAAATATAAATTTATTGGCATTATTAGAGTTATTTCCTTAAAATATCTCCATAGGAAATACTGCAGTATGTTATAGAAAATATTATAAAAAAAAACATGGGTCTTAGCACTCGGCGGTTATCAGTACTCATTTTAATAAATTCAGATTTTTTTTCGTATTATAAATTTAAAGCAATTTCTAAATTCATTGTAATCTATAGTACTTAGATATATATATAGAATATCTTGAGAACTTTGAATCTAAAACAATACTAACAGACAAGTAAAACAAGTTTCAATTAAACTTCTTCATAATTTGTTTTTACTAAAGGAAATAAAGTATTGTTAATAACATTAATAATGTACCTGAATTGTTAAAAATGTATCCCAATTTTGCAAATGAAAAAGGGTATTTGAAAAAAAAACTTGAATAAATGATGTAATTACTAAAATATAAACGTAAGTTGTTAAATTACTGTAATATAATATTTTTAAGAAACTAAACTCAGGACAAGCAATCTTCAATGCTTTTATTTACAGTTAAAGATTTCAATCATATCTAATAAAGTCATTAAGAATCTTATTCAATTTAACCTGATTACGGATTTTCATATAGGTACAACATGAACAATATAATAAATAAATTATATTTAATCGATACACATTATTGCTAAAATTTGTAACTTTGATAGATAAATATTATTCTAAGAAACATTTCTAATTCTCTTTAAATTAGCATAGAGTAAATTAATTTATATTTGTAAATATGTATGTGATATTTTTATCAAAGACGATACAGACTATACAAACTTGAGGGCTGTTCATATGTCAGTGTAATTTAAATAAACTTTTTTTCTTTCGAAAACAAAGCCACTTTGATGTATTTAGCAGTTTCAAGAACACTAAAAAATTTGTATATACATATATCGTGGTCTCATACTTAGTATCCATGATCGACTATGCAGAGCCGACATGTGTCACATAAGTAGAGGATATCTTAATTTGAAGTAATTATTAAGTGAATTTATTGAGGTATTGGGGAATTACCAACATTTTGGCTTTTTCAAAAGTATCTCTATTTAAAATGTCTCGGGTTGAGAACTTAACTCACAAACAACGTCAAAAATGACGTTTTTAATATAATTATGCCATAATTATCATATTCTCTCGAACCAGTTAAAAAAAAACAATGTTAACAAAAACTTTAATTGCTTCCAATATCAGTTTTTTTAACGCAACTTCAACAAGAAGAAGATTAATAATATAATAAGCTCATACAGACAAGAAAGTCTACACTAGATCTCGTCGCCCTCGTTAAACTCGTTGCCTCGATGATCTGATTCAAGGTGAACATCTTTATACTACCTTAAGTATTTCAGTTATTTAAATATATATTTCAACTCATCCAAAAAATAAAAATATATATGAATACAATACTAATATCGTAATATTAGAGACATTTATATAAGATCCTAGTACTATAGTATTATTAACCGAAAAATTTGTGAAGGTGTACTGATATATAAATTCATGAATGAATGAATATTAATGAAAGGGAATTTGATCATACCTTAAAGTAATGTAGATTAGACATGAGAATAAAATATCTATCTTAAAATTCCGTGTAGTTACCATATAAATTGTATTAACAGTATTTTCTCTCTGAGTTGCAGGCAAAAGAGAAAAAAATGTATAATATTATTTTATTTAACCAAATATCTTTATATAAATAAGATATATATTTTTTATTTCATACAAACATCAACAAAAGTATGATTTTCAATTAGAGACAGATAAAATAAGTACTTAGCTTTATAATTTGACAGCTAAAAATTCTGATATCTGACAGTAGTATTTTGACATTTGTCATTATGTATTATGAAAAAAAAATTAAAATTTGAACACAACTTTAATTATAAGTAATAAATATTTTAAATGCTTAATATTTAGAGTTTACACTCTAATATTTCGTTTAAATTAGAAAGTCCGTCGAAAATATTTTCTTGCGTGAAGATATTTATTCGTTGTGAAATATTTCTAAAATGTTGATTTTAAAATGCATACAAAGTAAAAAAATTCTTTGTACAATATCAAATAATATAGGAGCTCTTTCATCTATTCGGAAAATATCTAATGCAAAGGAAATTAACGTGAAAGGGAAATATGATATTATTATTGCTGGTGGTGGCATGGTTGGATGTGCCTTAGCCTGTGCTATGGGTATGTTTCAATTTTGTTCTTAATACAAATTATTACGTAATTATATATTTACCACTCCCAATCCCTAAAAAATAAAGTTTTACCAAAGAAATGATACTTTTTAATTGAAATTTTGCTTTTCTTATTTATATTGTTGTTGTAATTTCAATATTTAGATACACCAGACCACTTAGTGACAAGGAATATATTTAAGATAAACTACATATTGAATGCTATACATTACAATACAATTAAGTTTTACTACTAATATAAGTTTTAAAAAATATACATCTTGTTCATAGTTAAACAGTGTGAAAAGTATAACTTTGGATTTCATCTAAATTTTGCATTACTTCATAGCTTTTTAGGTAGTCTATTATTCTATCTGATATTACTGTTTGTATAAACCTGTTCTAGGTAAAAATCCTTTACTCTCTCAACTAAAAGTATTACTACTAGAAGGAAGTCCAAATAAAAAGTTTGAATTCAAGCCTGAATACAGTAACAGGGTGGTCGCTTTGAATGGAAAAACCAAATCTTTGATGAACTCATTAAAAGTATGGGAACATGTTGAAAATATGAGATTACAGCCGGTTAGATATATGCAAGTAAGTAAATGTAGATTAATAAATTTACATGAATGGAGACTGTAAGATTTTTAACTTCTTATTTTTTGTACTTGAGATTAATTAATAATTAATTTATTAAGAATATTATTTAAAAAATATGTATATAATTTCAATCAGTTAATACTTTCATTAGGCATTGTTACAAAGAGTTAAATATGTTCTATGTGTTATTTTCATCCAGATATGAGTATATTTTTGCTGCCACAGATGTCAGAAATTCTCCCATTATAAGGTATTTTGAGTTGAGAAAGCCAAAATAATTTAAGTGTTCACAATTGATATTTGAGCTTACTTTACATCCACTGTAAAAATAAAACCATTATGAGAAATTTAATTAAATATTCAAAAGATTTAATATATATTATAGCTGGGAGAATAATTTTTAATCAAAGTATTTGGTTAGAAAATAAAGCAAAGCATTTCTTATTTCTTGGGAGCATTGTACATAAAGAGTATAATTTTATTACCCAAAATAACCAATCTAGCTATAATCTTTTAACAAAAATCTATATTTTTTATTGTTATGTACCATAACCACTTGCAACTCATTATTAAATAATTTTACTTAGAAATTATCTTATTATTCTTGATCCAAACAAATGAATTTTGATTATTATTACATAATGTATTCCATTATAAATATAATATAGGTATCTTTCATATGAAACCGTCTTTTCTTTCCAGGTGTGGGATGCATGTTCCGATGCCTTAATATCTTTTAGCAGTTCAGAAATCTTTGATGATGATTTAGCATATATTGTCGAAAATGATGTTTTGCTTGAAGCCATTAACAAAGAGTTGAAGTCCAAAGATGTAAAGAATGTAGAAATTGTATATGGAGCTAAAATAGGGGGTTATGAACTAGCTAAGGATGATAGTCCCAGAAACATTGTTAAAATGAGCAACGGAGACAACTACATATGTGACTTGCTGGTGAGTATTTAAAATTATTTATTATCCAATACTGTCTGATATTTCTTTAATAGTTAGGCAAATTTGAAATAAGATTTAAATAACTTTGAATTTATTTGGTCCTAATTTATTAATAGACTTATAGCTATTGGACAATATTAATTTATTTTATCAGGTAAGGACAAAGTTTTCAAAATGTTTATTATTTTACTTACTTAACAATAAATTTTAACACCTTGTTTATATAAAAAAATTCTCTTTGAGTGAATTTACTATTCAATGTTATATGGTAGCTGAAAACAATCTCTGTACTATTTCTATCCAAAGAGATGTACATAATACTAAATAATTTAACTAACAATATTATTAAATTTAAGGCGGTCTTGTTTCTTCCAATTTTTTCTCAATGAAACTTAATTTTGAATCTGTTACTTCAGCTAACTTGTTTATCTTCTTAGTCAATTCTGCCAGTTGATTCTTGATATCCACCATACATATTTCTTGTATAGCATTTATAGAAAAAGATACTGGTCTATTTTTATTGTCAATCGACCCAGATGTGGTGGTCTTCTTACGACGTTCGACGTTTTGACTTTCACACGAATATCTTTCATATAAATAACTCTTTCTTTTAACGTGTTGTTGGCGTTCAATGTCCTCTTGATCTGTTTCTTTTCTTAATCGAAATTCGTAGTTATTGTTTTTGCGTATGCTCTTTTTTGTGTCCTTACGGCTCGCCACCATTTTGTAAATCGATGCTATTAACTCCCGCGGTATCTGTAAGAAGAACACCATGTATATTACGGTGATAACATTTGATTACACTGGTTCAAAAAATTCCTACCCTATTTTCTCTGGGGTCATTGGGCCTGATGTTCAAAGTGCGCATGTGTGAGGCTGTCAACAAGGCACCCCATCTCAACACAGCAAGTAACTGTTGTGGGGCACATGTCAACAAAGAACTGAAAAGCATACTCTCAAGATGCGCCACCAGTTGAGTTTGTCTAACTAGTCTGTCTAAACCTGCACTTTCTTGTAGGGCCTATAATTTAATATATATTTTTTACTATACATAAGTTTACACATATAGGTTTTGCATAAAAATAAATCGGTAAAAGACTTGACATTAGTCTTATATAAGCATAATATTTAAGGATTATAAGTAATTAACGTTACAAAAAACGAAGGCGCCCAATATTACCTGTATATCGCTAACAGCCAAACCCACCAAAAGATTCGTCAATATAACTGTTACCAGAAGCACAAATATCAGGAACATAGCGTGAGCGGTCAAAGGATAATGTATCTGAGAGTTCGTGCAGTTATTGTAGAAAATGTCCTCATACTCCAACTCTCCTGACATCATCATGACGGTTTTAACCAAACCAGCGGGTAAATGAAACGCTGGGTAGTTGCTGAATAAAACACTGAAGGCTAGACCAAACGCCATCAGGAGACAACTATAGGCCATTAGAAATGTAGCAAAGTTCACAGTCACTGAAAGGAAATGTTCGTTATAAATAAATTAAATTGAATTTCTGAGGAAATACTGAAGATTCCCACCTGTTGTGAACATTTGGACATATAAACCAAATGTGGGGAAACGTCCGATTATCATCATTAATTCGAGCCAACAAAAAAAAATTGTTATAGCTGCGACGTCGTGCTGCCAGTTTGATGTGTTGGTTATTGCTGCTCCGTTATGCATATACCAAGTTGGAATCTAAAAAAATATTAGATATATTCATGCGTTATTAGATAAACACCTCGTCTTCAAATATTGTGTTTAAGATCATAATCCCGATCAAGTCAGATAGGCTCAATTGTTCTAGAGTAGTATAAGTAACATCTATTCATAAAAAATTTGGATATTTATAGTATTTATATTTTTACTCACTGTGCATAGAAAAACGCCTATGATTATTAATATTTGCAACCAGTTCTCCCATTGCCGTATATACGCAGAGTAATCCAGACATGCTTGAAATATTTCTTTTGATAAAAAACATAAATTCAAGAGTACTATTACGTACTGTACTGGTCGGAGGTAACTTGGAACATCACAAGTAACGTCTTCACACAGAAAAATCTCTGTGAAAAGCAAGTTTCATGTAAAAAATTGTTGATAAAAATAGGGTAAATCTTTTATATTTAAACATATACTAACGCAGTATATACAAGCTATACAAAGTTATGAATATGGCGTGATAAGCGAAACTCAATACGAAAAATTTTCTTATTCTTCGCCATTTCAAAAACAGGAATGTTTCCGCTACCGGATGCTTTAATACGTCTTTTCTTCCCACCTGTGAATTATAAAAGTTATATTTAAAGTTATTACTATCTTCACGAATCAAACGAAATGAATTTTATGCAATCACCTCAACAAATGCGAGTAGCAATTCCGCCTCTCCTCTTGATAGGCAAGGTACTAGTGGTCTGAAGTCGATAGTTAGCTCACAGTCTACATCGCCGATTTCATGTTCACTCACGTGTACAGCATCATCGAACTTACATAAATACCGCGGAACTACATCTGGAACCCGTCGTACTATAAACGACAGGGCCGATACTCCGCCATTTGTACGTAGAGTTACGTCGCCTCCATAATCTAACAAATAATTATATATTAATAAATAGAATGGAGAATTATAACTATATATCAACGTTACCAACCTAAAAGTAATAAAACACATGCTGAGAACTCATTAAGAGCGGCGATATGCAGTGGAGTGTAACCAAAGTTATCTGGTGCATTAGGATCAGCGCCCACAGAAAGAAGTAATCTCGCTACATCACACGCTCGAGCTCCTCTCACAATAGCGCCATGCAACGGCGTCCTTCCGTCAATATCTCTCGCTCGAACGTCAGCACGTTTCGCTACCAAGAGTTCCACTACCTCCACAGATTGTGCTAAGGCAGCTGTAACATAAAATTTACTTAAAATCTGCATCATTAAGACTCATTTTACAAGAGCTGATCTTACCTAGATGTAAACTGGTTTGTCCTCTGGAATTCGGGCAGTCAATTCTAGCACCATGTTCAAGCAAAAGACTGGCGCATTCAGCGTGACCATCTACCGCAGCGAGGTGCAAAGCGGTTGCACGACCTGGGCCTAACGCCGCTCGGACGTCGGCACCAGCATCCAGAAGTAATTTCATACAAGAAGCCGATCCCAAAGACGCGGCTACATGCAATGGAGTCTCTGTAAAAACCTGTAATATCACTAAACATTAATCATTTGTTTCAATATAGCAGTGAGCAATTTATTTTTCGAAATGACGTCAGTTCTGGCGAACGATTATTCAATAATTTCAATAGTTTCATTCGTTTGTTTCGTGTAGTTTGTTTGGAAAGGTATGATATAAAACAGGCACACCTGCGGAGTGTCAGGACAAGCCCCGGCTTCTAAAAGCGCGCTCACAACTTCCGGTGCATCGCTCATAACAGCGTAGTGTAAAGGAGAATGCTCGCTTAGACCGGCATTAACGTCTGCCCCATGATTTAATAGAGCCTGAAATAGTAAAGGGAAATTGAGTTATCCTTTCACATGCTATAACAAGGGTCCTATAAATATATTTATGTTAAATTATTGACCTTGACACAATTCAAAGATTTAGCGCTAGCAGCACAATGAAGTGGAGTGGCTTTTCTATCAGATAAAGAATCCCACATATTTGGATCAGCTCCGTGTTCTAATAAGAGCTTCACTATTTCCCCATTTCCAACTAAACAGCTTAAATGCAAACATGTCCTGAAAATAATAAATATTATTTAACTATGATGAAATTATATATACAGGGTGACTGGTGAATTACTATCAATATTTAAGGAGCATACTCGGTACATGATTCTCATTCGAATTATGTAAAAAATATAGGTACTTAATTTTTGACCAAATTTCCGTATAAATAAATAAAGTGTGTACACGTTCCAAGTGTTCCAAGTGTGGACGCGTGCGGCGGCGTGCTGATACAACACTACGCCGCCGCCGCGTCTGTGTGAGTGTGTGTGTATACCTAATCTGTAGGGTGTTCATACGATGCGTAATTAATTACATAACTTTTGGTTAACTTTACTTAGAAGTTTATTAATATTTATGTTATATTAATTTATATTTTGTCATATATGATCGTCAAATATCACGTCCTCAAATATCGATAGTAATTCACCAGTCACCCTGTATAAAAGGGTCCATTAAAAAGTCTTGACTAACCTGCCAGCGTCATCCTTGCTGTTTGGATCTCCACCAATTTTTAATAGCTTCGAAAGCAAACAAGTTTTTCCCATCCAACAAGCCCAGAGCATAGCACAACGTATACCAGCTTCATCCATTTCCAGAGCATAAGATACCACATCTTCGCAATGGGCGGTCTCTATCAGTGATGATATTTCATCAGCTGACTGTAGTAACCTTAGCGTTTGCTGTATTTCCTCTAACAAAATAACAATAGTTTTAATATAAAATTCTCTTTAAAGTACACCAAAACAAAAAGCAATCATACCCAAATCCCATATATCTCTAGATTTGACCCTAATTCGGTCTCCAAGGTCGGGTATATGCGCGGATTCATCACTTGATATATAATCCACGTTGATATCGGCTTCCCCTTCATCAGAATCTTCTACGACTTCTCGTATACCTTCCCTCCATCGTGTATCGCTTTCTTCTCTATAGCGCTATAATGTTTATAACAAAACATTACATTTATGTCCAATTATATTTATTTTCGGTAGATTTGATAAAGAGAAATACAATTTGTTCTAACATAACCTCCCAAATCGTTATACAGTACGCAATTACTATACCAAAGATTTGTGGTTAAAGAAAACAATGAAAATTTTTAAGCCGCTTTATTTTTTACTGAATAATATTATAATTTTGAAGAACAGATTGAAAAGTATAAGATTTAAGAATTCAGGTCAAAGGAATTCTGTTTATCGAAATGTGGTTTAAAAGCCGGCCAACATTCCGATTTGTTAAAAATATCCGAATTAAAATAAACTGTCAACTTTATTACGTAAATTAATTATAGCGTCTTTAGATTACTGCGTGCTACAGCTGATTGAGAAAAATTCTTGATTTTTTCTATCAACATAATAACATAATGCATTGGTATTGGCAATATTAATATGCGTTACTTATTAAAGTTAAATGAAAATTTTAAACAATCATACATATATAATATACAGAGCCACATAGAAATAAAAAACCGATTCTGTGCATATTTCCACAAACCACAGCACTCACTAATATATAAAATATAAATAGGCAGAAACTACGAAACAGCTTAAACTTTCCTTTCTTAAACACAATGTTTCAACTACTTTTATAATTTATTATTTGTTAGGACAACCTTTTTGCTGCTCGCACTTTTTATTTTCACCGAAGGCATAACGAGTGTGAACTCTCGCTCATATCAAAACAATTCCCGACCGCGTTTCTCTGAAAACTGAAAGCTCCGTACATTGGATCGTCTCCGCCAACAAAACTAAATTATGATGCCGTTATATATACTACATTATTATAAAAAATTTATTTAAGAATTTTTTATAAAAATTACTTCAGTTAGAAACATTTTTTTATTGTGTCTGCCCGTTTGTTGGAAATTCTTTATCTATTTTTTGATCGTAGCGTTTATTTATATACTAAGCTTTTTCAACTGTTTCTTGTGAAGATTGTGAAATCATAATGTATATTATACAATGTTTTATTAATTTCTATTTCAACGGACGTCTGTTTATGTGATACATTTTTGTTACGATACTCGCTAAGAAGTACACATGTTACTTCAAAACGTGTTTTAGGAATGTTATAGGAAATTATAAATATTTTATTCTTTATTTAATAACAGAATATTATCCAATACACATAAGTTCTTGAAAGTATACACCTAACAGATAATGAACTTGGATAAAAAAAAATGTATAAAAACGGCTGCGTGCACGAAAATTATGTAAAAGAAATTTAGTTCATTAATATATTTTCAGTTCTGTAATATTACTTTTAATAGAGAGAGGGAGAGGAACTTTAACAGTGTCTGGGACTTGCGACCCAGGTGTACGTTTAAGAAACCCCTATCTAACGCGCTTTAAACGCTCACCTCCAGCGTCCAAGGTCCTCTTTCTACCTAACTGAATTTGAAACGAATAAAAAATTCTCCGAAATAATTAGAATTAGAAATGCAACATATGAAAGACTTAAACATAATTTAATTTCTTGCGAAATAATTTTATAATTTTAATGTTTACATGTTAAGTTTATTTGAAAAGGACTAACTCAGAAGTTTATCTTATGTAGTTTACTCGTAGTTTTACCAAAAACATTCTATCAATGTAATCCTTATTTTTGTTGTACATGTAAAATAATCTAACAATCATTATGGACGTCTACTATGACCTACTTTACGTTATATTTGCACTATTAAACAATTTATCTTTTTATGTTAAGGATTTGCAGAGTATTTTAATGTATGATAATAATTATTCATTAACAAATAATAAAAAATGTGGCATGAATTTAATTGATTTATTTATATTTATTCAGCTTTAAAATATACATATATTTTATACGGTATTTTTAAGAACGACTAGTGCCTATCTTGACAAGTCCAGAGAGAAAAATGTTGAGCCTTCAATAGTTTTCACAAACACTAATAACTACGTTTAATTCCATACAAAGTTATATGAACAATTAATTTTTTTTTTTTTTGTATGTAGTAAATGTTTAAATGTTTCTATTATTATATATACATATACACATAACCATAAAAGAAATCTCATAGATCAATGAAAACTTGGGTATTTTAATGGAATTATTGTAATTACTATCTAATTTACATATATAAGTACCGATCTGTCCAAAACATTACTAACTGTTTAGCTGACATAAGAGATAGAGTTAGTTGTTTTCAATAATTGGAAGTCGTCTGTAAACATCATAAGATAGAACAACGTGCAAGCAATTGGTCAAAACCTAACTCACATTCCATTATTAGCACATTCATAGGGCTGCTGTTAGTCTTCATTAGTCAATACGCCATAAAATCTCGATGTTTCATAAACAAATAAACATTGTGGCTATAGTAATGGGATTGTAAAGTATCGTAAATTTTATTAGACATTAAAGAGTTATTAAATGGACTTTATATCAATTTGAAGTTATACATAAGAATACGGAATTTTTGCAATCTTAATCCTGTTAGGATATTTTTGTTCACGTTTTTGTCCTATATTTTTCTGATTCATCAGTTAATATTGGAAGTCTCCAAAAAATTAATTGTAATATAATCTATAATTGGATATATTACAGCAATGAGTCAATCCAATGAAATCTTGATGGCTGTTTTATGAATATTGCTTTCACAGAGCCAACCCTGAGTTACATTGTTCGCAGCATTTAGCGTTGTTGAAATAGAATTATGAAGTGCAGGTGGTTTTAACTTCAGGCAAACATAAATCATTGATTTTCATGTTTTAATATGTAAATTTTTAATATTTCTTAATTATTAACACATTACACTGTTACAAACCTTGACTTGTCTTATTGCGTTTCTCAAAACCATGTCCCCATTCACTTTGACACTAATATTATTATTACAAAATAATTTCTAATAAGAACTCCAAAGTTCAACAAGTATCGCGCAAAACTGATAGTTTTTCTATCGAAATTAAAGAATGTTTACGTAAATTGCTTCGATCCTGTTTTAGCCTTTGTTTAGACATACGTCGAACTGATGAGCTTCATGTGTTCTTATTTTCATATTACCAGACAATATAATTTTGTTTTATATAATTACTTGATTTTTTTAACAAACTTATGTTTTATAATCCACTTTATTATTACGTACATATAAAAAGCCAAAAGTAGGTCTGTTTACAACCATAATTTTGTTTGAACAAACAGTATTTCAGAAGCTTCTTACAAAACAATGGTTATATTCATATATTTGAATACTTCATTTTTTCTGATTACCCTTATTCTATACAGTAATTGTAGTATTATTTTCTTATACTGACACCATATTACTGCGTTCTTTACTGTACCTGATATATTTCTGCTGCAGTCTCAGACATTTCACTGTTAAATGAAATCTTCTATAAAATATATTCTCTCCAAAAATCCACTTAATAACAGTACTCCTGCTGCCAACGCACACATTTTTCTAACCCGAATGCCTTAAATATGGCGACCCAATTTAACACAAACAGAATATCGAAGAAAACGTTCTAATCGTTTCACAGAAATCATATATATGAGTATTACGAGAAATCTATAACCAATGACCTCAATATTTGAAATAAATTTCCGGTCCATATAAATTAGTAATTTCTATTTTCTCGGTAATATCACACACTGCCAAACCAGATCTCTCACAAAAGCTCTGTTGACTACAGTTATATACAAATTTACCTCAGCGAAAACTGCATACAATAATCGTTAGAAAATTTCAATATAAATTCACAAACGTCTATTGTTTTACTGACATCAAACCATTTTTATTCCCCTTTGATCTTTTTTCTTTGAATGTTACTATAAACAACATATACAGACCATGGAAAGACGTTCCTGGAATACAATAAAAATACATATTTTAATTCATATATCTATTATAAACTTTACAACAATTTATTATACGTAAACTTTGTATTACCAACAAACTATATTCTAAGTTTATTTTCAATAAAATCTTTTTGTCGTAAAGAAACAAAAGTTATTCATTCATTTTTAAATATTTTCACAGATTGGGGCAGATGGCGCGAAATCTGCTGTACGAGAGGCGATGGGTGTCCAATACCTATCATGGAACTACGACCAAATGGGTGTAGTTGCTACAGTACGACTATCAGAGGTATAGATAATCTAATTGTACTTTAAAAATCTCTCTCTCTTAATTTAATTGGGGTGATGTCATTTATTTATTTAAAATGTCCAAAATAAGAAATCGATTAAGGCGAAGAAAGATTTCGAGCAAAATAGTCTTATAAATGTCAAATCTATATATTATATGTTTAAAAGAAAGTTGTGTTAGTTTTTATTTATTACTCAAGAAGTTGAAAATTTGTGTGGAGATAGCTTAGTACCAGGGACGGACGTAGCATATTTAAATCTATTCGATCGAAACAGAAGAAAAACTTAATAAATTCAAATATATTTAAGGGCCTTTAGGACGGAATATAGTTCGCCCGGTCAGCTATACTTATATGATTCACTATAAAGTAGTATATATGTTATTCCTGGACGTCAGCTTCTTGTATACAACATTTTATCAAAATCGGTTCAGCCGTTTGAGCGTGTACAAGTAACAAACATACACACACACTCACAAACTTTCGCAATTATAATATTAATAGAATTTCGAAATTAACGCAGATAAAGTCGCGGGAAAAAACTAGTTCTAGATAAAATTAAACCCCACCTTACTATAAGCAACCAAAATTTGATTATTTTACCCATATTCCTATATCCAGGATACAGATAATACAACGGCATGGCAACGCTTCCTACCAACGGGTCCTGTAGCACTTCTACCACTGAACTCAGACTATAGCTCCCTAGTATGGTCAACAACACACGAACACGCAAAACAACTGCTGAATATGCCAGAGGAAAACTTCATAGATGCACTGAATGATGCTCTGGTAACAGTTCTCATAATCTGTTATCGATACTTAATGAGAATCCATGACCCTATTAAGTATTAGCTATTCTTCCAATATATAAAGTTAATAAGATATTTGACGGTTTCAAATGACTTTATGCAAATTGAACAAAAACTTCTCGAACATCCATAATTTTGGAAATCGTTGGCTGATTTTATATCCAAGAAACGTACCACACTCACTTCCTTATACAAAAAAATATATACCTTAGACTTATCGTAACTATATTCAAATACTGAAAACAATTATCTTACTAAATACATATGTTCTAAAATGAAATATTTTTATTATAACACCTGTCCTATGTTTACTTAATTCAGGATATTTTTTCTGTTACAGTGGAAACAGTATCCCCGAAGCGGCGCTGTCGACGCTTGCATGTCATGGCTTGGGTCAGTGCTCCGTAGTATAGGGCTCCCCGATGGGGCGGAGCGCCAACTACCCCCTAGTGTGGCTACACTAGCGCCATCCTCCCGCGCCGCCTTCCCACTCGGCTTTGGACATAGCACTCGTTACGTAGCACCACATGTGGCCTTGGTCGGGTAAAAAACATTATAGATACCCCAATATATAATAATATATAATCGGGGATAGTGAAAAACCGTAACTAGCATAGATTATAATTATTTAGTGTTTAATTTATTACTAATTGTGAAAAAAATAAACTTGAAAGTCGTTAATTTAGAAAATATAGTTAATTCAGCTTAAACTTTCTTGTGATAATCTGCTTCCAATGCAGAATTATTCAATGCTAGTTACGCGGTTTTGTACTATCCCCGACGATATGTGATTGAAGTGTCATTAACAAGTGAGACTAAATAGAAAATTTACAGTTCTAAATATCGTCACAAAGGTATGAAATCGTAAAAAAGTGTAAGATACGAAGTATTATAGATGGTAGTTTTGATGTAAGCTTTTATGTATTGATACCAAATTGATCTTAGAATATTTTTACTGTTTAAGCCATTCAAATACAAGTTCCTTTCAACAGTTCTGCCCACAAGCATTGAATTTGATTACTAGAACAAGTATATTAATGTCTTCTTCATTACATAGAACATAATCGAAAAGCTATTTGTGCATAAACCAACAGTATCACCGTTTGAAAATTACTAGCAAAAAAAATTCTTCCTTTGTATGATAACATCTTGTTTGATTAAAACTATATGTATAGTAAAACGAAACCTATTTTTTATAATATAAGCCTTATTGGCTTCATAATAAGAGCTATTAGTGTTTGTAATAATAATGCTTTGTATGTAGTGATGCAGCTCATCGTGTTCATCCATTGGCCGGTCAAGGAGTCAATCTTGGCTTTGGAGATGTTAAGGATTTGACTGATTTCCTATCAGATGCTCTGTATAGCGGCCTGGATGTCAGTAAGTTTAGTTTATTAATATAGAAAAGTAAATAATGCTGTATAATAAATTAAATTTAATATATGCTATATACATTTCACATGAAAATTCTCCATTAATACATCATTAAAAATCAAAATTTTATTACATATAATACCATTTGCCTTTTTTCCATACAATATTGAGAAGTATTTTTCTTCTCATTGAATTTACGGATATTAAAATACATATATAGTATAGTTCTACTTTGCTAGTATTAATATGAAAAATTTAAATGAAACAAAATAATTTATCCGAAATATTTAATCGCAATCGTTGACATCAATAATCTTATTAACATATTCTATGACATACTATTTAACACATATTATCAAAAACAGGTCATAACGACTGGTTAGAAAAGTACGAAAGTGCCCGCCAGCGACACAATGTACCCATGCAATTGGCAGTCGACGCTCTATACAGGCTATACGGCGCTGACTTGCCACCAGTAGTACTCGCTAGAAGCGTTGGATTACAGCTAACCAACGCCATACACCCACTTAAGGTAAATAAACTGATTACATATAATAAACATAAAACAATCTAAACTAAATAGGAAGGCAAAATGTTCTAATATCCAGTATACAGTAAGTTTCGATAGATGGCGCTGTTATGAATTAAATACTAGCTCGAGCTTAATGCGTAGTTTAAACTACTGAAGATAGATGGCGCTGTTACTAATTTTCATCATGAGGCCGTTTAGGGCAACTCTGAGCGTGTATGTTCGAAAACCTTGCAGTGTTGAAGGTCATTTAAAGATCGGAGCGAATTCTGCGAAAACAAATGCTTTGTTAGTCATGAGTTCGCGTGGTTTTTATTCCTTTTATGTTACTCAATGCCCTTAATATATTTTTCAGTCTTTTAGATGAATGAATGTACGTAAATTGTCAATGTATTTTTATAACATTTTATAGTACTTAATAAGACATTAAAAATAAATCAGGTTGAGTCGTTAGATAAACGTAAAGTAATTAGTCTAACTGACGAAAACACGTCATAGAACATAATATACTAATTGTTAAATAATTATTTTTTTGTATGAAACTAACCCAAATAATCAAATTTTACCTTTTATTGATGAAATCGAATGCCTTTTTGTTCCAGAAAATTCTAATGTCCCAGGCAACAACATAAAGAGAGTTCCTGCTAGATTATTTTGTATGATAACTTTATCTAAGGCTGAATACAATATAGTGCAATAAACTTTGAAATTTATAAAGGTCGTTTTATTTAATTTTTCTAATATGTTTCGTATTAAATATGTATTAATTTACTAAATATTTGTATAACAACACTACAGAAACAAATTATTTAAAATCCGACTAGACGTCATATATACCTAACTGAAAGGCTAACTTAATTTATAATATAAGATAAAATTTACATAAAGGGTTATTGCAAAACAAGATAATATGTCTCTTAATCTTTTTATTCAATAATAAGCAACTAAATATTTCTTGTCTCATTTAAGAAAATTTAACGTTTTGTATTAAATATTTACCGATTATATTAAACAATTCAGATGTATTGTGAAATTAACCATGTTATTTTCCCTTAGTTTTTACTTGGAATAAACTGATTATTTGTCTTCAAACCGTCGAGAAGGAGTTCTATTGAATTTTTTTCCGTATTGACATTACAAAGAAATAAACAATGTTTCAAAGAATGAAGAATATTTTGTTTTTATTAACAAACAATACCGAACGAGATAAAAGCCAAATCTATTATATTATCTCTTTTCGCTTCACTGCATACATGATATAAAGGAAGCGTATAACAAAAATAAAGCATGTCCCCCTCTATACGAATATAAAACTTGAACACCACAAGTTATTTCTGGATAAGCACGCTTATAGATAAATATAACACTGCCCACTAGTGAGTAGTGACTGAGAAACAAAAACATTATTGTATACCACAACGATCAACAAATTATTTATCAGGAAATAAGCAACAGATATTTTGAACAAAAAAAAAACAAAAGATAAGATAAAATAATGTAAACAACAAAAACACGCGTCTCTAAACTTAGATGGGTAGATACAATTACGTAAAATATAACATTACACTTACGTAAGGTAAAAAAATTAACATTTTAAATTAGGCTCAAACCCAGTCATCCACATAAAATTACATCACTTTCACCATAAAAATTATACATATACAGGGTGACTGGTGAATTACTATCAATACTTAAGGAGAATGCTCGGTACATGATTCTCATTCGAATTATGTAAAAAAATAGGTACTTAATTTTTCACCAAATTTCCGTATAAATAAATAAAGTGTGGACACGTTCCAAGTGTTCCAAGTGTGGACGCGTGCGGCGGCGTGCTGATACAACACCACGCCGCCAAACGCGTATGTGTGTGTGTGTGTGTGTGTGTGTGTATATACCTAATCTGTAGGGTGTTCACACGATGCGTAATTAATTACATAACTTTTGGTTAATTTTACTTAGAAGTTTATTAATATTTATGTTATATTAATTTTTATTTTGTCATATATGATCGTCAAATATCACGTCCTCAAGTATCGATAGTAATTCACCAGTCACCCTGTATAATATGTATGTACCTAATTACGAATATTGTATTGAAATAGTCCTTCATAAATTTTCAATTATAACTGTTTATTCAGAACCCTGTATGAATTCTAGTTCGGAGAAAAATACAAAATAATAATTATTTTTAAAACTTGATAGTCTATAGAACTATGTAAACACAGATCAGATATACTATTCCGTCCACTAATTAGTCCTTTAATTTCAATAACAAAGTCCAATTAGCTAATTAATATAATTATTATTAAAGTTTTTAACACATAGATGAAACAAAAAATGTTTCCATGTTTAAAAATTGTCAATAACAAATTCGTGAAAGCACAATGTTGGTTGAATGACCGTTTATTTGTAGCTTTCTTAAGAATGCGCTTAAACTCTAGACAGACCCACGCGTTGGTATGACGTTTGTAACAAAAAAAAAGTAGCAGGTATTATTTTACCTTCCACTTCCAGGAAGCGTCTGCTTCCGGAATATAAATATTTTCTAGATATGACTTGTTGTTGTCCTTACCTTTGAGATCAAAATTTTATCTGCAACACTGGGAATAAAAAATAACAATATTCACTGATTCCATCTTAATATTCCGACCTTCATGTTGAGTTTCTTTTAAACGATGTTTTTACCTTGCATTTGTCTATACTTTTACCTTAAGAACCCGCGCATACAGAGAGCGGTCGAAGTTCTGGGTTCTAGTGACAGTTAAGAGTTCCAACACAAGTTCGAATGACGATAAATAGTTTTAATGAATTATATATGTAACATCATAAAATCTGATATCGAAAATCTAAATACTGACTGGAGGAAGGGCGTTTTATTAAAAGTATGTAAGGCTGGTTATTGTGGTATATTTTTAATGTATATATTTATTTATTAAGAATAAGAAAATACTTAAAAGTATTTAGAAATAATAACAAAATATACGAAAGGTTCATTTTTAGATCGAATTATCGGACGAATACGACATGTTGTCACAATATTCCGACTCCGAATTTGTTGTAGAACTCCAAGACCAAGACCTTTCTTTCACTGATTGCGGTACAACTTGGGAAGCACCTGCATTACTCCCTTCTACCATTTGTAGCTCGTACCGGGCAAATAGAGAGGCCATTTCTAGTTTAATCATAATTTGCATTCTAGGTGGGAGTGTCTTGAACGTTTGCGCATAACTTAAAAAAATGTGATCGACTACATCCAGTTTGGCCTTTTTTTTATTTTTTATATATCCTAGTATTTTATCAGAATCACTGGATTCTGAGCTCGTTTTTATACGTTTTCTCGTTATTTGCGTGCTTGGTTCAGTTCCATATACAGTAACTTCAGAATGTGTAGTATTTTGTTTTTCACTCATCGTAAAGTTCTCTGTGTCTAATGCAACAGTGGTATGATTGTTGGCTGAACTATTCTCACAATTACTTTCTGTTTGTCTTCTAAAATTAAAATCGTCTAAAAAACTCAAGCGCGAAGCCCATGGCCAAGACTTATACTTTTTATAAGCCTGGCCTGTAGAAGATTCATTACTTTTCTTATACTTGTTGTAGTTATCTCTCAGACTCTTCCACTTGCCTATCCATACTTTACCTAAAAACAAAAATAGTTACAGGTTACACATTTATTGAAAAGACAGTGACAGTAGGGTTTTTCAAAGGATTTTTCAATCAAAAAATTGTGTAACAATCAGCTTAGCATTCCCGAGCCAAATGCGTTACCAGGTCGTGAAAAGCCAGTGTCTTACATTTAAATTGGAGATAGCGGTTTCAAATTATTATTTTTTTGATGAGAGCTATACAGGATGAAAAAAAAAGTACATATACCTAATAAGAGAGAGAATAAGGCGTGTAGTTGAGAGCACTTGGCAATTTGACTAAAGAATGGCGGGTATTTTATAAGCCATTGGAACTCAATGTAGACACAGGCGTTGATGTTGTAGAAGTAATGATATTAAAATAATAATTATTATTATATTTAAAATTTATTATTATTATTAACAAGTGATGTTTTACTTACTCTCTCCGAATCCCATTTCTGTGGCAATTTCAAGCCAAGCTTCAGCTTTTTTTTCGCGGTTTTTATAGTCTACATTACTAAAATCGTATAATATACTCCTTTCCCTAACTAATTCAATCAACCTTTCCGTGTTTGCAATACACTCAGACATCGCGGCGTTCCGACGTTCCCTGTTTTGGTGTGGAAAGAACTCTTGAAACGTAACGTTCCTCTTTGAACGCTGCGGTCAGACTGACCTCTGTATGCGTTGTTGTTATTGACTCGGCATAATCTTATGAACGCTGAACGCGGAACTCGGTACTCCTGACCGCTTTCTGTGTGCGCGGTCTCTTCGGCCGGGTTTTCTAACATTATTTGATAGAATTGATATTTTTATTTAATAGAATTATTGTAATTATGTAAAATATATTGAAGCGAGTTTGAAATTTTACTTTTATGTATTTCTTTTAAAGATTAGTATTATCTTTATGTTTTGTAAAAAAAAAACTAACCTGATTTATTAAAATCTTTCATTTTAAAAACGTAAAGTGAATGTATTAAATTTCAGTTCTCAGAATTCGCTTCTAAAGATTTCTGAACTTACTCATCTCTTTAGTTTTGTACATTTTGACATTTTAACCTTAATACAATTATTTTAAAAAACATTAAAGAATTGTTAAATACAATTTTAATATTCTAGAAAGTTTTATTTTTAATTAAATAAGAACTGATTTGTATTTAAATTGTAGATATGACATTTCCGTACTTACAACTCTGTAAAAAAAAACATAGTAAAAATATTGCAATGTAAAAGAATACTAATAATAATCAATAATGTGAGAAACTTCGTTAGTCCCCTCAGACACGATCAGTGAAGCCATATAAACGTTATAAAACATTCTATAGCAAGTGAAGCCCCTAGAACCAGTTTTACGCAGCTGCAGTGCTATCGACCGTTGCGACATTCAAGGAGGGTTGACGTCAGTAATAATAAAACCGTTCACCGCTTGTAGGAATTGACGCCATCTTGTTTTCCTTTAGTAACTCACGCCATAATACACCTTAAAATACACGAAATCCAAACTAGGTAAAAATAATTGCTTAGCAACCATTGTGACTCATCGACTGTGTGATAAACATCTGTGTCAGTATTATTTGTTAGTCAGTTCATTTATTAATACGTTTTAGAGATAAATAAGCCATCAATAACATTTCTATTCATTAATACTATGACTGATTAAGATAATGGAATTCTTAAAACTCATTATTGAACCCAATTTCATTTTATCTGTTTAAACATATTAACTAATTAGTTCTAAATACTAATGTCTTAGCATGGATTTAGTAAATAGAAATAATTTAATGTAAATACTTTAAACACATCTCTGTGAAATAAGAAAAAAACATGTAAAATAACAAAAGAAAACCTGCAGCAACAAAATCATGTAATTCGTAAAGAATGCTTTATTTGAAATATATTATGTAAATATTAAGGGACTGGAATAATAAAAATAGTATTGTATAGTATGATGCCGACTACCTAAGCCAGCTCTTTGTTAAAGTGGTATTTTTGTTTTTCTAAAGACGTTCAGGTAAAAGGATTAGGTTAGGTAGGTGAAATCCACGTTCACTAGGTACATATTTCTAAAGTAATTTTATAATACAGATTAAAATATATAACTGTAATATCGATTACATCCATTGTTGGATTAACCATGGAATGTAATGTAAGTATGTAAAAACCTCTATGTATGTATAAGAAGTTATGGCTAAAACTTCAAGTAAAATATGTTAGTGTTTATTTTTAAAATACAATACTCTCTTTTATAAAAACACTTTCGATATAGTTTTAATTAAAGTAAAAGTAAATTTATGTGACTTGAAATATCTTTTAAAGTAATATGATAGAGTGATCATAATATATCAGTAATTACGTGCAATATTAAGATGTGATAATTTTATATATAAGTACCTATGTCATTCTAATAAATGACCATGAGTTGCGAACAAAAAGTAAAAAGCATACTATTTAATAATAACGAAAATATCAGAATTTCCACATATAGGTTAGTAAGTTTCACCAAATAAAACGCTATTTTAAGAAAATTTATGTTGTGATAAGTAATTATTATTTAAACAATCAATTTTAAAATCATTTGTGTTTAAATTATAATTTTAGCCATTATATTATTTATCATGTTGGTTTTTATCATTTCACTATTTATTACGTCATTTATATTTCAAACTAAAGTTTAGTGAATAAGATCTAAATTATTTTAAATACATAATACTGTACGCCATGTTGTTTTACAATACGGTTAAGGAAGCCATTTTGTTTTACTAAATGCGCAGTTGCGCGGCCCCGATTGGGTCGGGTATATAAAGTCGCCATGACGTCAGCCACGCAGCTCAATAATTTTTCGTCGTGGTGCAGTGCGGACGTCTGGAATTGTGAAGTGTACTAGAAAATTCTTTTGTGCCTGGTCTGATTCAGGTGTGTAATTATCTCATCCTGCCATATATTAAGCACTATAAAAATGGGCTACACTGTGCAAGAAAAATCTATTGTTGATTTTTGTGAAAGTAAAACGGAATCTTTATCTAACTGGGTCCGTAAAGTTAAATGTAAATCGTTAAACGCCAAGACAAAGAGAAAGCGTGATCTAAGAGTAATCGCCATTTTGAGTAATTCACTGTTCCGTGCCGAGAATGAACTTCTTCATAAGCAAAGAGAACGTGCTAGAAGGTGGGCACAAATGCAAGCTGATCTCGGATTAAACTCCAAAGAAGAGGAAGCGGCCAAGCAGCATCGTGAGAAGATAGATAATTTTTGGAAAAACGATCTCAGCGGTCTAGATAATTTTTTTAGAGAGTTAGATAATGTCAAACCAATAGTCAAGCAACAAATATGTGTTAGTCAACTAGGGTGAATAGGTAAAGTGAATTTGTATTTGAATCTGTGATATATGTAGGATGTTTTCTAAATTACAGTCCCATTGCGTTTCGCGTGGGTCTGGATCCGACGGCCGCCATCTTGGCTGCCGCTGGGGCGTGGTCGCAGCTAACTACGAAATGGGTTTGTAAAACGGTATCATGCATTTAATTAGTTAATTTATTTTAAATTGTTGATGAATATTTCAGTTTTCTATTGTGAAATAGTCTATTGGAATCAAAGTTTTATTCATATTGAATATTAAATTGTAACATATGTTTAAGTATGATGAATAAAAAATATTTTTGAAGTATTAACGTCTTGGATTTTATTTCAAATCATTTATTGTTGTTATTGGAATTTCACCCGCCATGTATTATTCCATGAGTCATCACCGACTTGAAGAACGAGGTAGCAGTCGTGAAGGTGACGAAATAGCAGTATGAGAGAGCACTACCACGTGACACTGCAGTGCGGTCTCGTGAGGCTGCTTTAACGGCATGGCTAGCGGCCCTGCATAGAAATATCGACGCGAGCATTTTACATCTCTGCCGGTATCAACTATCAGCCCGCTTTAGGTAAAAGTTAGGAGATTGCGTAATGATTTCATCAGTTATGGAACGAATGTCATGTACCCGCTCGCGGGCATTTTCCATGTGTATTATTTCCGAGTCTCAGAAAGGCAGGGTCGTGGAGTTGGCAACGTGCTCGCTCTACCCACGCTATCCGGCCAACATTGATGAATGGCGTTTATGAGGCAAGCCGAAATTAGCAACGTTAAATTGCACTGGCCAAGATTGTTTTTAGTGTCGGTGAGTCCGAGCCTAACAAACTAGAGATGCTAAGATGATATGTGACAATTTTTTATTATTTATATTTTGATAAAATTTGCTTCAAATTGAATTTAAACAGGCCTTGTCAATTGTATAAGTTTACAAAAGTATTCGAAGATTTAAGTTTTCTGAAAATATCATTTAGCGCCATGGAAATGACTATGTACTAATTAATTGCGAAGCATATGGAACCTGGAACAAATACTCTAAATTTCTGTTTAAATATAAATTTGTAATTAAGTATGATATTGAACTATTAACTGGGCAATCCTAATGAAGGCCAAATAATTTTGAAACTAGATGTATGAGGTAAAATAAATGTAGGAATAACATGCACAAGAGAGGAGGTAGAAATTTTGGTAAGTTTAGACACCTGCTAGTATTGTTGTGTTATAATACAAGTAATAAATATTTGTATCAACTCCACAGCTATCGTGTGCTTGCGGGATGAACGTTCAAGAATATACCTTAATAGATAATCCCATATAAATATATATATTCCGGAACGATGCTAGCATCCCATTTTGAAATTTAATTATAAAAACCTTAGGGCCACACAAAAACAAACAAAGCGGAGACGTGACTTTGAAATTGTATCTACATTATAATGATAAGCACGGGTGAATAAAAATCAAGATACTAAATAGGTAAGTGGTAAAATCCCTCAACAGGGAGAATTCCACGTCGTCAAATTCTACAGAACTGATTTACTCTTATACATTTCCTATAATTTTGCTATTGATAAAATACTTGGTAATATACTTCTTAATGAAGATTTGTCATATTGTCAATGTCTCTTTGACGGGACAACCGTCTTCGTCTGTGTTAAAAAATATGTCCAGGTCATAGATCCTCCATTGAAGACTTGGCAGTGGAGGAAGAACACAATTCTCACACTTAAGGGTGGCGGTTTGCGAGTTTGCAGACTGAAAAGTGGCTGGGTTTATCATCTCACGCCATTATAGCCAATCTGTCATAGCAACGGAAAATTAAAGATACAATTGAACCTGATCCACGCCTAAGCTTGGATCGCTTGTACGGTAACATAGCTGATTAGCAGTTAATAACTTTATATTATAATATAATCAGAACATTGAAGAATGAGATTGTAGGTATTTAAGCCTGTTCCGTTATATATTTTTTAGCCCAGGTTCCATTAGATATACTGATATACACATATTTTAATGACAAAAGCCTGTCTAGCCAGCGGACTGATAGTTGGATTTCTCAAAACCATATCACCTAAAAATTCTTCTACTACACCTACTTGATCCATATAATAAATCAACTCTAGCTTTTCCGTGGAATGATTGGACTCTTCAAGGAATTATCATGATTATAATAGATATATAGGAATGCTGCACTTATTGAACACTGTATATTCTGTAAAACTTTGCATGGTTGGAAAGTCGAAAGTATTATTATTTAGTCACAAATTTTTGATCAAAAATGCCTGAAATTTCTAAAATATTCAAATGGTTAATAATATAATGGAAGTAATGAAATTGAGTACGAAATAAAACTTCTATCATGAAGAATAATATTGAAAGCGAGTGAAACTAGTATTTAGTAAAATATTTACAGGTAAGTGGCTAAACAAGAATTGCTACCACCAGCAGCGAGTGTGTTATATATTGGAATGGTATCGGGTATGCCTTTATGGCAGGGGTTAATAAGATTATTTTCAGATATCATTAATGTCAGATTATAGCGAACACAATAATATAAAGCATAGTCTTAAGCGATTTACTTGAATGATATCTAACTACATAAAACTTATGAAAACCGCATCCTCCTATAATAAATTGTAACAGTAAGGATGGCATATGAGCTCCAATGTGAATGTTGTCAAGAAAGTGATGGAAGGTATGAGAATGCTTGCATGTTGCTTTTATTCTATTAAGATTATTAGCTTTGATAATTTTGTTTATAGTTAAGTTTTTTGAAATACTTGAAAACGCTAGGATGTAATGCCATTTAGAAAGGTCTAGAATGTGACAACGTTGCCTGTAGTTGAAGAAAGGCTATGCATACGCTACATATTTTTGACAACTAAAGATATTACGTGCTTGGGATGTACATATGTAACAATAAACCAGGAAAGTTGCTGCCAGCCAAACAGAATATTTATCATAACTTCTGGATATAAAATATATTTACAAATTCACCTTATGGACGAAGCAATCATCCAATGAAATATAGCTTTGCAGTCGGAATACAGGAATGCAGAACATTTCCAAAGGAATGTTTTAAACAAAACTGTATGGTATGAGTAACTTTTGTAATCTCCTTACTTTTACAATGAAAATCTTTAGGATGATCGAAAAATTTAAAGGTTTTTGCCACCTAAAACTTAAGAGAAATGTGCCTACGCTGATTATAGTTGTTCAAAAAGATAGTTTTTTTAAGTATCTACTGAAAGGCAAGCCATATCTGTTCCATTATAAATAGGAGTTCATTTAAACACAATTTACGCGAAAGGGTTTTGATTAATTCGAGTTACTAAAATGCTGTAAAGGAAAGAATAATTGAACACATGAATAACTTTTTTTGTAAGTAAAAAATGAAATGCGAAATGACGTTTATAACTGTTTTTGTATTACATATTAAGTTTTACATACAATTTGTTGCAGTGGTGTTCAACTACATTCATGATCAAGGTGCTAAATTTTATTGATACTAACACTAGGTATATCAAGGTTGTGCAAGAATTAAATAATGGCAAAGAAATTTAAGGCAACCAGTTATAACATGAAAATAAATTATGGAATGAAAATTATGGAATGAAAATTTGTTACATTGTAGTTACACAAAGGATATCAATTACGGAATTAACAGCTTAAAATGAACAGATTGATTTTTATGAAATTCGATTAAAAGCAGTGCGCACGGCAATGAATTATTACGTTTGAGCCCATAGCTACATTTACAACTTTATGACCTCGTTGCAACAGGTGTGACAAATTGAAACTACTCATAATATTGCAAGATAGATACAGCTCTTTGAAATACTTAAATGTATATAACAGCTTTCCAATAAGGCAAGTTTGGTTTACCTGCAAGATTTTATTATTTACTCAAAATATTTGAATTAAATCATAAAACTCCTGTAAACTTATGAATGACAGCTGGTTATAATTGTCTTATTTTATTAATATGCTTGTTGGCCTACTTGCCTTTGACTGTTACTGGGGTCAACTCCAATGTTGTTCTGGCTCATGTGACTGTAGCTCCTTATTGTCACGAGGCTAATATGCCCTCCCTAGGCGAAGAATCTACGCTCTATTGCGGGCGTGCTTGTCTGCAAATTTTATACATACTTTTTGCGGACGGATTGTTTTGTTCCGCCTGTAAACGTTCCCAATTCGTCAGTTGAAATCTGATACAGCTTATGAGAACGGAAGGCTACTGCAGCAGCTTTCCTGCAAGTTGGAGAATGCTCCGTCCTGTTTGCGGTTAGGAAAACCTGGCATGCTAGCTGGCCCGTCTGTCTGCTGGCGAGTTACCCGGCCTGTCGGTGGGCTTACGAGTAATCTGGCCCGTCTGCCTGCTAGTTACCCAACCTATCGGCGGGCTTGCGAGAGAACCGAGGCCTGTCTTCGAGCTGGCGAGCGAGCCGGCCTATCTTCGAGCTCTGGCGAGTGACCCGGCCTGTCTTCGAGCTCTGGCGAGTGACCCGGCTTATCTGTGAGCCTGCGAGCCACCCGGCCTGTGTTCGAGCTGGTGAGCGGCCCGGCCTGTGTTCGAGCTGGTGAGCGACCCGGCCTGTGTTCGAGCTGGTGAGCGACCCGGCCTGTGTTCGAGCTGGTGAGCGACCCGGCCTGTGTTCGAGCTGGCGAGCCACCCGGCCTTTCTTCGAGCTGGTGAGCGACCCGGCCTGTGTTCGAGCTGGCGAGCCACCCGGCCTGTCTTCGAGCTGGCGAGCCACCCGCCCTGTCTTCGAGCTGGCGAGCGAGCCGGCCTGTCTTCGAGCTGGCGAGCGAGCCGGCCTGTCTTCGAGCTGGTGAGCGAGCCGGCCTGTCTTCGAGCTGGCTAGCGACCCGGCCTGTGTTCGAGCTGGCGAGCGAGCCGGCCTGTGTTCGAGCTGGCGAGCGAGCCGGCCTGTGTTCGAGCTGGCGAGCGAGCCGGCCTGTGTTCGAGCTGGCGAGCGACCCGGCCTGTGTTCGAGCTGGTGAGCGACCCGGCCTGTCTTCGAGCTGGTGACCGAGCCGACCTCTCTTCGAGCTCTGACGAGTGACCCGGCTTATCTGTGGCCCTGCGAGCCACCCGGCCTTTCTGAAGGTTGGCGAATGACCCAGCCTGTCTGCGGATCGGTGAGGGAGCCAGCCTGTCTGCGGATCGGTGAGGGAGCCAGCCTGTCTGCGGGCTGGAGAGTGACCCGGCCTGTCTGCGGGCTGGTGAGTGACCCGGCCTGTCTGCGGGCTGGTGAGTGACCCGGCCTGTCTGCGGGCTGGTGAGTGACCCGGCCTGTCTGCGGGCTGGAGAGTGACCCGGCCTGTCTGCGGGCTGGAGAGTGACCCGGCCTGTCTGCGGGCTGGAGAGTGACCCGGCCTGTCTGCGGGCTGGAGAGTGACCCGGCCTGTCTGCGGGCTGGAGAGTGACCCGGCCTGTCTGCGGGCTGGAGAGTGACCCGGCCAGTCTGCGGGCTGGAGAGTGACCCGGCCAGTCTGCGGGCTGGAGAGTGACCCGGCCTGTCTGCGGGCTGGAGAGTGACCCGGCCTGTCTGCGGGCTGGAGAGTGACCCGGCCTGTCTGCGGGCTGGAGAGTGACCCGGCCTGTCTGCGGGCTGGAGAGTGACCCGGCCAGTCTGCGGGCTGGAGAGTGACCCGGCCAGTCTGCGGGCTGGATAGTGACCCGGCCAGTCTGCGGGCTGGAGAGTGACCCGGCCAGTCTGCGGGCTGGAGAGTGACCCTGCGGCTGCAGTCACACACCGTCCTGACTTCGGCACACCGGTGCAGTCTCACAGCATCCGACCTCGTCACACGGGTGCAGTCACACAGCGTCCTGACTTCGGTCCACGGGTGCAGTCACACAGCGTCCTGACTTCGGTCCACGGGCGCAGTCACACAGTGTCCTGACTTCGGTCCACGGGTGCAGTTTCACAGCGCCCTGACTTCGGTCCACGGGTGCAGTCTCAGCGCCCTGACTTCGGTCCACGGGTGCAGTCTCACAGCGCCCTCACTTCGGTCCACGGGCGCAGTCTCACAGCGTCCTGACTTCGGTCCACGGGCGTAGTCTCACAGCGTCCTGACTTCGGTCCACGGGCGTAGTCTCAGTCTCACAGCGTCCTGACTTCGGTCCACGGGCGCAGTTCCACAGCGTCCTGACTTCGGTCCACAGACGCAGTCACACAGCGTCCTGACTCCGGTCCACGGGCGCAGTCACACAGCGTCCTGACTTCGGTACACCGGTGGCACACCGGTGCTGTCACACAGCGCCTCGACTACGACACCGGTGCAGTCAGTCACACATCGCCCCGACTCCGGCAACCTTTGCATCACACATCGCCCCACTCCGGGACACCGGTGCAGTCCCACAGCGCCCCGACTCTGACACACTGATGCACCGGTCCAGCACACAGCGTCCTGACTTCGGTGCAGCGTACTGATTGTCACACATTTATTACAATGTATTATTTTTGATAAGTTTTTTTATGATTTCTTAGCTTAGTTTTTATGGTTATTTAAATTTCAGTTTAATTTAAAAATAAGTAAGAGGTAAACTTTTATAACAACATTTATTACAGGTTTTCTTATAATGAAATTATAAAAACTACAATTAAAAGCCATTATGTTATAATATTTTATAGTTTATGAGTACCTTTTAAAATTTCTTATTTTAATTACTTTTGTTTAATGTATTTTTTAAGAATTAGCATAAGGTAATCGAATTTCTTATTTTAATTTTATTACTATTGTTAATGTATTTTTTTCAGGAATTAGCCCTTGGTAAGATTAATATTTTCACTCTCAAATATTTCACTTATATATAAAAATTGTTTGTAGCTGACTTATCTGAACAATGTTTAATAAATTTATTTAATTATGCTTAACATAATGACAGCGAAATTAGGGAAAAATCTTAAAATATTTGTCAACTACATTCTTCTAGCCTAAGATGAACAAAATCCCCAGTTATATGAATATAGGTCCATAGCACAAAAAAATCTGTTGCGACGATAATCTGATGAAAAAGATGTCATAACTGAAATATAACTGGATTTATAATGAACACAACGCAGAATGTTATTTACGAGGAGTCAAGCATTTGAGTATATAATAAAGGGGTTACACACAAATCATCTTTACAAGGTATGTACATGATGTCAATGTAATGTAAAAAACATGAGATTGAAGTATAACTACAGTCAAAAACTGAACTAACTGCTAAATTACAAATTCTTACAGGCAAATATGACATGCAGAAATACATTTTGAGCGAAAGTATAAAATAACCAATTGTCACAGTTCAAAGATGAAGCCGAACCAGTGTTAATGATGGAGATTTAATAATGAATCAAAAAAATATGAAGATTTAGACTTCGGACAGAAGGTTGAGATTTTTTTTATAATAATAATTCCGTCAATAAAAAATATTGATATAAATAGAAAAATTCAAAGCGAAGGCAACAAAAGGTTATGCATGAATGAAAATAAACAGAAAAGTTTAGAACCGAAAATGTTTATGTTTTACATCAAAAGTAATATAAGCTCCTGAGTAAAAGGAGTGGAGAACAATCCACCCATAAAGAGTGTGCGGGTGACTCTGAAATGATAAGTGAAGTATTAGGACACATGATACAATTGAAGTGTGAACAGGCGTGAGGAATAGAGTTAAGATGAAGAGATCTATAAAGACCGAGGGCGACGGGAGAAGAGTGAAGACCGAGGGCGACGGGAGAAGAATGAAGAAGGAGGGCTGCGTGTGAAGAATGAAGAAGGAGGGCTGCTTGTGAAGAATGAAGACCGAGGGCTGCGTGTGAAGAATGAAGACCGAGGGCTGCGTGTGAAGAATGAAGAACGAGGGCTGCGTGTGAAGAATGAAGACCGAGGGCTGCGTGTGAAGAATGAAGACCGAGGGCTGCGGGTGAAGACTGGAGACCGAGGGCTGCGGGTGAAGACTGGAGACCGAGGGCTGCGGGTGAAGAATAAAGACCGAGGGCTGCGTGTGAAGAATGAAGACCGAGGGCTGCGTGTGAAGAATGAAGAACGAGGGCTGCGTGTGAAGAATGAAGACCGAGGGCTGCGTGTGAAGAATGAAGACCGAGGGCTGCGTGTGAAGAATGAAGAACGAGGGCTGCGTGTGAAGAATGAAGACCGAGGGCTGCGTGTGAAGAATGAAGACCGAGGGCTGCGTGTGAAGAATGAAGACCGAGGGCTGCGTGTGAAGAATGAAGATGGAGGGCTGCGTGTGAAGAATGAAGACCACTGAAAACCAAAGGCGGCGTGTGAAGATTGAAGACCGAAGGCGGCGTGTGAATACTGAAGACCGAGGGCTACGTGTGAAGATTGGAGACGGAGGGCTGCGGGTGAAGAATGAAGACCGAGGGCTGCGTGTGAAGAATGAAGAACGAGGGCTGCGTGTGAAGAATGAAGAACGAGGGCTGCGTGTGAAGAATGAAGAAGGAGGGCTGCGTGTGAAGAATGAAGAAGGAGGGCTGCGTGTGAAGAATGTCTTCGAGGGCTGCGTGTGAAGAATGAAGAACGACGGCTGCGTGTGAAGAATGAAGACCACTGAAAACCAAAGGCGGCGTGTGAAGATTGAAGACCGGAGGCGGCGTGTGAATACTGAAGACCGAGGGCTGCGTGTGAAGACTGGAGACGGAGGGCTGCGTGTGAAGACTGGAGACCAAGGGCTACGTGTGAAGACTGGAGACCAAGGGCTGCGTGTGAAGACTGGAGACCAAGGGCTGCGTGTGAAGACTGGAGACCGAGGGCTACGTGTGAAGAATGAAGACCGAGGGCTGCGTGTGAAGAATGAAGACCGAGGGCTGCGTGTGAAGAATGAAGACCGAGGGCTGCGTGTGAAGAATGAAGAACGAGGGCTGCGTGTGAAGACTGGAGACCGAGGGCTGCGTGTGAAGACTGCAGACCTAGGGCTGCGGGTGAAGAATGAAGACCGAGGGCTGCGTGTGAAGAATGAAGACCGAGGGCTGCGTGTGAAGAATGAAGACCACTGAAAACCAAAGGCGGCGTGTGAAGATTGAAGACCGAAGGCGGCGTGTGAATACTGAAGACCGAGGGCTGCGTGTGAAGATTGGAGACGGAGGGCTGCGGGTGAAGAATGAAGACCGAGGGCTGCGTGTGAAGAATGAAGAAGGAGGGCTGCGTGTGAAGAATGTCTTCGAGGGCTGCGTGTGAAGAATGAAGAACGACGGCTGCGTGTGAAGAATGAAGACCACTGAAAACCAAAGGCGGCGTGTGAAGATTGAAGACCGGAGGCGGCGTGTGAATACTGAAGACCGAGGGCTGCGTGTGAAGACTGGAGACGGAGGGCTGCGTGTGAAGACTGGAGACCAAGGGCTACGTGTGAAGACTGGAGACCAAGGGCTGCGGGTGAAGAATGAAGACCGAGGGCTGCGGGTGAAGAATGAAGACCGAGGGCTGCGTGTGAAGAATGAAGACCGAGGGCTGCGTGTGAAGAATGAAGACCGGGGGCTGCGTGTGAAGAATGAAGACCAAGGGCTGCGTGTGAAGAATGAAGAAGGAGGGCTGCGTGTGAAGAATGAAGAACGTGGGCTTCGTGTGAAGAATGAAGACCACTGAGAACCAAAAGTGGCGTGTGAAGAATGAATACCGAGGGCTGCGTGTGAATGCTGGAGACCAAGGGCTGCGTGTGAAGACTGGAGACCAAGGGCTGCGTGTGAAGACTGGAGACCGAGGGCTGCTTGTGAAGACTGCAGACCTAGGGCTGCGGGTGAAGAATGAAGACCTAGGGCTGCGGGTGAAGAATGAAGACCGAGGGCTGCGTGTGAAGAATGAAGACCGAGGGCTGCGTGTGAAGAATGAAGAACGAGGGCTGCGTGTGAAGACTGGAGACCGAGGGCTGCGTGTGAAGACTGCAGACCTAGGGCTGCGGGTGAAGAATGAAGACCGAGGGCTGCGTGTGAAGAATGAAGACCGAGGGCTGCGTGTGAAGAATGAAGAACGAGGGCTGCGTGTGAAGAATGAAGACCGAGGCCTGCGTGTGAAGAATGAAGACCGAGGGCTGCGTGTGAAGAATGAAGAACGAGGGCTGCGTGTGAAGAATGAAGACCGAGGGCTGCGTGTGAAGAATGAAGAACGAGGGCTGCGTGTGAAGAATGAAGACCGAGAGCTGCGTGTGAAGAATGAAGAACGAGGGCTGCGTGTGAAGAATGAAGAACGAGGGCTGCGGGTGAAGACTGGAGACCGAGGGCTGCGGGTGAAGACTGGAGACCGAGGGCTGCGGGTGAAGACTGGAGACCGAGGGCTGCGGGTGAAAAACGTGTGAAAACTGAAGATGAAACATATGAAGACCGAAAAATGAAGTTGAACTCAAAATAATAAAAGATTATTACATATTTAGGTATATTTTTGTAAATATGTACATTGATTTAATGGACTCCCAATGTCTTTTTGAGCAGTGTTTTTCATTGGAAGAAAATAAACGAGTTAAATATTGAAAAAAATTGAATTTTATTTATTACCTTTTAATTTGTTATCAGAATTGAGTTAACAAAAAGATATTTCTTCACTTACATATATTTTTAAAACTTACTTTTATAGAACTGAATAAAGTCGTGTTGTCAATTTCTTGCCATTAATTTTGTTCAAGTTATTAGTGATGAAAAAAGAATCTAACTTGCAATTTTATAGAAAAGACCGGGGCAATACTTTTCATCATATGAAATGGAAATTTTTATGCACCCTATCAATAAATATAATAAATTAGTAGAAATGACAAATCATACGCCTCTAATTGTGAGCAAATAACGAAGTTCATGTTCATTACTTGATTTCCATAATTGTATGTTTTCCCTCTATAATGATTAGTTCGAGACCTCGAAAGTACATCCCAATAAGTTAATAGTCAAAGCGTTTGACCATTTACCATAACCCAACTTTCCAATAGGAAAGAGGCGTTCTAAAGACTCCTGCTCAGATAAACAACCGACAACACAGACACAATAACCCCCATTATACCAAACCACACCAACATTTTCGTTCCAGCGTTCTAACGTCGGGGGGCGTCATGCGTTCCCATTATCAGATGTCATCCTCCACTTCAACGATATCCTAAGCCGAGGTCCAGTCTTTTAGAGGCATTCTTGGGACGGGCGTATACCCTTCGGGCCCGATTTAAGATGAGTTGGTCTCATCGGGCATCCAACCCCTCCTGATGACGGTGTCAAGCCATTAGAAAATATAATTAAAATATAATAAAATATAATTGGTTAAAAACTATAATATACCTATCTATTAATCTATTGTTAAATAAATTAAAATCATCGTGGCAGTAGCAGTACATACTAAGAACATTGCGTTTGGATAGGATATTTCTATTTTATTTATGTTTGGTATCTAATGAATCTATCTGAATCAATATACTTCGCAACGCAGCCATTAAAATTTAAAGGCTACTTCACGCCGATCTTCTGTGAGAGGGTGGTACTTCCTTGTTCCAGCCAGCCCATGTTCGAGCTGCAGTAATTTGACCACACCTATAGGCTCTACCACCGATAATAATATGTATTTGAAGTGTATTGGTAGATACAATGTGGCTGTAATTATGCTTGGCTCGATAAATAAGCCTTGGCTAAGTTCTGATATATTGTAGTAGTTGTAATCAAACTCAGTCATTTTAAGTGCTAATGTTTATTTGATCGCATCCAGTGCACGATAAAAAAATAAGTAATAATTATTATTATTTTCTCTTTACATAAATCGCCGATCTTGAGTGCCATAAAATAAAAAAACAGTTAAATTCCAGCGTGGAGATATAAGTTAAGGTTTTGTCAATATTCGAAAACGTAGACCACGTTATACATATGTATGTACATATTATATATGTTACTTAAAAATAATAATAACTTACATCGCTATAATTACTTGATACTTATTTAGAGTTACCGCGTAAATAAATAGTAATATTGTATTAGTGTCGATAAAATTGGACAGCATTTGAATGCAGACATTTATGTAATAAAGTGAAGATATGTGGTTATTAGGTATGTTCTTTAACATTATGCAATCTTTGAACTAAGATTTAAATCAAAATTTAAGGAGACAATATAATATAATAAATAGTCATGGTTCCCAATTGGAAACACTCATTTGAAATTTTTATTTAAGCACTCAGAAGTCAGAACCGTAGCTTAAAACTTCTGTTTTATAAACCATTTTGATTACACTTGTTATGTATTCCTCTTAAACTGCAGATGTGTAGTTTTGTTTTTAATTAATCTACCTTAAGTAACGGCTTCCTATATGTAGATCAAAAATATTATTTTTAATGTCAGAAAATGGTGAGAATGAATAGCAATAAAAGACGTGTTGTTTCCTAATTCCTAAGATGAAATATATTTAAAATTTAGCTTGTAAGTAATATACTACCGTGTTCCGTAGGGATTATAGTGTGTTAAACGTTAAAGGCTGCATGATGTCACTTAGATTTTTTTTAAATTAAATTAATACGTTCAAATTTAACTTATTGGCTTTCCTAATAAATCATATTTTACCTTTTTTTATTACTTATTAGTACAAAATATATTTTGCTTTCACGAGTTCAAAGATATAAACTTCAATTAAATATATAAAAAATAAAATAATAATGTGAATAACACTTTTTGAAACATTTCTTAAGAAGCTCTTGAGTTGTCGATCACACAAGTCTTTTTTTTTATGTAAAAGGTAACCTTAGTTGTTGAGGAAAAGGGAAGGGTGGGCATAAGGAAATGGCAGGAAAGGGTGGGAACAGAGAAAAGGCACCCAGCTCTATCACTCATCGGACGAACCACTGTCATTAATGACTACTTCACGGCAAGCTTCTGTGAGAAGGTGGTACTGCCCCGATCGAGCCAGCCCATGTTCGAGCTGTAGAACATTCCACAGCTAGACTCTACCACCTTCAAAAACCATACTTACCATATAAACTTTTTCGCTCCCTCGTATGATATCCAATGAAGAATTTTGAGGTATCGTTTTTTTATAAGTTATTTGCAATAATGTTATTAATAGCGAAATCTCGTTTCTATATAGATGGCAAAATGCTACTATATCTGTTTATGGGTTAGGGATGTAAATGAGATTTTATGATATAATTTATATAAAAGGTACCTACTAATTGGCTTTAACTCTACCCTTATTTTAATATTTTAAAGTTAATAATAAATGTTCTGTACCTACATACAGTGGACCTTATAATGAATTGTTTATAAATTCCATTCTGCAAAGAAATAATATTTGAAGGAGGAAATTTCAAAACAACAATTAGGGGATATGACCCAAAAAGTATTATCGCAAGATTTATTATGTATTAATAATTGTAGCATTAAAATTGATAATCAGTTTACATAAACAAACACCAGTTGACATATTTTGTCAATAGTAACACAGTAGGAACATAATTACTCAATGTGATAATGGTAACACCTTTTTTTGTGTCTGACAAATGACAAAATCAAAACGATAATTATTGTTTTTCTTTTCCAAACATACACTCCAAATTATTGGCTACCCTTGTACTGTTAAAAAAAAGACTAACTTAAATATTAAATTAATATCGCAGAAATGTCATATCAACTTTACAGGAATACTACAATTGGAAACACGTTACAGGAAAGCCTTGACGAATTGATACAAGTAATTATTGCTGTTTTATAATTTATAAGAGTCGAATTTTATCGACGTTAAATCCTTCAATGCTTTGTTATTTTCAGTATGGACAAATAACACCTACGCTCGCTGTGAAAGTATTGTTACAGTTTGATAAATCTATTAACACAGCATTGTCTAACAGGGTGAAATCTAGATTAACCTTTAAAGCGGGGAAATTGAATACATACAGGTATGGTATAATTTATATCACTCTTTTACTTTTCTATAATACTTTGATTAAAGCCTTCTTATTTTAGGTTTTGTGATAATGTTTGGACATTCATGTTGAATGATGTAGAATTCAGGGAAGTTCAAGAAGTTGCTAAGGTGGATAAGGTGAAAATAGTTGCCTGTGATGGAAAGAGTGAGTAGCCATAAATACATAAATAATTTTAAATAATATCATTGAACTATGTTTTCCTATTTAAAACTATACATTAAACTTGTTAATATTGCCACTCATATTTATCATATTTTTAGATGTGGAGGACCGAAGATAATGCTTGGAGTTCTACATGAATTATTTAATGTTAGAAAATATGTATATATTGGGGTCTGGTAATTGATATTATGAAACTTCATTAAGTGTTAATAACAATTTGTATACTCAAAGGCAAAAACCAAAAGTTTTGTTGTAAGTTAAAACTAATTCTAAAAATGCATTAATTTGTATTTGATACTGCTGAAGTGCAAATAAATTGTGTAATGACTTTGGTTTTATTCATGTTTTTTGTATGTAACCTCACCAAGTTTCTAAGTGTATCAATAATTAAACTCTGATATTAAAGAAAATGTTGTGAATTGACATAATTCAAAAACTTATATTTATTAAGCTAATAATTAATTTTAAATCACTATAAAAAATGCCAGATTCAGTCAATTTTGCAAAGATTGTAATAAGATGATTATATTTTATGTTAAATGTCACCAAAACACTATGGACTAAATAATAATTTGAATTAAACATTTTTTTACTATGGTTGTACACTGGACTCATTCAATGTTTTGCCAATGTCAATATTTTTATTTGTTGGATGAATTATAATCTTGAGTACTGTGTAGAAAGAACACTTGAATGATCCACAAGTAAGAAATGTTTCTGCCTCTAACTTTTTTTGTAATGATTCTTCATAAAGTACTGGGTTCGATATTTTATAACTTTCAGAGTGAGAATAGAAAGCCTTTTTATTTTTTTCAACAACTTCATTATTTTCTTTGATTACGTTAGCATACTTCTTAACCTATTTTGCTATACTTTTGCTTCTGAATTAGTTAAAATATAGAAAATGGATTCAAATAAAAACTAAAAATATACATTAATTTTTTTTATTCTGTGTACTCAGTTTATGCTATCTCCATTTCTTCTCATAAATAATGCGACAAATAAAATAATGCCTACAACTTCTTGTTTTATTCAAAATAAAAAAAGGTCTCGTTATTAATCATTACTTTATTTTATTACAACTCTATAAAGATAATACAATATTTTTACAATTTTTACAAAACCTCCCAGTTGACAGATGCATAATATAGAAAAATAACCATAACCCAACAACCTTGAAGTTATTAAAACATCAAACAAGAATAATGTTACATAAAGAATGTAAATCTGTTAATATGATAAGTGTATTAAATTGATAATGTTATGAAATGTTGTAGTATTGCACTCCTTAGAAATGTTATGACCTCAAAAAACTAGTATAAATATTGTTGGTTTAAGTTTCACTGGAAATACTGACAAATTTCCCCTTAAACTTTTTGCTTTGAACAGATTAAATTATTAAAAAAATAATAACAAAATATAATCTATCTTTTTTTCGTTTGGAAGTACATTTAACATTTTACAACATATTTTTTGTGACTGAAATTTTCTATGCAATTTTTTTTTCATTTAACAGTTATTTATTCCTCTTGCTTTGTTTCTTGAGTCAAAAATAATTATTTCAAAAAAAATATGTAACGAATAATTTTCTGTTTCACATATATTTTGAGTATTTATACCTAAATTGTATAGACATCACCGCAGTAATAGAAAACTAACTAAGTTCCAAAAACCAAAAGTGTACATTTCTTAAGCACAGTATGAGGGTGGGGATGTTAAATCTGCGAGGAGATCTAGTTCCTCTTCAGTGAGTTGGTCGCGGTGTTTGGGCCAATCGTCTTGATGTGTTCGCCTGAAATCAGCCAACGCTGTCCTTATAGTGGCCGGTATTGGATCAGGAGCGTTTGTATGTTTGGCCAACTCTTGCAACACTCGCCCAAGTCTTGGGCCAAGACTGTAAGGTCGGGAGGCCACGTATGCACAGAGTCCTAGCACGCCGAAATGTCTCTCGACCAATTCCTTTGATCTACAGCTCTTGAGGAATACTTTTATACTTTTCTCTTCGTCCGCTAGAGCGCGGCAGTGCATAAGTCCGGTAAGAAGTTTTGCAGCGGATTGACGAACCTGAGAACACGTGACCGGCGTATTAGTTTAGGACATATAGAAAACAACAAAATGATATCAAATACGAACCTCAACACGGGCGTCTTTCATGAGCTTCAAAGCGAACTTCTCAGCTCGGACGGCACGTTCCTGTTTATCACATAACATTGGAAGGCCATAGAAGAGCAGCGGCTGGGCGAAATCTAAACACGCCAGCCTCGCCCACCACGATCTACCATCTGCGAGTGACTCTAAGACGTCCAAAGCTTTGTCGAAGGCCTGGTAAGAATGGTTGGCGAGAGCGAGGCTGGCTAAGAACCCGCCAGCTGCCTTCGGTAACTCCTCGTGTGGTTGAGGCGGTCCTCTTGATGCGAGGGCGCAAGCGATGTTGACCAGCTGATATTGAACCTCCGTGTTGCAGTTCACACCTCGCACGGTCACGCCCATACAGCAACGAAGTACTGGTGAAGTTATTAGTGATTTACAAACGGAATAGATTTATGATCTATTTACTAAGAATGAGTTTTAAAATATACAGTATGTACTAAAATCTAATAATATTGTTGCTCGGTAATAAAAATTCATATTGAGTGAATTGTAACAATTATGTTTTGCACAGAAGAAAACTAAACAAATTTTGAAGAAAAAAAGAATACTAAGGAATAACAGTTAGCATATAACCTATACTTTTCTTAAATCCGAAGAGGAGTCAAACAAAGGGAACAGGAGGTTTATTATACCTGTTGAGAGGAGGTTGGCAGCCCTGCGTGTGACGCACGAGCTGTAGTCAGTACAGCCGTGCACGTCGTCAGCGGCGGTCGTGCCGGGCGGCGGCGGCGCGCGGACCAGTGACCCTGACAGGCGGAGCGTGCCGTCCATACGGGCTGTCAGTTGTTCAGGATCCGTTTCCGTTGCATCCTGCTCCACCCTCACCGCTTCCGTTTCCCCGGTAGCTTCGGCTGAACCGTCAGACTGATGGATCATCTGAATTATAATAATTAAAATTAGACATATCCATACCAGATGATATAAATACATAGTTATAAGTGTACAATGTACATCATACATTATCTTTGTATTGTATACTTAATTAACTACATGTATTTGTTAACAATCTACATCTACTACATGACGTATTTGTTAGCTTTTAAGACAAAAAAAACGTATTAATTATAACAGCATCATAACTCCATACAATGGCTGTTGGGTTCGGTTGCAAGAAAAAATAGACATAAATAACTTGGAGAAAAAGGAATAATAGAATAAAATAATAATTTAATTTTGCTTACCTGATGTTCTACAGTAACATTATCTGGTGATAGTCTGTGTATTTGTCGCGACTTCGCCGTGACATTCTCATCCCCACCACAATCCCGCGGACCACACTGACATAGAGACGACACTGCCGTCTTTATCACTAAAATTATATTTATTTCGTAATATAGAAGTTTAAATGAAATAGGTAATGGATGGCTAAATGATTACACATTTTCTGTAAGCCATCATTTGACGTGCAAGTAAGATAATTATATGGAAAGAATGATTATTGGTAATTAAAAAAGAAGATTTTTTGTTGGAACTTTATATAATATTGAAAATATAGAAAAAGAATAGAAATACTATTTCAAAATTTCACTTTACTGTATATGTATCTATATTAAATCTAAAACAAAAACGTTTTTTTAAGTTTATTTAAGAAAAAAGCTACAACATTTTCATATAATATATATGTAGCATTTCTATTGCTTTTTGTAACACCTAATGCTATATTAAAATACCTAAAAACGTTGTTACTGAATATTTTATAACTTTGATAGCTTTCTCTTTTATATACAGGGTGACTGGTGAATTACTATCAATATTTAAGGAGAATACTCGGTAAATGATTTTCATTCGAATTATGTAAAAAAAAATAGTTACTTAATTTTTCACCAAATTTCCGTATAAATAAATGAAGTGTGGACACGTTCCACGTGTTCCAAGTGTGGACGCGTGCGGCGGCGTGCTGATACAACACCACGCCGCCGCATGCGTGTGTGTGTGTGTGTGTATGTGTGTGTGTGTATATACCTAATCTGTAGGGTGTTCACACGATGCGTAATTAATTACATAACTTTTGGTTAACTTTACTTAGAAGTTTATTAATATTTATGTTATATTAATTTTTATTTTGTCATATATGATCATCAAATATCACGTCCTCAAGTATCGATAGTAATTCACCAGTCACCCTGTATATTGGTATATAAATTGTAATCCTACCTATATCTCCACATTCGTCATACAAAGCTGTCAATCTCGGCTTCACAGAATCTATGAATTGTTGGAAACATGGTGCATATGACTCCCCACCAGGGAAGACTAGCTCCGTGTCAAACATGGTCATCAGGATACTGTGGAAATAGAATAATATTATATATTATTAATGATGATTAAATAAATTGATATACATTTGGTTTATTCTAAGTATTCAATATATTAAAAACTTCAATTAAACAATTATTGATATGTATGGGAATGTAAGTGTTAATATCAAAATTGAAGTGTCTTTCATCACTTCTATATATTATGTTAAAATATGATATGTATTTATGATGTTATAGTACTGAAATTGTATACAAAAAAAAGTTAAGTTCTCTACTTTAAAGGCAATTTGTATGAACCAGTTATATATGTATGGTATAAGGCAATGAATAGTATTTACCTGCCAACAGTTTCTCTAACATTCTGGAAGGGATGCAAAGTAAAGTTGGCTTCATCCAAACGTTGAAGCAACATCCTGGCGAGCGGGGCCGTCCGCCATGATAGAGTTCCGAGCGCACCCTGGAAATTGTTGATAGTTATATAGAATTATTGTTTTATTATGTTATGTAAGTCATTTGAGTAATTAATTTACTTTATAAGATTATTAGTTGATTGATATATAGCATTTAGTGACAAACAAAACAGTTTATTTGAAAGCTTATGCTCAATATTATGACCAAAAAGGTTTCTTATAAAGCCATAAGTCCTATGAATGTAGCACATGCAATGTGGACAGATTTTTTTCTTTATCAATATATAATAGATTTGAAT